AAAATTATAATATCTGTACTGTACTCAGATATTATTTCATTTTACTTTAATTTCGACTTAGATTGTGTCAGTCTACTGTTTTAGTTTTTGTTCTTATTTGTTTTTTTTTTCAAAGCGTTGCAGTGTTGGCACATTATTCTGTGTACAGCGGTAGCATTTTCATATTTGATACCCGGTTGAATTTAGAAAGTGGTCTTTTATCTCATTGACTAGATGTGAGAGACAGTTACATTGTCTATCAAAAGGTATCTAAACCATAGCATCTCTCATGTAAGTACGATGAAAAACCAATTTGAATTAATATTAAGTGTGGATACACACCATGCGTGTTGTTAATGCATTCGGAATACTGGACAAAGCATAGTACCCAACACTCCCCACACTATGTACCATACCACCCTACCACCCTGCCTTCTATGTACATAATACTGTAATACCAGCGCAGTACATAATACACTGTTGGCAGTTTCAATTAGGGTTTAACTAGTATATGCTGCTGTTCGTAACATTGATGAGACCTCAACTAAATAGTTAGATGACTACATTCAAATTGAATTTATGAAACTCTCGACACTGAAAAGTAACAGCAATGTATTTTGTTGTCAGTACTAACAAAGAATATTCGTGTTTTAATACCTAAAAAAATCAGTTGACTCGAAAACCAAGCGTCCAGAGTTCATGTTTCAGGGAATATTCCCATATTATAAAATATATTTTATGTTATGTAATCATATTTCAATTACAAAAAAAACAAAGTTATGTCTCCTAAAATGTATTCAGTCTAATATAACAAAGAGGACAGGGAAATTCTTCCCTGTTACTGTACTGTTCACTGTATGAATAATGCGTATATATGTACCTGCACCGTACAATGTTGTATGAGAATGCAGTTGAGCATCTAAAGAATGCTTGTAGATTGCTTTTAGCCATCTTTGGGAGCATAACGTAAAGATAATTTATAATCGACTTTACTCAATATCCTCCTTAATAAAAACTAAATTTCTTTCATAAGTCGCAAGATAGCAGGTGTATGAATTTAATCTAGTATTACCAGATTAATTGTGAATCTGTAGCCTAAGTGAAATTTCTTCATCGGATTACGTGTAGTATGTAGTGCGAAATGTAATAAGTATTTGTGTGGGAGCGGTGTGGGTCGGTGGTGGCAGCGGTCGAGCGGCAGAATCAAGGGCGAGCGAGCGGGGGTAGCGGGCGGCGGGATGCTGCGCGGGGCGGGCGGGCGGGCGCGCAGATCAATATCTCGCGTTGCCGGGGCGACGCCGTGCCAGACCGAGTGCCTCCCGTACTACGCCCCCACCGCCCGACGCCCCCCGCTCTGCCCACTACTCGCTTATTTAATACATGCCGTATCTGGGATGCGAGCTTTTTCGTGCTAAATGACAGGGCACCGTAATATGCCGAAAAGCGAGTCGCCCAGTCACCGCACTCGTAATATCAAGAGTTGTAACTATGAATTTTATCCCCTTATTCAAATATAAAATTTAAATACTATGATATTGACCCTAAATTTTTAAGGCAAGTAGCTATACATGTATTTGTAAAGTCTGTTATTTGAACACGCTCTTTGTTTCGCTTTAGGTAGGTACTTAGTAAGTAGTGTGTCTATCGCTTTTGTTTTCCAATGTCCATGTCATCTAATTGTGGGAGCGCGCAGCAGGTTCCCAGCCCGGAGCAGTATATAGACCACTGCTTTTGTTTTATTTCGGCATCAATTTTCACGGAACCCGTCCATCACGTCCACCCTCCATTTATAATTTTAATCCAGCGAACCTTTTTCGTATTATGATAAAATACTTGAATTTCTCTACAGTTAATTTCGAAATTAAACTTCTTTCAAGCTTATGTTGCACAATTGCTTGTTAAAACATGTTTTACAGATTAAAAAATTTTGTCTCAAGAAAATGAATCCTTTATACCGAAGAATTACTACCAGCATCTGCCATTTTATTCTAGGTTAGTATATTACAATAACCTTAAGGAAAATATATTAGTATGCGAATCACGCAGACTTCTTCAGTCGGCGTGCCCTCCGCGGCCATTTAAATCTTCTATAGACCAAAATTATATAATAAATCAACGAGTATGGTACCGCTGCACGGTTCGTGATTTATTTGAGTACATTACTTACCCTGTGAACTGCATACAAGCACATACTTCACATTTACATGCTCCGATTTTGACCGATAGGGCTTTTGGCTGGTTATATTTATACTCAGTTCCAATAGTAGGTACTTACATTAAACTAAACAAACATTTTATCTTCAAATATTGTTATTTTAGGTATACAACCTAAAATAACTAAGGTGTTTATTTTTATATGTACAGCATCAGAATTTTATGGCTGTTCCATTAACCTTTCAACTTATCCCCCCTTAGTGAGAAAAAAGTGGATTTTCTTGTCACATCTTCTATTCATTTATTCTTCATTCTACATTAGTTGAATGTAGACAACTTGGTTTTAGGTTCATTGTCCTAGTGTATATTTTTTTTTGTAAAAAACAGAAACATTAGTAAATCATTACATATACACTTATGCATATCCATTTCATTAAGTTAAATTTGCTAATCTAGTTTATTTTATACAAAGGTTGTCTTTGTGATGTCTTTATCGTACACGTTGATACCGATTAGAATATTCTTAATCGGTCAGAAAATCGATATAGTTAATCATTTTAAGATACACAGCAATTTTGCTAAAACCGAGTAACCTTTGTGAGAAGTCGGCCTGTAATGGAAATTGGCCGTTCAATCCCACAGATTATAACATCATAAATACACAATAGATGACAAACAAAGGCAACTTTACAGCACAATACATTGCAGTACTGGTAAATTGGTAGACGTAATCTTCCGGGCGGGCGGGCTTCAAATGAGTGTACTGTGTAAATCCGCGGCGGTGGTGACTTCAAAGTTATGGCAGCGTAGCGTTAAGAGTCCTCTTACACTAAGTTTAGCACCGTCTGTATTATTTGTAAATTATCAAATTACAATTACATATATCATATATTTCCGAACTATTGTTTAGAGAATTTTAAACTATACTTGCAGAACTTCAGATACGGCAAGATCTGTAATACATATGTTTCTGACTAATAATTCCCTCTAGCTTAGATAGGTAGGATTACTTATTTAAAAAAAGCAAGGTATGGTTCTGATAAGTTCAGTATATTCTCGAATGAAAAAATAGCCTGCGCACTATTGTAATATAAACTAATAAGAGAATAAAAAATGCTATCACTTAAAGTTTAACAACTACTAAAATGTAAAATTTTTGTAACATTTGATATGAATTTTGTTGCCACATTATATCTTGTTATTTTAATAATAATAATAATATATATCCTGGCAAACATTTATCGTATAGTAAGTAACAAAAAGCCTAATTTTGCTTTCCAACTCTTTAATATTTTTCTCTATTTTCTTACTTTGAAGGAAACTAGAAAATATGCTACATACGCTACTAAAATCACAGGCAATATCGGAGTAGTTTGTGGTAGGGAATATCAATGTGCCACGAGCAGATTATAGCACCACTAATTCCTTCAATATTGCCCCTAATTCAAGTATCGTGTATAGACTGTGTAATAGTTAATCTCACAGATTTACAGAGATGAACTTCTTAGCATTCCATGAATTCATCGTGTGGGTACCGGGTTCATGGTGTGACAGAGGGAAACTTCAAGCAGTTCCCGGTACTTGTTATCCGGGTGTAGGTTTAAGGGGCCCATTTGCCAACTTACGTCAATACTTACCTTCACCACTCGTGTTTCTGCCCAGATTTGGTAGGAGCCTGCTATTGCTCCTTTAGATACACGTTCTAGCATATAACTTACTGCAATTCTAGATAGGTCAAGATCTTTTAGAAAATTAAAGGTTTCATTAGTATACCTCTCGTTCCCATTTCGACATAAACTACCATGTCAATGGTTTGTTAATTCGTTTATTACTTTTTAATAAATAATTATTTTTATTTCATGATCTTTAGGTACATTTGTTATTTACGCAATTGTTGATTTTATTTATGAAAATTGACAAATAATGCAGAGGTACTTCGTATAAGAGGGCTCTTAATACCGCTCGCATTGTTCAATCTATCACATAATCTGTCCGGGACAAGCCGCGCCGCTATGATCACGTTAGAATTTAAAGCTGGCTACGATTCACCAATAAGACCCACAATTTCTATTGTTGCCAAATCGAAGAGATTTCCGGAGGAAACCGTTTCAAAGGGACATAATTCTATTACGAGACAGAATAGAAATAATCTTTATTCAAATAAACCTACTGTAAATACTTTTGAATAATAGGTGTTGATTCGGTCGCCCTTTTCATAATATATATTACTTATTTACTTTCCAAATATACCCAATATTTAAGGACGATAATAATAATCCTGGACAATTTACATAACGACATCTCGAGACAAAGGTTTGTATCGTGATGGGAACTATAAATAAGTTTTAGTAATAAACAGAATATAAAGAAGCTATATGATTTTATTAATATAGAGAATTTAAGATATGAGTATATGAGTTAGGCTAGATTAGGTATACAATGTGATACTATCAAAAAATCAGTACTAATATTTTTAAAAGTTAACACGTTTATCAAAACTATGTCTTAATTCCAAAACACACGTAAAATATTTCACAGAATTAAAATACAATTCTAATCAATATAAAATCTATAATATTGAAATGTAATTACTAATAACTATGTAATTAAAATTCCAAAATCATGTTTAAATCATTTAATAAATCATCCATTACTATTACAATCAAATTAATTAAATAATAATAAAGTAAGTTATTTACTTGATAGATAAAACAATAAAAGAAATGGTCGCAAATAATTTTTGACTAGATTTCGTTACATTTAATGGTAAATTTAGACATTTATTACAAAATATTAATTTAAATAATTATTTATAAATATTTACATAATTTTTTCTAAACAAACAGATAAAAGTTATGATAGTCAAATAAAAACGGTAAAAAGTAAGGGCAAGAAAAAGCCTATGAGATATTTCCCATATATTGACAAAAAATTTGATCCTGTAAAGAGCACTTTCACATGACCGTCCGTTGGCCATAGCGTCAAACTTCGTATAAGAGATAATATTACAAAGATTCCACACGACGGGAGCGGCATGTGTGAAATCCAGATATACCTCGTAAGTGTCGTGTGAAAAACCCCTAATACTTGCTATAAGTAATACAAATACAAGCATGTCTATATATTCTCTCAAATTTAAATTAAATTTTAAAATCTATATTCGTTGTTGTAGTAAGCTTCAGTAGTAAGCTTCATACTCTATTTCCTAATTATCTTTAGATTGCGTCAGTTCAAAATACTTGCCAGCAATTTGCCACTAGTATCTATGCGAATCGCAAAGGCTAGATAATTTGCAAGTCTCTTAGTCGACTTAGTTCCTAGTTTGATTGCAAAAGCAATCTAACTAAATGGGACTCCATTTCATCGTCGCTCTATGCGGAGATGAGTTCGAATTCCATATATGGCACATTTGCTTTCCGTTCCAATGTGGCCAACAACCTATATTTAGATATTATATAAGAGAACTGATATAGACTGTTCTACTTTTTGATCATAAAATTAAATCGGAAGTCATCAACATAGAAAAGTCTCTTTATGCGTTGCTCTCTTCCTATATAAGCTCATTAGTGGCATGTACGACCATTTCAAAAGCGTGAATAAATTTAATACCAACCAATAGTTAAGAGAACACACACGCTACTTTTAACATCAAAGATCAGCATATAAAAAAATAAAGTTTTGGGGAACTAGGTGCTGCATGTACCTCTTTAATGAAAATTTGGTTGATTTAGCGACTGAACGCTACACTCTAAACATATTTATTACACCAAATATATTTATACCCACTCGCAGATTATTTTTCTCAAAAATGCACTTCTTCATCTACTAATCAATAGATGAAGAAGTGCATTTATTTGAGTAATTGAGACAACTCGTAATTTTATAGTATAGTCAAAATAAAAATATAGAACCCTATAACAGTTGTTAAAAATTGTGATTGAAATATAGCTTACTAACTGTTATACCATTTATTGGACAAGGTTTATGTAGGTTTTAATAGCATTATGCTAAGATTCAGTTCTGACACATCCGTCAAACGCAGCACACATAGCATAATAAATTTTAGCATTAATTAAAATGTGTATTTCATCTTACGACTTATATAATAAATACAGTTTGCAGTATCAATGGAAACTCAAAATTACCGATCATTGATACAAGTAAAGAAACTAATGAAAAAATCGAGGAAATTATTAACCATTTACCAGCAATATAGTTTATTATAAATTATGAGTTCGTCATGGCTCTACATATATGAATAAACAGTATGGAGACAAACGTATCGCCACATGCATATGCACATTGCTATAGAGGTCGACATCAAGATTTTAATAAAATGAATAATTTGGCTTATATTGTTACACTTTTAAGTTCCATAATACCATAGCACCTGATTTATTTCAAGTCTGAGGCTGTAGACCAGCATCTGAAGCCTTTAGAAAGGCAGCTGCGTAAGTAGAGCGACACCGCGCATGATCCAATGGTCAGGCTCCTTGTTGGTGGGCAGTCGCATGAACAATATGTAGTTGGTGGAGTGTCCAGTGGTAGACAGCACGCCCCGACGGTCGCCCGTCTTGTACAGCGGACAGTTATAGAAAACATCCGTTGGAATGTCGTCACGCTTTAATGGGATTAACCACACCTGACCACAGACACATCATACATTAACGATATGTTTGGCCCCCGTCCAATTCAAACGGGGATTGAAATTACGACGGCCTGAGTCAAAGTTGAAGTTGAAGCCTGAATCAAAAAGAAGTTAGATCTACCGCGGGTTTCGAGTGCCATCTGGACCTGACCCCTACTATCCAGTGAAGCAGTAGAATAATTAAAAAATTGGTTTAATATTGGGAGACTGGTTTTCGTAAATATCAACTAAATTCACATATAGCACAACTTGAGAAACCACCTTTTACATATTGATTCTCCGATCGTAATCCAAATCCGTAGTTGGATTTAACAGAGGGTGAATTATGAGAAGTCTAACTACGAACTTAAAACCATATTAATTATAGGATTAGGCATCCTTCCCACCTTCATTTACTTTACTATAATTATTAGAATTATGGCCCAGTCCTACGTTTACTATCGTTTACCAAAGATTATGAGTTTGAATCTGGCCGACACCAAAAAGTGTGTATATCAATTTATACTTTTCTGTCTGAATTCCGATAATCTAACTTTAATCAAAGAGATAATGAGATTCGTCCCCTATCATGTTGGATTCAAATACGCCTCGCGAGATGAGGTTATGCATTTACCATAACAGCGGCAGTTAACAATGCTTCCGATTAACTGGAAGGGGGGAGTTTGGATCCCATTACTAGCAATTTACCATATCAGTTACCACCCCGCGGCTCCCCCTGGAATCCACAGTGATAAATACCTGGTAAATTTGTTAACTAACCTGACCTCTTTTTCAATTATCATCCTCCAGGTGCTCCGCCAGTGTAAACCGAGTACATCATCCATTAAAATAATGCTCCGATTATCCCTACTGGAATGAGACAGGCTTACTTCAAAATAATACTGACCGGTGGAAATTCGTCATATAGGATCTTGGGGAAGGATTCATCAATATAGTGACTATCATTATTCCAGCGCGCCCCCTCCATGAACAGCCCGCGAATGTATACACCTTCATCTGGAGGTTCTTCCAGTACCCGTGTACGTTGTACCTAAGTGTTTAGAAGAAATTATACACGCTAGTAATAGTAATAACAAATTAATAACTCTTAAAACACAGTTGACAAGTAATTTTATATATTTTTAAGAAGCGACACTAATATTATAAATGTAAAAGTGTGTCTGTTGGTCAGTTATAGTTTCGCGATAAAACAGGTGAATAGATATTAATAGAATTTTACATGAAGACAAATTGATCATGAAAATTGATATAGGACTACAAGATGTCCTATATCAATTTTCACGTAATATAAACTGGAAGGGATTGAAATACGAAAATTTGTAGGGATCAATAATAATTAATCAACTAATCAATCTTATCATACAAATAATTATTCAAGGTAAAAGTAATAAAATATTTTAAATATAAATAGGCAGGTATTAAATAAAAAAATAATCAACTGTACACACATAAAAATAAGAGACCCGAACAATAATAATGCGTAACACAGTGCAAAAACAAAACAAAAATACAGTAGGTACCGTGAAATAAAAAAAAAAGTAAAATAAACCGGATAAAGTAAAATAAATAGGTAACGGAGCAACAGATAATAGAACTACAATAAATAGTATAACATTTCTATTTTTACCGAATAATGGAATGCGAGCTGATCGATTGGTATTTTGTATTTCCGAGCGTAGCTCTGCTGAGCTGCAGTGAGGAACGCTTGTGGGAAATAGAAACCTGACAGCCAGAACACAACTGGAGGGCCATGCTGATGCCAGTGCTATAAAACAAACATTTAAGTACCGTTACTATGAAGATCTTCTTAAGAGTGCTAAAATCGTAGTTGAATGACTTACCTAGAGTCAGTATATATAAGACGAAATATTGACTCAATTGCTACCAATTTAAGCTATTAGGTTGTCCTCTATGCAGTTCCCTCTGGAGTTTAGATCAGCCAAACAAGCTGACGGCCCACCTCATGGTAAACGATGACCGTCGCATATAGACATGAAGAGCACTACGGACATCATATTGTCCGTGATACTTACTACTTACTCATTGCCATTCCAGAGAACTAATATACTGTGCCTCTTATACTGTAGAGTTCGAATTCTACAACCGAAGCATAGCCGCCAGTCTAGACTGAAACACAGGCATCATGCAGAGAACTTTTTACATCCCTAATAATCTTAGAATTGTTCTAAATGAATAAATAAATAAAATGAGATAGAATATTTTACTTACTATATAGTATGCTTTATTAACATTGTTTTAATGTTAGCTAAGTCTATGTTAATAAGGCAGATTTTAATAAATAAAATGAAAAGAAGGTATTCATCCTATTTATTTTTGACTGCTTTGACTTATTACGTTTTGTTTAAGTTTAAATCTTTCCTTTAAATGTTGGAGTCTTTTGATCCCAAGTTGAGTGCCTCGCACATTTTACACCCTCGAGTAAAAAGGTTCTGTCCACAATCATTTTTCACGGTAAACAAATATTTCGGAGAACAGAATTTCTGAATAAAGGTTCTAGTGCAAAGTATACGCCTTAAAAGTTAGGGATTTGTTAGTAACGTATAAATAAGTCATACTACAGATTGATTTTCAGCATTTTAGTTATTACGATAAAATCTCCAACTCTCACCTGCAAGAAGGCGAGTCTAGCCAGTAGATCGTTGAAGTATGCGGCGAGCGGCTTCAGCGAGGGATAACTCTTGCCGGCCCACAGCGCCGGTATGCGGCCCCGGACCATGCTCGTCAGCACCTCCTCCGTCACGTCAGTTAACACGCTCACACCTGTCACACCACGCTCGTCACCCTCGTCAATACTACCACATTATACTCCTATTCTATCAGGGTCTCAATTAACAAATAGTATATAGTAAAGGAGCAATCGTGGTATAAAAAAATCGTCGTCATACGGAAAAGAACTAGGGAACCTCGTGGAAACTATCCTGGTTAATTTCTGTTACGTTGACAAAGTTACTCAATAATAGTTTTCTCATATATCTTCAATGTAGAGACAGCGATCAGTTACATTTTTACTCTAGACGGATGTACCTAGATGGTTACCATATTCTATTAACATCCCAGTATTGCTAAAATAGAATCTGTCTTTTCAAATATCCAACCCACTATTTAAAAAACATATTCTTTTATTTTTGAACAAATAGAAAAATCGAAATAATTACCATTTATTTAATTGAAAATAGCACTGGAAACTGTGTTTCAAATAGTGGCGATCCACATTGACAATGTTTTGTAATGTTATAAACATTTCACAATCACTGTTTGTATTTATTTAGATTATTCTTCTGTTATATACTATTCTAAATACCACATACCTTGCACAGCACCGATAACAGCCCGAGAGCTGGACCTGACGATAGTGACGAGCCGTTCATATCTGGCTGCCTCCTGTATCACCACGATGGACATGGGCGTCATGTCCGCCGGCTTAATATCCCCCTCGTGCGAAGGTCCCGTCAGGATCTTGGCCGGCAGCCGCGCCAGAATATCTTCAGCTATTGCCATCGCTTGTTCTTCTGGAGTCGCACCGCCGCCGCCTGCCGCCATTGTGTCCTTTGAAAACATTTTTCTTTTGAGCATGTTTATGTTAATTTTGAGCATAGATATTAAAGCGTCTAACCAATTAAGAAAATTTGAATTTTATCAATCCAACTGTAAAACTTTTTTTACGGTTTAACGCGCGTGTGTGTTATTCTGATGTATAAGCTATAATCAAATGTAAAGATTCATTAAAACCAAATGAAGTAGTTTTTGCATAAAAGAGTAACAAACATTTATCTATCCACACTCACAAACACTCGCGTTTATAATAATAATAAGAGAGTAAATATTTTTTTACTGAAACAGTTTACATGCCGGATGTATCTAAAATTCGAATTGTATTTGAGTTTGTAATAAAATAAATATAATACCTCTGATCAGTTTAGCAATAGAATGTAGGATATCTATTCTAATTTTACTTACCAAATGTTTCTTCAGTAGATCCTTGATGTAAAAGGAATAAAATATTAGTATAATAATCTATTTACATAATTAAGAATTATATCATTATAACTATATATAGCTGTAGAAATAACAACTTACCAGCCGGTCCTGGATTACAGCACAGCATGTAATGATGAAACAAAAATTACATGTAAAATTATTTACTACAAACTTAAAATATTTAATCCTAAATACTGTTCTCATTCAAGTACTAAAATATTTTATTTACATTAATCTAAATTCTAAATATAAATCAATAACCGAGTAATTATTTTCTAAAATTAATATACGTTAAAATAATCACTAAAAGGTCGTCACCTCACAATATGAAGTCTCGTAGTTTGCTATAGCAGAGTATTTAAGTGATATAATAAATATATATGCCTATAGATTGCCAATAAAATTAGATTTATATTCCTTTATTAGCTAATTTTGTAAGTAAAGCTATTAAAAAAAAACCAAATTTTGAATCCCATACATTCTAAGTAAATTGTGCTCAGCTTCAATTAAGTTTAGTATATATCGCACGCAAATAAATTAAGCCGTTTTTGAGATTAGCGCGCGCACAAACGACAAACAGATTAAAATTCTAATAATCATTGTTTTAGCTTCAATCCTATAAAATCCCTTAGTATTTTTTTTCTCCCATATATCTTTCATGTGCAGACAGCAAACAGTTACAATATTATCATATGTTTATATTGACTTTATAAATAAGTTATTGTATAGTGTAAATAGTCGCATGTCATTGTATATTTATGTAGTCTTAAACTAATGAGTATACCACTATGTAGTATAAACTGTAATTCAAATTACAAATATATTGAGTGGCTAATAAACGTTACATTTTAAGTACTATAAAAGTGACGATATACCTGTGTGAGTATGGCAGTATTGAGCAGCTCCTCAGACTCCCTAAAATGTTTGGTGATGTCTGCATTGGGGTGGAATCCGAACACCCCCGGCGGGGTTGCCACGGGCAGCGAGCGAGCGAACGATATGAAATCGCCGTGTTCACGCAACGTCGGGATATAGTACACACCTGCTTATTATAAAATTGAAGAATGTATAAATGATAATAATGTTTGTGAACTTAAAATTCATAAAGCTGACAATGTTATCTGATTGAACAAAGATTGAGTGCGTAGCGGTTTCTATGTTGATTTTCGCATGCCTTTTAATGTAAAACAATATTTATGTCATATAATAACGTAAAGTTCGTAGTGTTTGTTCATGTATATAGGCGACGGTTATCGCTTATCATAAGGAATGGAAAACAAGCTGACGACCAAGCCTATTTAAAATACCAGTGGCAAAAAGACAAGTGAGTCTGTTAGTAATGTAGACTAAATAACACCATTGCTAGCAATGTACCATGTCAGGTTGACACGCGGTTCCTCCTGGAACTAATTGTGGTAAATTGCCATTAGCCAAGATGGGCTAACTGATTTTATCAACCTCCATTGGTTATATATACCTCGCCAATGTAAACCGTTAACCGTTTCCATTATCATCTAAAAAAACATACCGGTGGGGTCTATGGGGTACTTTTCTTCGTCGATGGCGCGCGGGTTGTAGAACTTGTGCAGTATAGTGTTGAGACAGCGGCGGTCCCAGTCATCGGTGACGCGGCCGCCGTAGTTGCATTCACCCGTCAGGTAGCGTAATGCCACGAATTGTACATCCTGTGTGTTGTTATTATATATATAATAATCGCGGGCACAGCTAGTAATATATATTATTATAATATAATATATATTTATATATATTACTAGCTGTGCCCGCCACATCGTCCGCTTGAAATTTTTCTAAAATAAAAGGAGCCTATGTTACTGCTTGTTACATCAACTACCTATCAAAAAAAGTCCCGTTAAAATCAGTCCAGCCATTTCAGAGATTAACCGGAATAAACAGAAAGACAGACAGACCAACAAAAAAATTAAAAAATGTTAATTTGGTGTACGTACCGTATTTATATTCGTATGTATATAATAAAAAACGGTTATTTCAATATTACAAACAGACACTACAATTTTATTTATATGTATAGATAATTACATAGCGTCATCTAGACCCAAGCTAAGCAGAGCTTGTGTTATGGGTAACAAATAACTGATACAAATACCTAAATATATATCTGTTTGTAAATATATACATTACATACTGTACATACGACTAGTTTGGTCATCCAGTGCAAATATATTTATGAATACAAATTGCATTTTACGAGAAATAGAACCCGCGGCTATCGGATATAAGACGGCGTACTGTCTACTGTCTACTGTCTACTGACGGTGCTAGACTATCTAGGCTGTCAATTATTATTTTTAATTAAAATAATTATATTTTGTAAAATAAACTTGTAAAATGTAGATATATAGAAGGAACATACTTTACAGGAATTTCGTTTAAACTTGAATGGAAAAAAACTTCATATCAGTGCTGAACAATAGGAAATAAACGTGTCCGTACCATAATTTCCCTGTCATATCAAATACAAACTCAACTTTCAAATCAAATACAGCTTACAAAGTAACTTATATATAACGGCAGACATACGAGTATGTACATACATGAGCTAGTGATACAGACTTTGTATTGAAATCTCCTTAAGGTAAATTACATTATACATTTACTCCAATTTCATTAGTTTAATGGAAGGTACATACATTGAGGTGTTCTGTAGCAGTATAAAGTTCACTCAGCCTCCATACATTACTACCCACAATATGCATTTTAGTGCGACATTAAAAACAAAGTTGCCATCACGGGGATGCGAACTCATTAAAACGCATACACAATTTCGATAAACATGTACTTCGAGTGTTATTGTTTGAACTGACTGTTTACCATAATAGTTACAATGTTACCATGATAGCTGTTTGTGATGAAACAGCAGCGGTAACGATATAATTCTGTGCCTCTAGTGAGGGGGGATGGGGATTATTCAGAATACAGCGTTTCTCTTTTTTACGCTAAGTACTTTAAATAAACAATGTAGTTTAATGATATAAGAAAGTAATCTAATCTATATTTCTGAAATACATCTAAAAATCCATAAATATTATCGATATATTTAAAAACAACATATTATTATATTCTTACATATCTTACATTACTACAACATGGTATAACAAAATATCCGTTATAAAAGTCTAATTTGAAATAGAAGGACAGTATTTTACAAATACAGTGAAGTCACTTAACCTACACTGATAATATGTATTTTTAACTATAATATATATACAATCAAAAATTATAGATTATTGGGTCTGTTGAAAAGCAGTCATTGTATTTCTCACTAGAGAATTGATATATCATTATAAGTAGAATATTATTACATATCAGTGAATTTTTTTAATATGATAAGCAGACATTAATATAATATTATAGTAAGCAGTCTAAGTAAGGGTCATCGCAATTGAAGCTAAATCAAATATATACATAATATATCTCATTTATACTTTATCCAACATTGATACAATATAACAATCTACTCGTTTTAGCAATACAAATTTTTAAATACATTATCGCTACGACACATTTTATTGCGATGGTAAACTTCTGGACAACTGTCGCTTGCTTATTCATTTAACAGCGTCTCTCAGGAATTATCCCTCGCATAATGTAACTATATCGTAGATAGATACGTAGTTTAAAACTTTATATTTTCTTTAGAACATTATAGGTAGAAATTGTTACTTCGTCGAAAGATTACTTTATTTGTTTATTACTCTTAATTGCACAAAAACAGAATATTTAGTATATGAGTATGTAGGTACAAAAGGAAGTTTTATTGCACACAATCTTTGGGTAGAGGGAAAAAGACAGAAGGTGGTGGATGGCTCATGAGTGGAATGAAAGAAATAAAAGTGGTGGTAAAATATTGGTGCATAATAATAAACACTCACGTCATATTCATTGAGGAACATGTAGAGCTGTGTGACGGATATCCTTAGATCTGTTTCGTTGAACTCGTATCGTATATTCCAGCCGAGGGGTCCAAACTGGCGCCGCTCCTGTACTACAGCGTGGAAGAAGCAGAGTGCGAACAGAAGCTTCTTGAAGATCTCTGGCTGTTTGTTACCTTCGAACCACTCCGCATCATTGATGGGATCACTTTGGTACGAGCGGGCTATGTTCGCACGCAAACCTGCGTTTTTTGGCATAAGAAAACAAAATATTCTTTATGTAATTGGAAGCTGACGACCTACATGATGGCAAGTGGTAACCGTCGGCTATATACATGAATAGCACTTCAGACATTACGTTATCATGTGACGTTCGCAATACTATTCATGTGTTCCCATTTTGGAACACTAACATGTAATGCCTCTTATCCTATAATTTCTGTACCTCGCCCTGTAACTGAAATATAGCAAAGAATACATTCTTGTTGAACATTACAATGTTCGGCGGCTGAAACAGGTTTACAGAAGACAAGTTTACACAAAGAGTTCTTTTTACAAAGTCTAAAAGAAAAATTACCCTTACTGATGTATTTGATGTTGATAAAGTTTATAACTAATACATGGTTAGATAATATGTACATTTATAAATTGCAATCATTTGCCTTATTTATAATCAGTCTGATTTTCATTTGGAATAAGTAAATTAAAGAAATTTAATTATATTTAATGATATCAGTCTAATTCATTCATTTGTATTATGCGGAGATCGAAATCTCGACCATCGGCAAAAAACAAGGCAATGTAATAAACCATTACTTTAAATTTGTTGAAATTAGTTTCCACACCTGACACCATATCGTAAGTATATCAAATCAAACAGCCTGGGTGAAAACCGATTTATTTAACTTAATAGAAACCTACCTTCAAGATCTACAATATAACAAACAGTCATGTTTTTATACAACGATTACAACTTCCTATACTGAGAGCTGGTTGAAAATCTCTAGCAGAGTACATATCTCTATATTTACTGTGTATGTATGTAAATACTTTGTGGTCCAACTTTTCTACAGTTGATACATACAATATGCAGTCCACACGGTAACAGTTACATGAGTTGGAACTTTCACCCATACAGGTAGCATACGATCAGTACATAAAAACTGAACACGGGTATCTATCTATTCATAACAGAATGTTTCATCGTAGTATTTCTACGGAGTATGCGGATTGGTACCTACTTGTTTTATGTAGAGTTTTTTTCATTAAATTGTATTCTAGCTAAGTATTAGTTATACCTATAAATAGTATAGTAGTATTAGTATACTACCACTAGATCATTATTGCCTCAATGATCTAGTGGTTTAGCACAGCCCCTTACCTCTGATGGTCGGAGGTTTGATACCTCGTACGGTACAAACGCTTCTATTCATGAATATGACTGTCGGCGTGAGCCAAGGATAATGAAAGATTTTTATTATACAAAGTACCTTGAGGTGGTTCATTGGTCATTTTCACACCGTTCTGTAGAACATATACAGGAAAATGGTCAGCAGGGTACGATGTCAGCCACAGTCTGAAGTCTGGATGCGTGGTGTCCGGAGTTAAACCCTCACAAATCTAGTTGGATACAATTTTTATTTTTAAATCTATTATTTTAAGTACACATATCTATGTGTATTTAAAATAACAGGTTTAAAATTTCAGGGAACTTGATACGATGGGATTCGAACCCGTATCAGATATGTAAGAACTCTACTTATCTGCGCTAAATATATTTCCAGTTAAACCATGAAAGGAGCAAAGGATCATTTGATAGCAACTTTATTAATCCACTTTTCAATGTCATTAATAAAATTTACATCTTAGTTTTTACTTGTGAAATATAATTAATACCGACATTAAAAACTAAGAAGCTGCCCGTGGAGAATTCTCTTCGCGCATATTTTACCTAAAAATATTTCAGATAATGGTATCTTATATATATTGTATTTTTGTAATTTGATTAAACATATTTTATTATACTATAGATATATTATAAATATTTGAGTCTGTATGTGCTCAGCCTCATAAACCAGGAGTTCCTTCAGGTATAAAGCCTGAAAGCAGTTTTCCCGTTCTGCCATCGTATCACTACGTTACTACATTTTGCCTTAGGTTCTTTATTGTATAGTAAATTCTTCGAAATAACCAATGCTGACCCAAAATTAAGGGGCAAAAGCAAGGCGATAAAGGTGAAATGGTCCATGTCTTTAGATGTTAACACAATAACCTTTTCGAGCATAGGCATCCAACTTTTTGCGAGATGACAGTTCTGAAGTACGACCCATGTGCCGCTGCGGACACCCTCGTCAATCAACTTCACTGCGATTGGACCTTGACCCTGACCCAGCGACAGAGAGAACAGCCGAGAAGCGCCGAAACCCTGAAGAACGTTACATGTAATTATAATAATTAATTTTGATCATATTACAATTATGAAATATAAAGTAATTAAGGCAGGGATGACAACAGTCAGGTTAAAAGGAGGTATGAGCAGGTAAGGGATACTACTAGTTGCGAGTTGTATATGTAAAGGCTCCCGTTGCAAAGTTGAAAAAGTCAAAATATTATTATCTAGTACAAATTATAAACAAACTCAGTGCGTGCTCACTTTTACCTATCAATGCATTTAACAATCACTTTTAACAATCATTTTTGCAATAATATTACAGGGATGTAATGAACATAGTAACTTCATTAAACTGAATGTTGATATTATAATTATTATACATAATATCAACGTTCATTTTGAGGTCCACAAGTCTTTGTGTTATGTATGAAAATATACAATAGAGAGAAAGTATTATTAAAGAACTAATTCGTTCTTTTATATTTTAGTTTAATGATAGACATATTATATTGACAGAAATTATAGAATATAATAGAAGAAGAAGAATAGAAAATCATTTATTCAAATAAACTTAATTTAAGCACTTTTGAATAGTCATAGCTATCATTCTTTTAATCTACCGCTCATTCAGAAAGCTCTCATCACAAGAAGAACGAGCAAGAATCTTGCTTGTTGCTCTTTTAAAAAAATATTGAAATTTTACATTTCTAATTTGAAACGTGCGAATACAAACCACCAACTATAATTAATTTATATTTACTACATAGGCACTTGTTTACAATGAAGTGATATTCTATAATTTCTCTCATAAACATATCGTCGTAATCCTTGATACACAAAGTCACTGTTTTATGCAGCTATATTTGTTACATTTAATCTTTTACAATGTTATAATAACAAATTACACTTACTTTATTTAATAAATCTTTACAATAGAACAACGTTAATATAATGTTATGTGATATGACCTGGTCATCGGCGAACTTGAGCAGCGTGCCCATGGGGTCTGAGCCAGGTGTTAGCACGAACAGCAGCGGTATGCAGCAGTGGGAATCCGCATATGAAGACGCCAGGTCGAACAGTGGCGGCTCCACAAATTGACGGCCCATTTTTTCTTCATCAAGCAATTATGGAATGTTAACGACAGCGAATTTCGTTAACCATTGAAAATATTCGGGACTCATATTTAGATATATTAGTTATTATATCTATAACAACATTTTGCCTATTGTGTTACATTGCTTTATATTTCACAAACAAACAGGCCTTTATATTTCACAAGTAAATACGGCTAAATTAAGACTCAATATTCCTTTTTATACAATAATCAACAATTTTTACTTGAACCAAAAACATTTTCAATCTCGTAGAGAAGTGAAATATAAGTTATGAGAAGATCAAACGAGGCATGATGTAGCTTAAAGTTTCACATGAATTAGAAAAAATACGGATTGAATCAACCAGAGTTTTAGTCGAAAAATAAACGCAAATATAATCTTTTGATGAATTTCAAAGAATTTGACATTACCATGTTGAGTTACCATAAATAACCTTTGAAGTAATATATATATAACGGACCGAAAAATACATTTAATTAATATTTGATGACTGACCTTCAACGAACATTTGCACCGCCGGCACCATCATATCCAAGCGCATACAGCGTAGCACCATCATTTTCTATATTTAAAAAAATCTGACATTTAAATATTCTTCATTCATTTTACACAACTAAAATACGTAGATTTTACTTATGTAATAGATCTTTATGAATAAAAATGTTATATATTAACTACAACCTAGTTTCGTCTCTTTCGATACATATTAGTATCTATAGCTAAAATTTATTATACGTAAAACATTTTTTTAATAATCTTTATTATTCAGGGTCTTAAATATGTTTTAAATTACGAAAAGTATATAAAAACTGGCTAGCCTAATAAAAAAGTCTATAAAATATCTTTTGTCTACGGAGCTCAGTGCGAATTGAACAGCAGATTTAATTGTTCTAACTGCCTAGTTAGAATAAATATCCGTATAAGGATGTTATTGAATAGATCACTGATGAAGATTATATTTACTGCTTGATTAACCATTGAATATCTCCATCAGTAAAATAATGTATAAGCATTTGTTATCCCAAATAAATAGTATAATAATAATATGTACGTATATACCTCAAATGAAGACAGCTTGGTGTTCCAGGGCTCCGGTAGCGGCTGGCAGTGTGGATCAGGAGTATCACAGTACGCCTCCCATGCGGCCAAGTTTGACGTAAAGTGCTCCACGATGCCGAGGAATGGTTCAATCTCATTTAACCTGAATTCAATAGGCATTTCTCTTAAAATAAAGTTCTTTTGAGTGATGAACTAATTTGCACTTAGTACTCTTCGGACTAAGATTTGAAGTGGATTGAAAACAAGCTGACTATTCAGGTGAGCATAAAAGTAGCAAACGTCACGTATTTAACTGAACATACCAAGGAATTATGTCATACAGTTGAATTTAGATGAACTGGCGAAAAAATCAACTGAAGTTCTTTGTATTAAAAGCCAGATCCCAGCAATATGCTTTAAATTGAAATAAACCTCTGTAGTATATCAGGAACAAGGACGACTATGTACAGTGTCTAAATCGCACAATTACTATTCATGTTCCAACAAAAGCTAATTGAACTAATTTTATTCTCATTGTCATTCTTAACCACTACTTTATCAGTAGCTTACACCGTTCCACTTACATTTGCATTTATAACTTGATGGACAGAGCAAATGAAATAATACATTCGATTTTTTTTCAAAGACATTTGTATCAGGATGATGTCATAATGTTCAATGAAAAGAGAGTATTTATATTATTTATAAGACAAGAAATAAGAAGGTTTTGATTCATTTATGAGTAAATTATTACTCGACAAAGTTTGTTGTCTGGAAATTGTTCAATAATAGTTTTCCTTGACCACAAATTCTTAAAATAACAAGTACCTACTCATACAGCGGCAGGCCCTCGTAACTTTTCTCCTTCAACTTCCAACACAGTACTTAGACAACTCTCGATATTAAAGTTAGATGTTGATAGAGTTGCGTGCTTTTTGGTACTTCAATATCTTATGCTCATTAATAAATCAGATATATTAGGTGATTACATTGTATAAAACTTATGGAAGTTCTAGGATAACTGAATTTCGGGTTCGAAAACTAAGTATTAAACTTGAGATATAAAGTTAGTCCAATCGAACTCGAGTATTGCTAGTAACAACTACTGCTGTTATAGTGGACTTTGCCGAGCCGAGTTGCAACTTCAAGTCGTAGTTGCCAGTTAGTAGTGCTCCTAATCGCATTAGTGGTTAGATGCATCTTACTGATATCTGTTTGCAAGTAGACAGTGGTCACTATATGCTTGAATAGAGCACTGTTATACATGAATATTAAATTAAATCTTGTTTACAACTTGTATTAGCTATGGTTCACCACCAAGTCTCTAGCGTATGATACAGCTTATAGATCTATTATGATGCCATTAGAGCCTTATGAGTTCTCAGCTTGTATGACATTCCAATTGCAAAAAAAATTATACCTTACTTATATATTTGGATAGCTATACACAGAAGTAGCCTAAGTTACTCCTTATTTCATCAGCTACCTGCCAATAAAAGTCCCGTCAAAATCGGTCCAGCCTTTTCAGGAACAAACAGACAGACAGACAAAAATTGTAAAAAATATTATTTTGTTGTATATGACAATACACAATATACAAATAGACACTCCAATTTTATTTATATGTATAGATGAATAAATAATTATTTGTATATGTGAAGGTACCAAAACCACACTTCCATACTTGTATATTATAAATATGAAAGTGCGACTGTCTGTCTGTCCATTTGCTAGTCAAGACTAAATGACTAAATAATTCTTAATATTTTACATAAACATAATCGGCCTTATTACAAAAAGATAAATCTGGTTTAGCACTAGTAATAAACCATTCACCAATGTATTCCTTATTACAAAATGAAGTTTATCTCTAAATCGTGATTCGTCTATGGTCTAAAGTTAGACCTGCGATGCCCCTAGTTTAACAGTGGTCTAAATGCAAAAATACAAACTCCATTTTAAAATTCTATTGTTAGTTGTAGTTTTTGGAAAAATATTTTAACTAAATTAAAAATATATTAACTAAAAACATTTAAAGCAAATTTTACGACAATAAAAACATATAAAAGACGTTAATTGTTATTTTTTCACTCATTTAACTTTGAAATAGTCATCATTCGAATGATCCAATAAAAATATCTCGCCGTTCCTTTTCTCCGTATAGGACTCCTACTTATAATTTAAAACTGATTTTCAGCCTAATAGTACATTAATAAATATTATATATTAATGAAATAGTTATAATGAAGACATAGATAAATAGAAATAAATTTATTTTTAGTTTATACATTTTTCTTTGAACTAATATTATTTTTGATCTTTTCAGTTTTCTGGTAAAATGGAACGTAATTGTACGGTGACAGACATGAGTGACTGATTTCTGTATGGAATACATAATGAACGATTTAACTGTAGTACTAAGTAGTCCTCTGTTAGATCTGGGTTCGTAATAATGTTAGGTTTATTCCAAGTATTAACTTTAGGAATGGTTTAAACCACGACCATTTAGACCACGTTTCGTCCGAGTTTTAACAGATTTTTTGTAATAAGACCGAATATGTATTAGAGGCCGACTTAAGCTATCTTATATCTAAAAAAAAATCTTTGAGGGGGTGAGTAAGGGATGGAAGTATGTAACAACAAGTACAGTATATTTTTTCTAACCATTTATCCCGTCATTGTAAAACTCTGTATTGAACTCGTCGAACTCATAGTTATCAGGTAAGGCATTAAATATATTGTCTATATTATTCCTATCTAAAAATACTATATATGAGTAAAATTATTATTTTATATTACGCTCACGATCCATACTAATATCATAAATGCAAAAGTCTATCCATTTGTTTATTGGCTTTTCATGACTGAATAGATCAGAATGAAATAACATCTAAAGATCGATTATGTGACTGTATAGCGTATTACATTTATACATAAATTTCTATGCTTTTCTGTACTATAATATGCGTATGGTATACATATAAACCACTCTCTTAAATGACTTAATCTATTGCTGAAATCTGCATTAAAATTCGTTGTATTAACTAAAAATTGTTGTGTTGTACAGACAACGGGGACTTCGTTTTAGACTATGTAAATAAACAGACGAAGTCGTGGGCGATAAATAGTATTTGATAAATCAATAAAGATCACTGAACAGTAGCGGTAAAAGCAGTAGTCGAACTTTACGCTCGGAAACTGCATCTGTTGGAGTAGTGAAGCGCAATGCACAGAGAACCGTAGTAAAGCTACTTCGCAGCGCATATTCCTGAAGCGAGTGAGAATTATTGAGCTGGAAAGGTCTGAGGGAAAGGTTTCCGGTTGACAGCGCGTAACGTAGCAAACGTAGCAACAATTTCTTTCTAACTAGAGGAACTGTACAAATAAAATCGTATTTCCATCTTTGTACAATATCTCATTAAGAACTCTTCGACGTTGATAAACGACTCTTGACATAATTTAATTGAATATTCTCGTTTCTATGACAGTTTCTGATGTCCATTTAACTGTAGAATTCTATTAAATATAGTAATACTTTTTATCCGACTTATATATATGGATAAGGAGAGAAAAATAAAGAGTTTTTCATTTCATTTCAATATGGCGCCATTTTCAAGAAAAAGTAATAATATTAGAAAAGGAATAAGTAAATTTTCAAAACATATAATTAAAAACTGAAATTCACATTCCACATAATTTTAATAAGGAGTCCATTTTGAATTGCCCCCTTGTGGGTCCCACGGGAGAAACACGGTTTACCTGACAAGTGATACCCTAGTATCACTTCTCAGTAAACGGGATTTAGTTTTTGAACTTCTAATCTAACGCATTCATAAAAAAAAATGTTTTTTTTTTTTAATTTTTCTTGCGAAAGACTTATTTTTTCTTTCTTTCTTGAGATAGACTTTAATACATTGCTAAATGAGTGATAGACTATGTGCACATACCCATTAAACTCCGCCCAGGCCTGTGGGCTAAGGAAGGGTACAGGATTGGGCGGCACGTGTCGTGGCTGCGCGCCGCCCAGCAAGAACAGCACATGGGCCTGCTCCAGCTGACCCTCCGCCACCATGATCGTCATTGTTAGCAGCAGCGAGAACACCATCTTGTCCTACAATAATATATTACATAAATATAATCCATCCTATTTATATTTTCGACTACGATATTAGAGGAGCTGCAAGCTCATTTGCCAAAAGTAAGGAACCCTTGATACATACACAGTGGATGAAACTAGATCAGTATGCAGTTATGACTTTATTTCTTTTTTTTAATACTATTTTTCTTTTTATTTCAACCAAATAGCTTCCCTGAAAGCGGTGTTTTAGTTTGGTGAGAGATATGGCAGAAAAATTACCCGTATAGATAAACTAAGTAGAGCTAGTGTCATGGGTACTAAACAACTGATATAAATACATACATAGTAACTGCTAGACCACCGAAACCGTCGTCGTTAAGGATTATAGTTAATGAATCCATATTATATTTAAAAGAACGTGCGTGATACCTTTTCAAAAAGACTTCGGCAGATGTTAGCATAAAGCGAGTACGTGAAGTAAGCCCGCAGTATCGTAAGCCGTTGTGGTATATCGTCCACCTTCTCCGTGTTATCAATGGACGCCGTGAACAACCCTTCGAACCAGCCCAGCGAATACTGATACATTGGGTCGATGTTCGCCAGCGACGCTGGACATACCCATAAAAAAAAAACGTCAATATACGTAAACGTGTAGTTAAAAAACTAACCAAGGTGATTGATATCTTTAAATAGATTCTGGGAGTTCACTTAAAGATCTACAAAAGTCCCCATAAAATTGCGTAAAAAGAGCAAATAATCGACTTTTCAAAAAAGCACCTAACACCTTCGGGTTAAATTCGTTATTTCTCTATTTCATCCAACAAATACAAACCTTGAATGTTTATCAATCAATCAACAGTTTCAAGTTTCATGTCATTTAATTCAGTATTTAATCAGTAGTTTTTTGTTTCAGACGGAGTTACTTTAACATCATCATTATTACATAGTATAAAATAAAGTCGCTGTCTGTCCCTATGTATGCTTAAATCTTTAAAACTACGCAACGGATTTTGAAGCGGTTTTTTTAGATGAATGATTCTAGAGAAAGGTTTATATATATAATACATGTACACCAGGGCGAAGCCGGGGCGAGTAGCTAGTTAATAATATTAATAAGGATGTGTTATTCTGACGTATAAGCCATTTAATTGTAAAGTTTCATTAAAATGCATTCAGTTGTTTTTGTGTTCAATCGTAACAATCATCCATATTCCATCAATCAACATTCTGCGTTTATAATATTAGGTAGTAAGATTTAATCTCTGCAAAATTAATATACATTACCAATAAGGAAGAACAAGTTAGTGGAATGTACTGCGATGGGTACGTAGTCGTCGCGTGCCGTATCGATCGCCTTCTCCGTTACCATGGCCACCTCCTGCTTCTCTTTTATCTCATTCGACGTGTCCTTCGCTGAGTTCAGGATCTAAACGTAATAATGGCCGTATGCTTGTTTGCCACGATCATAGTATAAAAAAACATTTACCTACACGACGTTATCCCTAGTAGGATAGTCACAGGTATTGTTATCTATGTCATGATGAATGCAACACTTAATATGCTCAAATTTCCTCGGTACGTTTGAATTAAATTTGGTATTGACTTGGAATGGACTCACATTATTAGGTATAGGCCGAACAGCCCCATGCGAATCGGATTGTCAGTGGTGGTGGTCATCCATGTCATGGTGAATGTAATATTTAATATACTCATATTTCGCTCAGTATATTTGAATAAAATTTCTCATTGATAATTAGAATGTGCTTATATTAAAAACAGTCCGAATAGCTCCGTGCGGACAGCGCCGTTCGATTAGCGCATTTCCAAAGAGGGTGGGGCGTAGCAATCAATGCGCCAATCAAATTTGTCCACCACACGGGCCATCCGGGTATAACCTGATAGTGTGAGTCCACTCTTAGTGTGGTTATAGGTGTTTACATTACCGTAAAGTCAGTCAGACACATATATTGGCATTAATTTTTTAAACTAGGCCAGGTTAATTCAAGTCCTCTAAGTCTAAGTTCAGTCTAAAAATTATAATTACATATTATCTACTGCTGGGTTAAATTCTGCCATAAGGAATCGATAGTAGATGATACAATTATTTCATTGTATTCAGTTAAGAAACTAAAATGTAAAATTAGCTTTGTTATTTCAAAAATCACGCATATGATGTCGCGACATAGCTACTTTTCATCAGATGAAAAAAATTAGAACATTAAAAATTATGCTGATATCAATTACTATTAGAATCCGAACGTAATTATTAACCTGTACAGCTTCCTCGTCTTCCAACAAGTGTTCAGAAGTAGAGAGTACATTAAGGATCTTCTTCTCTATATCCTGCAACAGTCGTCGATGTTCGGCTCCCTGTGTGGTAAGGTCTGCCTTAGCTTGTTGCAGATCGGGCCTCTCCCGAGCTACGACCCTCGCTAAAAGTTGCGCCTGAAGCCCGTCCTTGGCCAGCATGAAGTTGACCAGGGTGACTCGTACCCCTACTTCAGGCAAGTAGTGTGGATTTGCCAGCTTTGTACTGATATATAATCTGCACAGTAATTATAATTCAGTTTTTAAACCGTTTATAGAAAATAAAGAAATATCAGCAATTATATGGCTGTGTCTAATATACTTCTTTAGATACCTACTTGATAACAGTTTAATGGAGCCCCATTTTTGCCATTGGATAGAGTGATTAGACAACAGATATATGTGCAAAGAATTACGTATTCTTTAGGCTCAAATATTTTAATAAATACTATTTGACTAGACGAACTTTATACCGTGGAGAATTAAAGAATTTGTTTTCAAAAAATAAAACTCATCATAGTTTCTCACGTCGAAACCTTTGAACATCAACAAATACTTCACAGCAAAAATAAGCGTACGCGGTCCAGTCTTTTTTGAGTTTTAGTCTGCCTAACAAACGTCGTTCAATTTCAATGTATATACGATTAGACTTTTAAATAATCAATTATAACTTTTTAATATTCTTTTTCGATGTAATGTTTCCATATGTCTTAAATATAAAGTTTTACAAATACTTATTTTAACAAACATTAACAAGCAAACTCACTTGAAGTCTTTGCTGTATTCAACAATAGTATCGCCGATCTTAATACAAAGAGCGCCCCCTTGTCGGAAAGTTTGTTGTTGAAGGAGCGGCTCCAACATTGGATCCAATTCCTCTAAAACATTTTCAAGTAACACCTGAAAATACAAACAGGATCTCAACACAGCTTTTAATTCTAATCGAAACTTTGAAGTACAAAGACAAAAATTTTTGAATTCGATGTTTGAGTAAAGTATTAAACAATATTTATAAGACATTCTGAAAAAAATATTTGTTTATATTTGTTACCCTTTCTTACCTTTATTCTGAGTTACTCTGTCTATTTTGCTTTAAATATTATAATTAGTAATGGCATATTGTATAATTAGTACACTAGATAGAATCTTGGTCTTTAGTAAGTTGACACAATTTTAATGTATTTATACATACATCCCTTCTTTCTTCTACACTACAAATATTTGATGTACTCATATAAAGATTAATACTAAACTATGTATGGCTCCAATGTCATTACCGGTTGTCCAAATTGCACAGCATTTTCCAAAACTCGACCGAGGTCAGCTTGTGTCATACGCACGATGCACAAGTTGTTGGGTTTCTCCATATTCTTGATCCAACGGTTGGCTTGTCCTTGAGGATCAATCATTAGTGGCCAACGGCGTGCCGTCCTATTAAAAGAAATAATTAAAACGTTCTTTCTGTTATATAAACTCTCTCTCTCACACACTCACAAACGCACACACTACCTCATGAGTTCCGTCTTAGGTAATGTTCCGTAAACTGTGTACATATAAGAAAACGAGACGCGATAAAACTTCAAAATTTATATATATACACAGCAAACCAACTATAATACAGTTCCCATATTATTATTTTTATGTAGTTCTAATAATATAATAATAATATTTGGAAATACATATATAATATATATATATATATATATATATATATATATATATATATATATATATAGACCACCCAGACCGATACAATCATATCTATGAATACAACTGTAATATTTTCATTGAAAAATGTTTTTATACAAACAACTACATACAAATATTTGTATCGTGCGAGGAATCGAACTCGCGAAGCAACGTTGTATGCAAAATCGCTAGACCACCGAGGCCGTCACATTAAACGTACCATTGCAAAAATTTTAATATGTCTGGCACATGAATTATAATAGAATACTATGCTCGACTATAGTTCTAATCCTTACATAATAATGATCGCGCTCTCAACACTAAAATCATCAGAAGGTAGTCCATCAATGTTCCAGTGCTGAATGGTGACCGGCTCGCCGAGCGATTTGATCAGACTGAAGTTTAAGGTGCATACGATACCACAATCGTGACACGCTTGAGCCCATTTCTTCACCTATCAATGAAACGGCAGTTAAAATTATATCTTTAATAATATATAATACACAGCCTACGCTACATGTAGTCCGTGTATTGTGAGGTAAGAATTGGATACCACAACGTCTGTGCATTTAATTATCTGGGAACGACGGTTATAAAAACTTACAAATTTAATATGTAACTATTTATGCTCTATAAGATTTGGTCAAACCTACATGCCTACTCTATATGAACTGGCTTGAGGATAAACACTAATATAAGGTATTTGTCTTAATCGTCTAGAAAATATTATAAATAACTAAATATTAGTAGTTCAAATACATTCATGTAGTAAAATTAAGTGTAATATAATAATAATAACCAACCTGTCCGTTTCTAAATACAGCTGTAAATGGTCCAAGATAAGCTATGATACCAGCTGCAATCAATATGTCACCTGAAATAGGATGATAATTATTATGTTATTATGATCTATGCTAATTAGTCTAAATACATATATTTTATTTGTTTAAGAACTGGGAATGAAAAGTGAAAAATGTACGAGAATATAACAGACATCAAAATACACTGCGGTAAATGTAACAGAGGTAACAACAGTTATTCCCTTTTGACCTATTTAGTACCTTACTACCTTCTCGAGATTCTAATGCGGGTCCCGGATTAAGATTCAGAGTAAATTTATTTAAATAAGGTTCTCAGTTATATAGCACTATCTATAAGTTAAATGACATTTTATTATTTGAAACTAATGCTGAAATTTAAAATCTTTAAACCTCCGTATTCTCTTCATTTACCAGGTGGTCCGGCAGCATATTTGCTATTGCAGATGCATAAAAATAACACATACCTGTAAGAGAGTAGTATGACTCGCGTAAGTTCTTCGCGATCTGCGTCCACCTGGTCTTCTCCCCGCCCAGTCCAGATATAAGCATCTCAGCTCGCTTTAGTTTGTTGCTGCAGTCCATTACCTCATCATCTAACATCTTCTGTTGACGATTCTGCTCAGCTAATGCGTCTTCTAACTTTCCAAGTTTAAGTTGCACCTATTTCCGACAGTGTTTATTTATTATTAAGAAACTGGCTTTAAACTTCCATTAAACAGATTTCTATGACTAAATCTTTTTATTTCAAACTTAATAAATTATAAGGACATAGATTATGAATATAGTCTTGATTAAAGATTTTAATCTATCAATTATTAAGTAAACAATATAAGTTAATACATATATCATAAATACCTCTCTGAGTTGAGCTTGTTTAATGGCGAGAGCTGCCATTGCCTTGTCGTAAACAGTTTGAGCGGCTGCCAAACGTTGCTTTTTAGGGGCTACCACCTTTGCCACTTTATCGTACTTCGTCATTGCAATCACCCATTTGCACATACCTACCACATCATTATTTTTTAGTCTCTATCTCCTGGTATACTGTATAATATTGAAGGCGACTCTATTTATTTTTTCTCCGACGAGCATTCATATGTTGTTCCACAAAAACTACTTCTGTCATTTTGAAGAAAATTAGCGTAATTACAGTATTCAGGAGGAAATTATATCTATTGCAAAATTAACTCAATTTTGGCATAGATATCGCCGAACATACACCAAAACAGTAGAATTAAGAACGTACTCCTTTTAACAATCAATAATATGTAGACAGACTTTATATAGTAAGATTTCTTTAAAAAGGATAATTAATTATCCTTTTAAAGAAATCTTACATTAGTCTTAGAAGTAACTGCATGCTTTATCCCATTATATAAGATATGCCATCTGACCAATAAATAATGTAATTTTATCATTTATCGTTACTCATAAGAAAATGTTACATTACTGATATAATTTTGACATAGATAAAATTAGTTTAGATTCTTACCTTCAGCAGCAACTGATACAGCTCTGATCTTCTCCGGCACGAAACCATCATCTTGCATAACAGTTGTCATTAACTTCTTCATTACTGGTGATGGAATATTATCCTTGTCATAGTTCTGCAGCGACTCCAAAAACTTAATATCGTTAAGTAGCTTTTTAGAAGGTCCCCAGTAGTCCTCGATAGTTCCAACTCCAGATGGATTTGGAATTTTATCCGGTTTTACTTCCTGTTTTGATTTAAATAAAGTAAGTACAAAGTAATAAGTAGATATATAATACTTATTAAAAGAATTTTCTAATTTGTTATTTTCAAGTCGTGATTCTTGTACTCGTAATGTAATATTATAGTCTAAAAAATTCATACGTGATATGTATCCTTGGTACTGCAAGTATCAATAAGTATCAACGTACCAAGCTATCAAACTTTACGCCTAATAATAATATCTAAAATCTAATATATACAAGTCTCTTGTCACAGCATTTGTAATAAAACTCATGCGAAACGGCTTGACCGGTTGTTATAAAATTTTGTGTGTACCTATATGCAATAGGTCTGAGAATAGGACTTAATCTATTTTTCATATCCCAAAGTGTTTATCCCGAAAATTTGTAATATTAATTTTTAATGACTCGGCATTAACAAATATTACAACATTAAAATATCATCAAATTTTTCAATAGCAATTTTAATTTATATGACATAATAAAGTATGGTGTGTCAAAGAGTGTCAAAAATATACCTATTAAAAAAAATATCCTGCTAACGTAACGCACTGCTGCTAACGTACTAAGAAATACTTTGTATAAATTTGCATATGCCAGATATCACACAGTTTTCAAATGTTATAACATAATTTTAACTTACAAACAATACTTACACCTATTCTTTATGATGTTAGATGTTGAAGCTATTAGTAAATACAAACTTACCGGGTCATCCTTTTGCAAAAGCATAAGAAAAATAAAAAATTATCACAAAAATTTCAACAAGCACAAATAATCAAACTACAATAGTTCTCCTAAGTCCAGTTAGGAGAATATTGAAGTAAGAAGCAAGTATGATAAATTATCTACAGGCAGTAGTTTTGGATATTCACCGTATATATTGTTATTTTATAATTATACAGGTTATATAGGCTATTAAGTCTTCATAGCCTTTCTACGCTTAACTACAAATAACGGAGTCGATTCCAATATACATATTATTACTGTACGAATGTTTTTTTTATTGTCATCATTCATTCATTGTAAACATAACTTCACATCCATCAATCAAATCAATCAATTTAACTATTCTTTAGAAATAGGTTTGAAAATAAGTATCACATAATATAATCAATAGTAAAATTATAGTATGTTCTAACACAGACAATATTATCGGTCTATAATATATAAAGCTGCATATACACATAATGAAAACGAACAGAACAAACAGCAAATACTCAAACTTTATCAAAGATAAACATAACCTAGAGCAAATTTATCCATCTCCCCTGTCTGCCTAAGCTAATGTAGAAAACTTCAAAACAAATAGCATCCGGTTAATTAGAAACTTGAGGGATGAATATGATAAATTAATATTTAATTGGAAGATCTAAGTAATTAAAATACTTACAAATTATTAAATGTTAAGATTATAGCTTGGATTAAATGTTGACATAAACACAGTTCTAAATTACCTAAGTAATTCTCCATACCTTCAATATACAAATGGCCTCCATAACCAACTTGATGCCTCTCGGCGGGCTCTTCATAGTCTTTATAAATGTGATGTCTTGCGGTGTGAGTGTATCAAGCGCTGCTAGCGCTGAGTTCAAGATTGGCATTGCCTCTGCTAAGTCGGCGTCACATTCGTCTTTTATACCTTGGGCTTCTTTTGCCTATAGATCAGAAATAATTTTAACTGAAGCTGAATAAAGTAGTGAATAACAATAGAGTACTACAAAAAGAAGCTAATTTTATTGATGGAGATACATAAAGTCTACTAATAGTGATAATATCATATTTTTAGGTATTTGCTACCTCTGACCTACTTAAAGCAATATACAATTTGCTAGAGTGCGAAATAAAACACAATTTTGATAAACCCTTGAAATACTATTCAAATTACAAAGTATTTCAAGGGTTTATCAGAATTGTGTTTTATTTCGCACTCTAGCATATTAATACACACACTCACTATTGCATAATAATACACAAAATATTGCATAGTATTTCTAAGAGAAATTGTTAGCATACGTGTATAGACTACATACTGTATGTTGAATATTAAAGTATGCAATTTGTTTCTTAAATTAGATATGTATCAATATTTCAATCACATGACTGTAAGTAAGTCAAAATATATAGCATCTATTACTTATTTCGTGGTGATACTTTGTATACTCTTCTCCATGATATACCTGTTCCTCTGCAGCTGCTTGGTCCATAAGTACTTCAGCTTCTACCAAAGCTACTCCTTCTTTTTCCTTCTCTACTTTAGCCGTAGTTTCAGCTACCGCTGCAGCACCAGCGGCTAATTTCGGTTGTAGAACTTCTAATGCTTGTTGTAGTGCCGCTACTGATTTTGCTGCTATGGCTAACTGATCTAAACCGGTAAGATATCGCTTTTCTCCTGTCAATAACTCTCTGTATGGACAATTTTGTATAATTGTAATAGAGAAATATTACATTGTATCACCTACATATTATTTAAGTAACACTTCATTATCAATAAAGATGTATCAATGCTACCAAAAATTACTTCAAGAATAAGGTATTAGAAATGGATACAGCAAATCAACTCACGTGCGTTTCTTTCCTAAGAGTGACTTGAACATATTTATAAGTTCGAGATACGCCGTGGGTGTAACATAATTGTATCTCTTAAGCCTAAGCAGGAACTGACGGGTCAACTCCTGCGTATCGGTGTGGAACACCTGGCACAGTTTGATGGCAGTGTCGCGCTCTAGGTCTGTTAGTTCCACGTCTTTCAGGAAACGTGTTGCCACAGCCAGTAGAGCATCTGGTGGCCATTCCTAGTAATATTTCAATATGTTTAAAATTTGAATTAAGTGGATGATAATAAATCTGCAACTATACAAGAATTTGAAAATTTATAATTTAAATATTCCATTCAATAGTAACATTTTTTTTGCTTTTATGGAGACGTAGACCATTTTGAATTATCAAATATAGTAAGCATAAAGAAGTTATGCTTTGAATATTGAAAAAATACTGTAGCACGAAAGGAAATAACAACCCAGTTAAACCGAAAATCTAACACATAATATAAAGAACATTTTCAACTAATTTAGGGCTGGTATAAAGACCTGGAACCAGTCAATGGTGCAGCAGTTGACGAGCGAGGGGAACTTGCGGATGCGCGTACGCAGTGAGGTTCCGGCGGGCGACATGGCGAGCACGATGTGCAGCTGGTCGCGCACGATCGACACGAAGTACGCGTACAGCGCTGTCGGGCTGCCGTCCGTTTGCACCGACTTGTCGCGCTGCCGGTCGATCTACGCACCAGTCCACATCCAAAGTCAATCTCTTCATGGATATTTTACATTAAGGTATTAAATGATTCGTATACCATTGACCTATGATTCCTCGATATGACATCTAAAGCTATCCATGACTGTGGAAGGCAATGTAAGAGATACAAATAAGTCAGCTTTGACCGCAGATTTGTTAAAACTGTACTTTCTACCACTTTCTAACGACTGAACTGTTAGCTCTCTTATTGCCATAAATATGTAAAAGAAACTTGTGCTGTAATTAACGCAGTAAAAATTATGAGTATTAATTGAAAACTTAATACAGTGGACTATGGAAGAATTAACGTTGCCGACTAAAATATTATAGCCAACTCACAACTCTCATCTTCTCGCAGAGTTCGGCTTTCTCATCAGCACTAAAAATATTAGGCACTTCTCCCGAATTTAGCATATTATTAACATCTTCTAAGAAACCTTCTTCCTTGATCTGCAACGAAAATTAATATTTTGATAATAATTGAATTTATCGAATAATATTTAATAGCTTCTGATAAAATTACCTGTGACTCGATAAACAAGAAGACCATATGCGAATCGGGTGTACTGGATTTTCTCAGCAACGTTTTCAAATCTTCTCGCCACTCATTTTTGCCGTACGTACGGCTCATTTCCACCTAAAAATATGTATTTGTGTATGTGTATATATAATAAATCAAAACTAGACAAAACCAATCGAATTTATGCAGTTCATTATATCATAAAATTTAGCTTTAGATACGAAAATGCCTAAAAAGTTGATAGCTGGTTTTATACATATCTGTGTGCTGGCTATTTAAGATTGAGCCATGTTAGAACATCAACCATATTTTAATTGTATGTTCGAGAATATATCGAATGATTTAAAGTTGAGATCACATGTGTAGCGTACACTTATATATCGGCAAAGCATGTTCTCCATATATGTCCTTTTAATTATCGATTGTACGTGTTAAACGTTTGACACTATGTTATGTTAAAGTTTAAAATTATGTGCAGTCAGAACGGTACCTGGAAGAGATCGTACTCGTTGATGTGCGCGGCGAGCCGCGTGAGCGAGTGTCGCCCCGAGCCGCCCAGCCCCACCAGCAGCGCGTGCGACCGCGGCTGCGTCAGCACGCGGCAGATACGCGACACGTGCTCGATCGCGAACCTGCACCGTTTGTTCTTCTGAAATACCACTACATATACACTACTATCAATTCTAATCTTTCGAGCCCTACTACCAATTAATGCTACGAGGATGTAATTGTCCATTATCCATAAATGTCTTCGGCAATCGTATATTTTAATGGCTATTGCCTTTTTTTATTACGAGTATATATTGCCTCATTTTGAGTTAATTATTTTTACTAGCTTTGCCTTCATTATCCTGATAATGCGCCAATTAAAAAGGAAAACGTAACAACCCTAAAATGTCTTACAATGCGTTACAAAAACATATTCCCTCTTAATGATTATTTGAACATGGTACTGCATGTATGAGGCGTTTGATTTCTGATGTGATGAAAAATTAAATCAGCGAAGTCAATTTCTGTATATGTACGAATTAGTATTTGTAGTAGGGTCCAGATTTTATGAGTAAGGGCCTAAACCAGTAGTTCCCAAATAATTTTTGCTGCGTACCACTTCAAAAAAGACCACCAACCTTGCGTACCCCTTATTGTAGCAATCACACTAATATTATAAATGCGAAAGTTTGTGAGTGTGTGTGTATGTTTGTTTTACTGATAGCCACACGTACCTACCCTTTGATGCAACTTCACGTACCCCTGGGAAACACCGGCCTAAACTAATTTATGTGATAAGGATAGAAATTCTATCACTATAAAAATGCTACTAATACTATACCCACCTAAAAAGCACAAGGTTCATCGGTTTCTTTGACATATTGTTAAATTCTACGAGAAATGCGTCTACAGTAGAATTAAGGTGCTCCATGTTTGTTGTCTCCATGTAGAATCTTGTGTCTACTTTGGGATTAGCAAAGTCGCAATAGATGAGGTTACGTAAATGTAAATCCGTTATCTAAAAATAAATAATTATTTTACTAATAGGTAGATTAGGTAGATTTTAGGAATCATATATTCGTGTCTTCGATACTCTCGGTGAAGATTTGCTTCATAATAAAAAAGCAAATACAGACCGACATAGATAGTACTCAGTAGCGCTGTCTGCGTTAATTCAGATAAAAACTGTACACTCAGATATTCACCTGGAATATATCTGTCTGTGCGTCATCTACACACATCTATCCTGTAGTTATTGCGCGTGATAGTAACCATTACGCGGCAAAATAAAAAAAATATGAAATTTTATGAGGTATACTCAATACTTAGGAGCTGTATCAATGGTTGAATGCAAGTCAGCTAATCATATGTATAGATACTACATTTTAATACATATGTCATTTACACAATTGATTAAACACGATAGTACCAATATTTCTTATTATCAATATACTATAAATAATTATAATTATATTATAATATAATAATTATTAATCAATATATGGGAAAGACAAATGAAAAAAATTGAAGTAAAAAAACCAATTAATAATTGAAAGGAAACACACTTTATCATTGGGGTCATCAAGCAGTCTCGAGAGCATCTTATCAAAGTCGTCGTTGAGATATAAAGCAGTAGACTCCCGAAGACACTGCACTAGCCATTGCCTGTCAGCATCCTCTACTAGCCGGTCCGAGAATACACGCAAACACTCGTGAACCCACAGACGTTTGATCGACTGCAAGTCAGGGGTTACTTCTGGCACTGACAATAGAACCCCCTGCAAAGAACGTTAGTTTAATTACACGTACATCTATGATACTAAGATATAAAATACTTTACAACAACTTGAGAAACAAAAGACATTTTAAGATAAACTGTATGGTAACAGAAAATACTTTTATAAACGTTTGAAAATAAAAAAACAATGGAAAATTATAATTATAGATCACAGAAAATTAATTTACCAGAATCACTCGTGAAAAATCGCGCAAGTTGAATGTGTAATGAGATTTTGATGGAGTAGGTAGTAAGTTTAGTCGACATTGCTTATACACTTCCAAAGTTCCAGACACGATCTCCTCAATACATGGATCAAATTCTTTTGAGAATCCTCTGTAAATAAAACATACTTCTTTGCCTAATTGAGAATGTAAATGGAAAGTTATATCAGACAAAACCTAAACTTCTTACAACTCATTTTATTAGCGTCTGTCACTTCTCTCAAATTAAGATAATAGATGTAAAGAAAATGCCAATAGTTTTTTCTTGATAATGACGTGCAATTACTTACTAATGTAACTAACTTTGTAAGAAGAAATTATACAAATAAACGAAAATAATATGGAATATTTAATATTTGACTATGGTAATAGAATATAAAGTACCTTGTATCTAGATGCCATAACATAATCCTTCCAAAGATAACTCTCAATGTTTCATCATCAAACTCGTCAATACAGAAGAAAGAGAAATGACGTGAAAACCTCGGTGTCACCAACTTAGCGCCTGGTGTTGGTTTGCCCATTGCGCACATAAACTACAATATAAACAGTGTTACATATACAATACTCAATTGAAATATGGTAATAGAAAACTGATAATTTTAATAGAATAAGTAAACATAAGCTAAAAAAGTGATGAACTTATCTAAAGAAGATAGAGATTAAGGTTAGAAAATCAGAGTGAGTAATTTGATTGGAGTCATTTGTTCGATAATATAATAGTTGGTATATGCTTCCAAGAGATACTAATTGAAATTAGATTAGGAATTAGTTTAGTGTTATTCTTTTGTAATGTAATACATATAAAATGAACACTTCGAGAACTTTTACTGAAATAACTCTGCGAATTGTGTTAATTGTACAACTAGAATACCTAATAATTTATTACTAAACCGAAGCTACGAAACTAGAACTTAAGCACAAAGTAAATGATGTTAGTTGTTGTAACTTAAGACTGTTTATATTTCGTATAGCCAAGATAGAGACCAAAGTAAGCAGTGGTCAGTTAGTGACCAAAATTGATAGGTTAATGTATATTGGTGTACAATTATGAAAAATGATGGGATCTTGCCAAGTGTTTTTATTTTTATTGGTTTTATCCCGATTTTTGACGTGATTTTCACGTGATCATCACCATCATCATCATCTCAGCCCGAAAGACATCCACTGAACAAAGGCCTCTACTAAAGTTCGTCATGACGATCAATCCTGCGCTGCACGCATCCAACGTCTTCTAGCGATCTTGACCAGATCGTCCGTCCACCTTACTGGAGGCACTTTCCCCACGCTGCGTTACCCGTGATCATAGAGGTTGAAACACTATCGAAATATCGATAACTCAGTATAAATGAACAAAACGTTGTAAGATCCTGTGATTTTTTTCCAAATTGTACGTATAAATAATGACCACGTCAAGTTTGAAACACTATGTGTATTGGTGACTGAAAATTACTAAAATGATATTTTGTAGTATCAACGGATCGTTTAATAATTCGCGTATGATTTCAATACTTCATGGTTTGTTTAGTAACCATTTTAAAAACAAAGTTATCCTCTATGTTACCTTATTCGTGTTTAAGGTTAAGATTTTATTAAAGTTGTTTGCCGGGTACAGTACCTGTACATCGATGAGGTACATGGGGATGTTGGTCTTGCGATCGTACCAGAGCCCGAGATCGATACCCTGCCGCAACACCTCAATAGGTGGCTGTGCACCGTACGTCTCCGCCTGCGGCATGCTCACATCATCCACGAACACCACGCTATAGCATCCGATGGGGGGACCGAACACACCTGGGTAATGAAAATTACTAAGGACCGAGTTAAGTTTAATAGAATATTTAAATATACTTTTATAATACAAACACTCTTTATTGACTACATGTGTAAAATTCTTGGATAGCAAAGTAGAAATCCTGACCACTTATTTATTTTCATGTTATTATAATGACTATAATTAATAGTATGAGTAAAAACAGAACAGTCATCATTATAGTGCTAAAAGTTCCTCAGAAATTTCACAATGACCTATGCAAATATTTTATTTATGTCCAATAACTTTACCTTTCCTTCTCTTATCTAGTTTTCCCATAATAATATCTTGCGTTTGATTGCAATTGGTTTGAGCAGAAAACGCCATGATGAGAGCTTTGTACACTTTTGTATCCACTCTCTTTACCAAGTAATCCTAAAAATAATTTATATAATTGTTTTATTTTTAAAAGTATATTCATGTGAAGCAGTATTATATTTATCTATAGTAAGACAGAGACTGGATAACCACTAACAATTTGCATTTTCGTAGTACTTCGCCGAAGTGTTAGAAATTTATTGAGTTTAGGTACTTGTTAAACTTCACCAGTAATTTTCTGTTTAGTGACTGAACACATTGGTCTATTCTCAGTAGTGGTTGATATATAGTAACTAAATATTATTATCATAAAATAATTTGAAACTCATATATCAAATAATATATTTGAGGTATTATCTTATAATCTATATACATCTGAAACATAGAATCTACTAAATAGTTTTGTTATTTATTACAAATCTTTTTTTTACTGAAATTAACTCTAATATAATTTATCTCTTAGCTTAAATGAAATATAGAGACAATATAAAACATAATACTCACGATGATGTACGACGATTTGCCAGTCCCAGTAGGCCCAACCATCATGACAGCCTTATGGTGAGTAACAAGGAGTTTGAATAGGGCCAAGTAACGGACGCTGTCGAGAGTGGTCACCAGTATCTGGTTGGGCGGCGTGTCACGACTTATAGCAGGAGCAGATATTACATCATCTTGCCACGGCTTCCATTTACCTTTACCCTTACAAAAACAAGAAACAGATATATTTAGTTAATTTCTATATCACGAGGCAATGTCTATATGTCACAATATCGTAGATCGTGTGTTAAGCAGGTGTAGATATTACATCATCTTAAAACGGCTTTTATTAACCCTTACTCTTAGATTATTTAAATTATTAACCGGGTTTTAACAAGAATAATTTTATGGCAAATAAAGGTATTTACCTCTCTCGACGTTTCGACTAGTGCAACCTAGTATTCCTGTTAAGACCCGGTTAATAATTTAAATAATGTATATTAAACACGAAAGTTTAAAAGTAACTTACTCTTAGATGTACGAAATAAAAATTATTAAAGATTAAAGATATTTAGGTACATATGCTCAAGGCAATTGTTGAATTCTGTACCATAAGGCTATAATGTTTAAAGTACTATAGACGACCCTATATTGTATATAGTGTACTTACCTCTTTAATATATCGATAATCATAAACCAGCCCTTCTTTTGGTATAGCAAAAATATATTGTTTCTCAGGTTTAGCTATTTCTCTCGGATATCCAAGAGCTTCTATAACCTGAAATGTTTCAAAATTGTTACAATACAGAATATTTCAGGAAAACATATTTTCAGTTATATTTTAGGTACTCCTTTTAATTGTATTCGTATTGAAACTGAAAAAATAAGATTAGATTTGATAATACAAAATAGTTAACCTTTTCAGGAAATTCTTTTTCAAGCAACCCTCTGAATAGCATGTCAAACTTGGGACGACTATCCGCTTCGAGCGTGGCTCCGATAGACCAGATGCACGAGAAAAAGAACACACCCTAGAACGAAAGTAAATTTATTCACAGTTACATATTTTCATGATATATCGTAAAATCAATATTTAAGGCAATGTCTATTAATCAGGTAGGTTACCTCAAGCTGTGCTCGAATATCCAAATCCGATATTGCTTCTACATATTTCTCGTCGTAAAAATCGTCCATGAATGTATCAAAAAGATTCATGCATGCCACCAATAAATTGCTACGAGATGTGACGCACATTTGCTGAAATCAAAATCATCTAGATTTAGTTTGCACCAGGCTATAAATTGTTAAAATTACCTTAAGAAATACATTAAGGTGGAAAAAATTTTAGATTGCATATCATACTTAGTGAAGAAAGTACATCTAAAAGTCAAATAACAACATAAATAATTGATACGAATCAAAATTAAATTTAATCCATGACAAACATTTCTAAGAAACAAAACGAAATAACGATAAACAACTTCATAAACAAAATGAGAATAAATCCCATGCTAATTGGAACATTTTATTAGACAAAATAATGAACGAAAAAAAGTTGTAATCACGCGTGGGTATTTGAAAAATACAGTATCATAATCATGTTACTTGCAAATATTTTGTGAATACGTCCTTTGTATTTTCAAAGACATTACCTACACGGGCTAAGTCGCTTGGAGGTTACCTTTGAAGTTCGTAAAATATTATCCAAGTGAATAAAAGGAATTTAATATCATCTGTTTCCGAGTCTTCGGTAAAATTTATTTCAATCCTCAAACATTCCACGCATTCACAAAGCTCTTTAGAATTCAATAAAATAATGTTATAAAAAGTATATTATATCAAGATTGAAATTGTAATGCTATTATAGCTTTCACAAGTGAACGTTTTCCGTATATGTCCTCATGTGTACTATGTATGAAATAAGTAGGGGTAAGTAGCTTAGCAATTTTTTTTATATAGCATAGGAAACAGACGATCTTGCGACACCTGATGGTAAGTAATGCAATAATTAATGCATGCAAGAAATTGAAATGAAGACTGACTATTCTACGGCCACCAACCTTAGTCTTCCCTGAGTACTCGACGAGCCAAAGTAGAGGTGACATGAACCTATTGAAGAGAGAACGGATGAGGTTCTTATTAACATTGTGTAAAGTAGGCGGCAGAGTGTTCAGCCAAGACTCCAGTAGGCATTTCCATCCGAGACCTTTAGGTTCCATATAAATCATACCGCAACGCGATACCTACAATAACATTCTCTTGTTAAAATAATACCATGTAAGGATTTATTTTTACATAATATATAACTTTATGCGATTATTATTAATAATAATAAGTCAGGACCAATGCAAAGAGTGTCATCTAGTCCCAAGTCAAGCAGAGTCAACTGATATAAATACTTACTAACTTTTTTTGTAAATACATACATAATACACATAGATAACACCCAGATCGATACAAACAATCATACTTATAAATACAATTGTTTGTACCGTTAGAGGAATCGAACCAGCGACCATCGGAAGTAAGACAGTATTAAACCATTCAACCACCAAGGCTGTCAATATTTGACAGCGTATGGTATTGCCATTGGTCTTTCCATTCACGCAAATCAAATATTAATATATTAAGGCCTAAAATCATTTTTAGTTATATTCGGAATTGAAATACCTAGTAAACAGATTTAGGTATTACTCAAGACAATGATTTTTTTAAGTAATGTAAAACTTTATAATATGTTAAAGATTAAAGAATCTGTTCAAGAATTTACCGTTGCAGGGGAAGCAGCCTCAAGGTCCATCGGCTCGAACACTAAGTTAGTAGTGGGAGCGAGTTGGATGATCTCACCGCTCATAAGACACAACTTTTTATTGTCGTCCAGTACTGTGTTCAAATTTTCGATCCAAATCGCGTCTACGGGACCATCAAACACCAACCATTTCCTAATATTTAAGAAATATTACATAACGTATGAATTCTATACAGAGCTTCGAGCACAGAGTATCATAATAACTAAACTAGAGTATACAATAACTAAAAAAGTTTTCAGTCTGTACATACACAGACTGAAAACTTTTTTATTTATTTTGGAAACATATAACAATTTTGCACGAATACACAGTGTTGTCATATGATTTCTATATAATAATGATAATATATCAGGACAATTTAGATTAGCACCATCTAGTTCCAAGTTAAGCAGATCCCAAGGTGTAATGGACAACTGATATAAATACATAGATACTTTTTCTGCTCTGTGCTATAATACAGGATGACCGGAAAAAAGTTAAAGACTTCTTTAATAGACCTCTTTCGATACATTTCTTAATAAGTCATACATGCATACCGTTCCTCAAAACAATTTAGATATTACAATATAATGTTATATAGTTATAGACCTATTATTATTTGGCGACACTGCAAAAGCCCTGTAGCTGACTGCCAATATTCCATCAGACCACTCGTGAGAGACCGGATCAAACTGCCCATATAGTTGACCCATAGTGATAGACTTGGGATTGATCACAGTCCATTCCACTGCATTCTCATCCATAAGACCCTAAAAAACAATATATTGATGGAAATTTATAATCTACTGTCAATCTGCACCCACGTAAGCAAAATTTAAACATTTTCTTTTTATAATATTAGTTTAAAAATATGGCAAAATTCGTCAAACAAATGAAAGAAACATAAAGTCCAATAGTGTTCTGATAAAGTTTTAAAATTACCTTTTCGGATACCAGACCTAAAGCGTGTCCAAGAGCATGATAGCATTTTGTCTTTCCAGAAAATGGAAATCCGACTAACATGAGACCATGGCGTACTAGAATCATTTCATATAGTTGAAGAACCTGTTGAAAATAAGAAATATATTCCTATATAAGTATTTGGAAAATTTTAGTAATTTTGGGCGACACCTATTGGTACAATTGTTAGATCTCCAATCAAAGAACCAGTTTTTAGTTATAAAATAGTGAGTTGCTGCTCTTTGTTTTAGACACCCCTGATTTATCTTTGCGTGTGCCATGTTTGATTGGCTATCTTTATAACATAAAAATGATTCCTGATATAGCTTACCTTTTCAATAAAGAATTCGTTAGCTTGCAAATTCAGTGGACCACATGCTTCCTTGAGACAAGTTACTAGATGAGGTAATCCGGCTTGAGGTAGCGGTAATCCGGGGAATAAATCACCAATGATACCCTACAAATCGGAATAGTGGAGTAATGGATTCAAAATATAAAATTAGGTATTTATACAATGGCCCACGTTTAAGTGAATTTAATTAGGTACCATGAAAAGCGGAACGTCATGCTCCAAAAACTTGGGTAGATTGACGTCCTTGATGGATCGTAGTAGGATCACATCTTCGTCTTCATCAGGGTACCGCAGCTTCAGTGCTCCCGCTGCACGCAGTACAGACTTCACCGCGCGCATGCCTGACATAGATACCAATAATTTAATCTCTTTAAAAAATTACATTGCTGCCACAGTTACAAATAGTCTGTTAGCCACCATAGTGTAGTATTCAGATCTATTGCATTAACTATTGTAACCATTTCACTGAGTAATTATGTAATTAAATAAAATAACTTTCAATAATTTGGAGGTACATAAAATTTTATTAAGATAACAGTAATATTTTTGCACTAAATACATTATCTAGTATTAAATAGTAAATTAGAATTTTAAAGTGAAACTGCCATGACTGTAGTATCTACATTTTTAATAAGTAATGATCATTTGCTTCTTTTAGTATCGTCTATCGCCCTTCTGTCTTTTTAACGCCTAAGTGACGGAACACGATATGAGCTTATGGTATTCTGTTCTATAAAAGGAATGGATAAAATCTAGTTCTACGTATGAATTTGTTGTACATTACTAAAAAAATACAAATAAATGTTATAACGAAACAGACTTGTACATATACTAATTCATTTTGAAGAATATTTACAATTTATATATTTTGCAATTAGTTTAGAACCAAACAATTACCGTAATCATAGTGACTCTGCGAAGACAACTGCTCTGAACAGAGTCTGTATGTTGCCACGATCTTAACAGCCAACGGCTTCGCGTTTAAATAGCCAAACGCATACAGCTCAATTTCAGAAATCAGCACGTAATCCGGCACCATCATGGCTACAGAGCGAAATAGAGCCTATGACAAACACATTAATACATATATTACAATCTTTACTAATATTATTATATCATACGTAACATTAAATCTTTGTCAACACTTATGCCTAAAGAATTTATTATAGGCTAACTGGAAATAATAATTTGACCGTTATCAACTAAGTAAGTTAACAAGCTCTTTGTAGAAGGCAAAATACATGAGAAAGCTATAAAAGTGAATGAAGTATGAAAGATTTTGATACTCCTTATTATTACATGACACATAGCGGATCTTGCATTAATATACAGATAAAACTACCTTCAAATTATCAGGTAACTCCGATCGTCCAGCATACCCTGGATTCATAGTGATGAAGACAGCGCATGACTTGTCAAGTTGTAGTAAGGTTCCTTCAAACAACAGTTCTGTGGCACCCGAATTGATGCCACGCTGAATAGATAGGATTTGCTGTGCCACCACCGACAGCACCTCCAAGTCTATGCGGTTGAATTCGTCAAAACATGACCACGCGCCGCATGATGCTAGACCCTGCAATGATTTACAATGATTCACCTTGTACTGGAGAATTTCTAATTGAACCAAATGATCAAATTTTAATCTCATTCTTGCATCATTTCCTAATGGGGCATTCAAGCAAATAAAATCACCATTAGAACATGTAACGTTACTATATAAATTTAATAGAATCAATTCTTTATAGAAATTATTAACTTTACTGTTGTTTTTCTTTAATCGATTTATAGGTATGCTTTATCATATCATATCTAAATATCAAATCTATCTCCTATGACTACATATCATATTATTATGTATGTACTTTTTATATATTTTTTAAGACTAGCAGAACTATTAAAATACTTAAAACATACAAATTCAAACTTACCTTGAAGAACTTTCCAAGAGCAATGTAATCGAGGCCATCAGAACAATTGAAGACTACGCACTGTTTGGCAACTGCCTTTGCGAGATCCTTTGTGGTTTCCGTTTTTCCTGTACCAGCCGGACCTTCCGGAGCACCACCTATTGTATATTTTGCAATTAAAGTTTACTTTCTGTAAATTTTGCTTAAATCTTCAGAAATATATACATACTTTCTTGCAAAGTTTAGTCAAAACAAAGAATTATGTAAAATTTTGACATTGATTCCCTTAAAATTATTACGCTTAAGGCATAATTTAGTTATCACTGGTCTTGATCTAACTCACCTAAGTTCAAATGTAAAGCACCAAACAGAGTTCTGAAGCACCTGTCGGTGAGCGGAGTGACGACGAGGCGACCCGTGTTACCTAAGTACTCGTAGCCATACATCAGCTGCGAGTTTATCATACGAGTTGCTATCTGCATACTCTTGTCTTCCTCTTGCTCCTAATAGACATTCAATGTAGAAAGTATAATAGACATCCAATGTAGAAAGTATGATTATTTCGACGACTTACGGGACATTGATTTTATTTTGACCATAAATATCCATCGTAATGGAAGACCAGATATGCTCAGAGAAATGAAATATGTTGACCTAAGAGTAACAAACATCCATCCACACTCTCAAACTTTCGCGTTTACCTATAATATTAATAAGATTCACCTATTCATCTCTCAAGATATCCTCACATACATTGAATCTCTGGTCACAGAAATAAAAGTAATTACCTCCCAATAGTATCGAATTTGTGACAGCCAATTGAAATCATTGTCATGTTGTACATTGCATTCGATCAACAACATTAATACATCTCTTGCGTGTACGTCTAGCACCACCAAAGCGCCTATAATAATAAATCATTATTCAACTGCTGTGTCAGATTTGCCTGAATACAATATAAGGAAAACTCCTATTTGTTTTTAATTAAATATAGCCCATCTTACGAGCATTTGTTATAACGCATATAACGCTTAGTACAGGCAAATGATTTTTTAAAATCGTCTAAAAATATTTTGAGTGGCGAACAATTGCAAAAAAATATTTCCTTCTTTACATAGCATATACAAAGTCACCGCCGCTCTACACCAAGTTCTTTTAAACTACGCAATCAATTTTGATGCAGCTTTCAGCATTAGATAGGAAGGTATATAAGATATGCATATTATAGTAGATACAGAAAAACCAAGAAATTGAGAGTTTTGTTTGTAAATTACCCGTGCGAAACTGGAGAAGCTCCCTAGTTTATAATATTAAAACAGTTTCGAGGTAATAGTCAATTAATAAAGAATTGTGAGATACATACCAAGCGTAATTCTGTTTTGTAAACTGAGCTCCCCACGCACTAAATCTACGATTTTGGAAATTTGGAAGTTGCACTTGTCCCAGTAGGCTCTCATCGCCGGTATGCTGATGTGGATAGCCTCGGTCACTTCCGACGTCCAAAACGTCATCGCTATACATTGAACCTACATGGAAAGTATTCCCTAGATCAGTCTCACATTTACTTTTAACTCTGAATGAGCAGGTAATAATAATATTAATAATAATACCCCTGGACAATTTACTTAACGTCATCTAGTAGCAAGGTAAGCAGGCATTGTGTTATGAGTGCTTAACAACTGATATCTTAACAAAAGTTAGTTTATCCCCTGTACTATAAAGAAAGTAGGTAATTATGATAGCAAATTACTGTAATTTTCAGAGAAATCGAGCAGAACATTGTAAAGACTTACCGCTTGACCGGGCCACACAAGAACCCAATTGTCACGAGGCCTCTGTGAATAGTCATCATAAGATAACGCAACCACGTGGTGCACAGAAGACTTCATTGCTTTCTCCAATTCTAGAAGCCACTTTTCCACCTGTATATACCAATAAAAAAAAGTAAAAAAAATAATTAATCATGAATCATTTATATGTCTCAAATAATACAATTGCTCTTTATAATAAAATAAAAGGTATTAATTATTATATTTAGCATATAAGGAATTTACTATATAATAACGGTCCAGTGTCATTCATTACACAGGGCAGATATGTGGATAAAGCTGTACTAATAAATATATACTACTTTTCAGCAGTACAATTTTAAATGTAAATCTTTATTGTTTTTGTATAATATATAAATAAACAATGAAGACAAACAAATGGACTACAACTCAGAGGAGGCAGTAAGTGCACCCTCTCTGCTATTCTGTTACAACCATAATAGCAGAGAGGGGGCTACCAACTAATTACAATAAAATATCAACGTCGACGATAGCATTTAAGTCTGTCCTTTACTAATAAAGTAATTAAGCATAATTTAACAATAACAAAATTACAAACTCAAAATTTGACAATTAAATAAACAACATAAAAATTTGAGAATAATAAAATTACAAACTAAACTTACTCATTAAACACAAGAACAAAATTAAATAAATAACAAAGTAGATGCTGATGATATGTGGCTAAGACTTAAAGAAAAGACCAGTGATACCTGTCCTCTTGCAGCAGCAGTATTTATAGTCATCGTAAGTAGAACAATTTCTCCCTCTGAGGATCTCATATGCGTCACCACCATATCTTCCGTGAACGTCAACTTTGCGATGCCTTCGAAGCACTTCTTCAAATGGGGCTGTACACTATAATTAAATAATTCATTTGTATGGATCTATACAGATCGCAGTGTTACAGATCTTAGCACCTAACAATAGCCCAATCCCCCAATAAAAATAAAAAAAAGATGATATTTGATGTTCATAGAGGTGACAATATTTTGTTATCAATCAAATGTGACAACGTTTGTCAACAAAATCTTGATAACAGATGTTGCCAACAAAATCTATGTTATTCAGAACGGATGCATTCATAAAAAAACATAACTGAACTTTAGAATAAAACATGCTAAAAAGATGTCGTCGTGTCGTCCAAAGAAACATCCAATGACTAATATTATAAACGAAAGTTTGTGACTATGGATAGATGTTTGTAACTCTTACAGGCAAAAATTATAATACATAACGGATTTTAATGAAACTTTACAGTTTTATAGGTTTATACATCAGAATAATATATAGGCTATAAATTTCATGCGGATGAAACCGCGGTCACAGCTAGTAATTAATATTTCTCAAGTCTTTAAAACACATTTTAATTACCGCATAGGATCTTTAGTTTCAGACAGTATCTCGAGCAGCTCGTCATTGGACAAGAAGAAGAAACGCGGGAAATAGAGACGCTTCTTCTCTAAATAAGCGTTGAGGCCACGCTGCACCAATTCTAGCAGATTATTAGACTTACGAAGTCTATCCAGCATTTTTTCTATCATAATCACATCTAGCACACGAGGCTCTGTGTATGCAGCTTTCATTATTTCACGCCACATCTGTATATGACATTAATTATAAATAGAAATAATCTTTATTCATATAAACTTTATATTAAAAAACTTTTAACACTCATTCGGAAATGCAGTCTTACCCTAAGAAGTATGAATAAAAGAGTCGCTCTTTTAAATGTTGTTTTAAATAAATACACATTAACAAGAATTAGGCACGCGACTATCAACATAGAAACCGCTAGCGCACCCAGTCTTTGTGGAATCGAATATTACTGTCAGCGTTATGAATTTCAATTTTTTTTTATAAAAAATTAAAACTATAAGTACTTCTAAAATACTTGGGATTACATGATACCTTATCAACAGCACTGAATCGGCGTCCTTCCTCTGGAATTTGCTGTTGAATATCAGGCGATGAAAAGATTGGCTCCAAATACATCCACGTAGCCTGAACTTTGAGCCATTCGTCTAGAATCTCTTGCAATAGTATTAGCTTACCTTCCCAGTCGCTAATAAATTATACACATAGCACATAAATATATATGAGTTAAGGATAATGTATTCATTAATATTAATAGACATAGAGAAAAAAAATTAAGATTCATTCCATTGTAGGTTTCGCCATGCCAAGGAAGTTAGGAATTTGATTTCCCTTCATTTAAAATAATTTGCGTTAGGAAGAAATTCTCAACTATATTTATTTCATATCATAACATTCCTTAACATTGAATAGATTTCGAGAAATTCTCCGAATTTGCAAGATTTTGCGACTAACGTAGTCTCATATAAATTTTATCGAAACTTACACAATAATCTCTTCGAATGGCTTGATATAGGGGGAATTCTTCATTGTCTGAGTCTTAACGATATGATCGTCAAGCAACAATTGAATTTCGTCGACGCTAGACAAAATGTATGTACCGGTATCTCTGTAAATAATGTTTTTTTGTACAATACAATTACCTGTGTAACAAGCAAGATATATTTTTAATTTAGTCGAGAAATTTATGATAGTGTATCATTAATTTCTAGAACTCCAATTTTAATGTAATAATTAACTCTGGACAATTCATACAGCGTCATCTTGTCCCATGCTAAGCAGAGCTTGTGCTGATACAGATACATTAGTTATATTGTTCTCGTAAATACTCATATAGAAAAGAAAACACTCAGACCGATGCAAACAATCATACTCATGAATACGAATGTTTTTTATACCGTCCGAGGAATCGAACTGCCGACCATTTGAAGCAAGGCTAAACCGCTAAACTACCGAGACCATCGGTGGTTTAATAGTTTAGTACATTGATAATTAATTATTAATAATAAATATAGTTGCATGCCTACTATGCTATATCAGACGAATATGTGATCTTCATCTATATAACATGTTTAACAAGATAACTTACGTACCATATTTGAAGCAATAAATATATTTTATTATATATATACCTACTATTAGTATCATAAACTAATAGAAATACATTTCAATACAAAATTCAGAACAACCAAACCGTGGCAATTTGTGCAAGTATTAATTAATTACAAAACTTTTAATGATGCTCAACTAGTTAACGCCTACTTGTCTACGGGTTCGTTTACAGTTGCGAGCTTTTGTTTTTGTTTTATGTGTCAAACAAAACATATCCATGTATATATTACATCAGTACTAATTATTACACGTGATTTAGTTTTCTTTAGATAAAATATACCATATGAATCGTCCTCCTGATATTTTCTATCTTCATGTAAAATTTCATTAAGATCCAATCGTTTAGTCATACCGGTCACACTAAGGTATCAGATAAAGTGTTTTTTTTATAATATTAGTATGAAAATATTGTAAAAATAATAGTTTTAGTAATAAAAATATCTCAGGACAATTCAGACAGCGGATTCTAATCCAAGTTAAGCAGAGCTTGTGTTATGGGCACTAGACAACATATATGTTTTATACATATATGTTGTCTAGTAAAAACACACTCATATAATATAAAGTTACATGGAATGATGATATATACAAGAAACATGTTTCTATGTAAAAACAAATACATATTTACATAGACACATTTGTCTTGTACATACATATAAAACACCCAGATCGATATAAACAATCATACTCATGAATACAAATGTTTGTACCATGCAAGGTATCGAACCCGTGATCATAGGAGTAAGGCGGTGTGCTAAACCGCTGGACCATCGAAGTCGTCTAATTTGATAAATTAATTATTACTTGTAAGGAAGAATTTCGAATTTCAGGTCGGCCCATTCCTTCATCATCTTATCCAAGGCTTTTTCGAGATTGTTCTCCTTAGTAGCGGCTTCCGATATACCCTCGAATTTGTCAATATAATCTACCAAATTAAAGTCGATTACTTTCTCAAGAGACAGTTCATCGTCCACGACAATAGGGAAACCAACGATTTCGGAAATCTTCTCCCAGTGTCGGGGTTTCATGCCGGGGTTACCTAGAGTCTGTATTATGGGCATGTTAGTCTTGAATTCGTCCATTTTCTCTCTAAAATTAAATGTGACAGTAATTTGATCTTAGTTTCTTTCGTAGATTACTTATGAAAGATTTTGAAAAGCTTATACCTACTTAAAAAACTACTTCAGATAGTCCTTAAATTAATGGGCTTGAAAAGGCGCAATATACAAATTTAGAGTCCCGACTGTGGTTGGGAGTCTAAATTGCATGTCCCTGAGTCTGTGTTGCCACAACAAGACTAGATAGAGTCGAGAATTTACTGTATTTTTTTTCTGTGGTATTTCTGATGACGTCAGAAAAAAAAAACTTGTCACAGTATACCACTCCCTTAAGTCAATACTCTTACTTCATAGAGGTAAAATGCATATGGTAGTAAATAGTAATGTCATAAAGGTAGAATGACAATACACGAGTGGTATAACTAGTGTCATATGAACGTAGTACTGTTCATGTACTGTAGACGACGTATACCACTTACCATCAATAACTATTATATAAAAAACGACTATCAAAATTACCTAACAGATACAGCCAGACGATATGTGTCCGGAACTTCTTGGAACGACTTCTCTAATTTATAGACAATTTTATAATAGTAACCAACATCGCCTTCAATATCTTCAGGATCAAAACTGCCAACCTGTGAAAACGACCCTTTGCTTATAAAATATACAACATGTAAATAATATATTAAAACGAAAATAACAAACGACCTTATTTATTAAAAAATAAAAAATTATATTTAAAGAATTAAAGCTATCCTATAAATCCTATCCGTATTATAAATGTGAATATTAGTCAAAATCCGTACTTCGAATATTCGTAAAAAGTGTGACTGTCTGTCTGTCTATTTGATATCTTTTTATTATTAAAAAGTTTAAACTGACTTTTATCTAAAAAAAAATTGATAAAGTCGCGTGTATAATGGTTAGTCCTAACATTTATAGAAAATATTTGGATTACAAAGACAGCTAGAAGGAGTTCATAAATACAAAGTAACAGAATCACTATGAAATTTGATGTTACTACATACTAACATAAATATATAGTTATCTATATATTAAATATAATATTGGACTATATTATACTTGAAATAGGTATACCCTATAGTTATAAAATGGCAATATAACCATTATCTGTAAGGTACAAATGAAATTAAATTATGGCATTTTTTTGTAATATAATGTAGAAAAAGAATTAATATGATTCATTTATTACAAATAATTATTACAGTCTCCGTCATTAGACTCAGCTAACTTTCAAATTAAAAAATTAATTAAATATTATTCATTTTACAATATTCGTACGCCAAATAATATTACAGACACTCGATATAAGTACTAATCATATATACATCAATATCGCCCAGACAGAGCGAGTATATTCTCTGCCCCCTGTGGCATGGCAACGAATAGGGGGTTCTCCCTTGTTCGTTGCCATGCCACCAGACAGAAATCAGGTACTACGCCTCCCATGTTAGGGATTGGTACAGCGATGCGTTCATTACGAACATACCTAGTTAATTTGTATATCAAATCCGCAACTGTAGCAATCAATATAGGTATCATTACCCTTTTATTCGTACTAGTAGTCGCTCAGTGATCGAAATTCATAATTAATTTAAATTATAAATTCATTTATAACTTTAAGTCAGACTACAATATTAAAGACAAACAATATTATCTCAATTTGACCACATATTTTAACATAAAACAAAAATTCTTGTGTGTGCAAATACATATGTACAGTAGTGTGTGTAATGTATTTTCATACAAAATTAATTAAAATATTAGCCTCTGCACTCCTTCTCTATATAAACTATAAGTGTCTGAAATTACATACTCCTACCTCTCCGCAATTTTCGTAAAAAGGGGTACATAGTTTTTGCTTTACGAATTAATATGTATAGATCTATTGTTTCTGCGTTTAATGATAGTTGTTTGTTTGTTGTTACCTGTATTTTACTATAGTTAAAATAATGTAATATATAGTATAAGAAATATCAAATTATATAGATGTTAAATTATTACTATGCAATTTATTTTACAAATAGGGACACATACTTTTGATTTCATCCAATTATTGTGTTTCTCAAGAAAATCAAATCCAGCGTCAAATAGCTTCTTGAATGGCACGAGTCGATCATAGACGGCCTTTCTTTTTGGATACTGTGAAAGTTCCCATCCGAATGATGTTTCTTCTTCATTGAACTGATCTATTTTTGATAAAGCATTTGATAGCCTGAAAGAAAAAAGGATCAAGTGCATACAAATTTAATTAAATTCATAGACTTCATACTGCAAAATTTTCTATCGATGATGATGATGAATGATCTACATATTTGTTAGAGACCAATATATAATATTGTTACTGACTTTGATTTTCATGATAAATAAACTACATTTAGAAAATCAGTACAATTATTATATATTGTACTCTCACAAATAAATCAATGATGTACATTGTATTTCAATGTTGATACAATATTGATTTACAAATTGTCATAAAAAATGACATTAATAATAAAATACTTTCAAAAATCGTCAATTGAGTACAGTGTAGATATTTTTCTAATAGTGGTGACATATTTTTTTTTGTATAACAACTAAATTTATTTGTCCATACTTAGTTATTACTTTTTCATTATTTATGACTTTTTAAATTTAATCTACTCAGAATCAATTATAAATTAACATAATACTTACTTCTCATCCAAGTGTCGCGCACGGCTAACGTATTTTGGCAGTTCGTTGATTTCACCCCAATATTGCAATTCATTGCATTGTGTTTCGTAGATCTCTAAATCGTCAATAAACTTCGCAATTCGAACCTAAAATTAAATAGAAATAATTTTCATTAAAAGCAAATTTCAAGTTACTTTCAATAATTCTTATAGTTAAGAATTAACTATTATATACCTATACTAAAAAACCATTAGCCAAATACATTAGAAGTTCGTTGCAAACTAAGTTATAGAAATATTGCTTTATATTTCTATAGTACAGTAAACGAATACCTAAAAGAAACTATTTGCAAGTGTTGCACACCTTCTACCCTTATCATTTATTTTATCCATACTAATACTATATAAATAACAAGTAGTGTCCTGTTTGTTACCTTTACACATGTAAACAGTTGAACGAAATTTAATGAAAGAAGTGAAGATTGGTTTTAATATGAGGCCGTATACTTCATCTTTAAAAAAGCAGATGTAGTTGCGAGTATCAGCAGGTACATCGCTCATATAGTACTCAAGAATTTAAAATTATTAAAATTAGACTTTAAAGATGAAACTTTAAAGTATATGTTCCACTTACATATAATGTTTCTTTTACCTTTAATAATTCCTGGTACTCGATCTTCTTTTGTTCACAGATAACTTTGCATTCTTCTATAACGCCAGGCATTCGTGCATACCTGTTTAAGTATAATTTTTAGCAATACCCATTAAATATTAAAGTATAAGCGTGACTTGCTTAAGTCGCGAGCATATGCTAGTATTGTATAAATGACTACCTACTAGGCCATAAAAGCAATACAAACCAGTGAAATGTTTGGTTGTTGGCCTTCATCTCCAATGGCGTGAAGGTGGTGTAGTCTCCGAGGAATATGATGTACCGTAACACATTGCGTAGCTTGCTTTCCATCTCGTCCAGTGATATGTGTTCTACCTTCTTACAGTATGCTATCAGGTCCATCAGCGCGGCCGTGTCCGGTGGAGGAGTCAGCAGCGTGTTGGCGATGCTCGAATATTCATCGTATATGCTGTAATAAATATAAGATATAATGAAGAGGATTTAAAGAACATGAATCTTTAAATTCTGTATTTATGTATCAATGTTATCTTGTGTTAAACTAATAATGAACATATGGAGGAACATACGTAAAAATTCTGAGATAAAAATGTTAAAAACATTTTGTCTTATGACCATCTTTGGTAGTCCAAGATTTGAACTCGATATCTTATGTATTCCGCGTATTTAGTCTACAACTGTATCTTGGACACCTTAAAATTCTACTCAGTCAATATTTCTTGATACCATTCCTATAAAAAGTATGGTATCTATATCATGACTAGAGCCCTCACTACCAATTAAATAAACGAAAAGAGAACTTAGGACTATACATGACAACAATTTGCAGATTTTGCCAATTTGAAAAGAAAACGCTACTACACATCTAGTTCTAGTTTACTGGTCCATAAACAAAATATCGCATTTGGAAAGTACACACTCTATTATCAGGAGATAAAAACCTAATCTCCTTCAATTCTTGTCCCTGTTGGGCCTAGGTATAAAGTAAAAAGAGACGAGCATATCTTCGCATTTCGCAGTGCTAATGGATACCTTGCCACAGTCCAAAACCCTCAACAAACATATATACCTATATCAAATTTAATTCAACATCTTAAAGTGGTTCAACTTGCTAGACCTTATTTAAAATGTACCTAATAATGATTTAAATATTTTATTCGGAACAAAATATTGCGGCAAATAATTGTCGTTTACATTACATTATTGTAAAAAACAATGCAGTGTGTTATGTTATTTGAAATTTTAACTCTTGTACAATTTCTTTATAACTGACCAAAATACCTAACTCAACTGACTATAAAAAGTGGAATAATATGTAATATAACAACATCCTTACAATATCAAGATATGAAAATAAGCCGTATCTTACGATTTAATCATGAACTGATAGTCCTCAGTCATCCTTTTCAGTAGAGTGTTAGCGAGCCTTGTGGCAGCTGATCGCAAGGAAGTAATGAGATCTCCCCTTTGCATGCGGTACATGCCTATCATGACCGTTCCTTCCAACTTCGAAGGTATCTCTTTAGCTAGTTTCACATATTTGACCGACTCGGCACAGAACTCCTCGAAGGTCTTCTCAGGAACAGAGTTAATGAATCCCTCCACTTTTGACAAAGACTAAAATGCATAAACAATATTATGTAAATTTTAAACCTGCCTCTTTCTTATTGAAGTAGGCTAAGTAGATTTCTTCAGTTGAAAAGTTTTATGTAATTTTTATAAAGCCGGTATGCTATTCCATTTGCATAAAAAAAATCTGGTATTTTAAAGAAACCAGAGGGATACTGAGTTTCTGATAAAACTAACTACTGAATGCCACGACTCTCGACTCTCGACTCTCGACTATTTCCACCTTCAGCTACATGCTTGCAAACAGCTATTCTATGCATCTATTTTTTGCCCCAAATACGCCAAATAGCTGCTACACGAACTTCAATTGAATTCCAACTTAGACGTTCAGTATAAAATTGACGTTGAATAAGCTTTACACTATAGTAAAAACTACATTCCCAGCGGTATTTACGAAAGAATTTATAGTTCAGAAAGCAGTTTTCTATCAATAAAGAACCTTTTAACGTGCCAGTAAATAGAAAATACTGGTAGTTCTCAAAGGTTGAGTTACACTAGCAATGTCTATTTCTATAGAGTAGGTATTCAATATAACGTAATATAATATAATATTCTAATAAATTCTTTCCAAAGTATATGTATGTGTAGATATGTGGTTATTGTATTATATATATTTATTTACATTACGAGCGCCGCCCTTTTTATAATTACTTTCTCTGACTAGTATTCTACTGGTAGTCTGAAAAAGATTGCTAAGTGAGAATATCGTTTTCTCTTTTGTATCAGTTTATGTTTCTTTTAATGATTTTTTTATCTGGTACAATAAAGAGCTTAAGCTTAAGCTATTTAAAATTATATATATTTTAAATAGCTATTAGCTAAAAAATATGTTGAATTAACGAAATAAAGGTTTTAATTAGGCCTCTTACTTCTCCATTTAGAAGACAAACGTAGTCATCAAAATCTTGAACTCTTAATTCCGGACCGATTCTTTGTTCGCTAATAAGGTCTGCCACTTGCTTCTTGTACACATCCACTAGATCGTTATCTATTATGGGCTATAAATGAAATATTATTTGTTTTGTTCAACAATTTTCAGAAACATATATTTTTTACGATAATCGTTGGCATTAGTACCGTAGACATCAGGATGTATCGGAAGAGAAGACACTCATGCGTTTTCTTTACAATATTAATAACCTTGGACTACTACTTACTACTTGACTGGACTGAACTCAGATAATACTTTATATTGCTTGTGAAGATATTTATACTTTTATACCAGCATAATCGATTTTAATCCAACTAAATATACATAATACTAATAATAAATTCTATTAACAGCAAAAAATTAAAGTATCAAAATGGACGCGAAATTTTACAAAATAATTGAAAAATCTCGTCCTTTAAATCTAGTTGTTTAAAAGAAAACATAAAAGTTATTCATCATAAAGATCCATTTTAACATAATCAAAATCAAAATGAAAAATTATTTATTCATGTAAGTAGGACATTTTAGCCGCTTTTTTCTTATGTAATAATTTTTATCCGTACCGTCCAGTTCAGTATACAGATTCAATTGAGGAGAACTGGCAAGCAACTCTACTGAATTTCTTATTTTTTAAAGGCACTTTATTTACTTTGTGCATATAAATACAATAATGAGTATATTATCTCCTTACCTAGAAGGAGAGCACGTAGGATTACCACAATGAACAGCAAGAAAAGACCATAATGAATATGAATGTAGCGCAATTATTTTTAATTACCTTCAGTGTAGCTCTACCAGTACAAACGTAATCTTGGTACAACATGGTTTCCAAGCGAGGAGACTGTCTGCATGCATCTATCAAAAAATCGTATAACAAACAGAGTTGATCTTTGAACTGTTTGAAAGAAGGCTCAAATTCGATCGCGTCGTTCTGAAACGTCAAGTTCACGACGAAGCCTTGATTTGTTCCCTGTACAGAAATAATTAATTTCAATAAGGGCGTAAGATGTGTAGGTACTTAATTGCAGGTATATGTTTCGTACCCCAACATCCATTATGTAGTCTGTAAACTCCTTCATAGATTTTAGGCATAGTGTTTGTAGATTATAAGTCATGATACAGGACAGGCAATTGTAAAAATGTTTAATTTTAGACGCCTGCTTAGGATCTGGTATGAGACGTTTTTTATTGCCCTGAAATTATTAAATATGAAATTACGAAATATTAGATTTCATAAATATATAAATAAAATAAAATAATATATAAATAAGTTTATTTTGTATGTTGTCATATATATGGAGGCAGTACCTACTATCTGCTAAACTGCCACATCACAATATATGTATGGTAATGGTAATCTGTAAATATCTATTAGGTAGTAAAAACTGAAATATTTTTTCTGAAGACATTATTTTTTCTATGTACAACTGTAGAGATACAACTTAATTAAGACTGTTTAGAATATACTGCATTGGTTTCTAAAACTTACCAAGTACATAAGTTTATGCACCATATGATCATATATAACATAACAAGTTTAATTAAAATCAGTAGGTACTTCAGTTATCGCATGATACATGCAGAGATAGGTGAAAGGTACGTATAATAATAAATTCCAGGTATAGGTAAAATTATAGAATATATTATAATTAATATATATATATATTTATAATGAAATCTATATATAAATCGAACCTGTAGGAAAACAGCTTGTATGGTAGGAATCCACTGTAACGTGAGCACATTGCCGGCGGCCTCGATGTGCCGCTTGCATACAAAGCAAAAGTCCTGAAGTTCATACGCTTCGTTTGTAGTCATTATGTCTTTCATACTGATCAGTCGTAAATCACTGTAATAAAGTGAAATAGTGAATGAATAATAATAGTAAAACAACACTCGTTATTGAAAACAGTTAAATACAATAATAAGAAACGATTACATAGACGGACCTAATTGAGTAAATAATTTTAATTTACAACATTAAAATTATTTGCACTTATTTTATCAAGAATAAACGTTATTTTTCCAAGGAATCTTTTAATACAAAAACAGCAGACGCAATAGAATTTTATCCTGATAACATTGTGTCTTAAGATGAACGTACAATTTAATTAATTATTTTATAGCTATTTTTCTTTACACCTATACCGCAATATCGCTAGAAAGATACTTACTTGAACTGCTTCCACCAGATCTGTAGTACTTGCGCTATACAATAATTAACAGTGTGTAGATTCCTTCTCAAGTATTTTCTAGCGACAGCGTACCGATTCCTCCATGCATCGTCCTTATTAGCTAATTCTTGCTTTAAAGGAGTATCATCTTCTTCTAAAGATTCTTCCTGTTTATTATGGATAGACTGTTCAATATTGATGTAACATTGTTGAAAAGCACTGAATAAAATATTTTTCTTTCTTTCTTTCTTTAATAACATTAAGCTCATTCATTAATATTCATAGTACAAACACCTATGCACATATTCGTACAATAACAATAAATGGTAGACTGTAAAAAGTCGTATGCGTACACCACAGTCACATATTTCAGACCTCAAACATCTTGCTTTTTGAACTGTTTTGATTGTAGGGACGAATATGGCAGTGTAATTAGGATAAAACTCAAGACATCTTAGAAATATGGTTGTTGGCGACAGCTCCTCAGGGAGAGCAGTGGACTGTATCGATGGTGGGGTTAGAAAGAAACGGTTGTCTCTCGAAGCCTGTTTATTCTCTCCACAGAAGTTTCACAATTGAGTTATAGCCGTATTCGATGTTACATTCAAGTTTCAGCCGCTGTAGCTCAGACTGTATGGCGTCTATAGGAAACTACCGCGACTGACTTTACAATAATAACGGACTATAACTGCCGTCCGTACTGTGTTCGATTATGACAGCCGTCGGCATATAACAATCCGACTATGACTGTCTGAGTCCCTCTATTATAACAGTATTATGACTCCATTATAACTATATTACGACTAACTCGATACAAAAATTCCTCGCCTTATATATGGGAGGTATAGACTGTAGTGGGGACTACAGTCCTTACAAAATTCTTACTGGCAATAAACCAAACCTTATTTCTATCAGACAATGCACAACGTTATACAACTTCATAACAATATTTTTGCACATTGCCGAAATTCCCTTACTTCTTTATTCTCACAAACTAACAGTTACTCATAAAGAATGCATTGCATTTTACAACTCTACCCAAGAATATTTAACATTGGTGCAATAACCAATTTCCTTGTCTAATTACAATGCACTGTAAACACGGATTGGACAATATTCATAAAGACATGAATTACCGTGTTCCGTCCGTTAGTCTACAATAAGAATATGTTTACAATAAGAAACCCTACGGTCATCATAAACCCGATGGCTAGAAAATAGTAACGGTGTTATCTTATCACAAAAGGCCAACAAATATTCATTGTGTTTATAAACAATGAATGCCAAATGAACGCTGGTACCCAAACAGATGTTCAACCGTTATCGTAGTTTTAAACAGTGAATCGATGTCTTATTCTAAAACAGCACTTTTAAAAACTAATATTATTTCTAAGTTATTGTCCAATTTCAACACACAACTTATTGTCTACCTAATCTACACAAATATTATAGGTGCGTCGCGACGCCGCTTATATGTGTCGCCTGTCGTCAATAATGGTATAGAAGCGCATCAGTGGTATCATGATTATAGGCGACGACTACCAACAGATCCATCAGTTTGTTTACCATTTCAACCAAATATATATACATATATTGTACATACCAAAAGCCGTGAATGCCGTTAATTATTTTTATTGAAAACAATCAAATATAATTTCATGAGTATACTAACCCTATTAGGATCTTTTAAGACAAAGTCTACAATAGCCTTCTTCATGCTCATCATAAAGTCCTCGCGCATCTCGTCGGTACATGTGAACAGTGTTTCCTTCCATTTCTTCAACTTCATCGATATTAAGTTATGTACTCTGTATGTGAAACCAATCAATTCAATTTTGTAGTTAATATTAATCTGCTGCATCTAAATATGTACGAACTCAACCAATCGCATTATAGCAAACAAGGCTGAGATGGGAAAAGGCACCTTGATCGGACATGTCAAATGAAAGCAGATATTAAATACAAAGCGAATTTGAAACAATGCTCATGACTACGAAAATCTAAACTGGAAAATCATGAAAATAAAAACCATGGAGTTGAAACAGATATAATTTTCAAACACGAGAGAATAGAAGACGGTGTAAAAGATAACATCATCTAAGGACAGAGGCCGTCCTTATATGACATTGATACAGACTACCTAACTTCAAAAATCAATAGTTTAGAATCTTCGCTTTATGATTTAAATACAAAGTATATTATCTCTCAGAAACAAATCCAGGAGCATATTTTAGCAATGGATGATCTGATTGATGTCAGTAAATACAATGCTGACCGTTTTGAGTCGTTGACTAAGCATTGTACATGTAATCACACAAATATATCAAATAATAATTCAGTTGTAACTGTGCTGGAAAATGAAGTTCAGGGTGTTTGTGCCAGTGACTGTAACCCTAAGAGTAGCACAATGGTGTTCTCTGACAGAATAGGCTGTAACTTTGGGTCTATTTTGAAGTATCATCTTAAGGGTGATTTATTAAACTACTGTATGCCAGAAGCATCATTTACACAAATAATAAATAAAATGAAGTCTACGAAAATGAACAATATGACCACAATTGTGTTATTTTTTGGTAATAGTATTCAATTAAATAGGCAGGATGTAATTAAAGGAATTGAATATTTATTACAATTAAATGTGTATAAGATTGTATTGTGCGCTTTTCCTTACACAAAAGGACATCTTCATAAAAAAATTAACAGTAAGGTACATTACCTGAACAACTTATTACATACATTGACATGTCGTCATAGTGACATTTTTACATTTTTTGATACTAATAGTTTTATTAGTGATTTTTATTTGAAAAAAGATACAATGTATCTCTCTAAATTATCTAAAAATAAAATAGCCACTTTAGTGGCTTATAATATTGACTACATGAACAGTTTACATGGTAAACTTAAACATAAAAATACTGACATAACAAATAATTCTATTAATATTTGTGACATAAATACTATGACTGCAGATTTAAACTGCTCACAAAGACAAAGGGAAAGCAATCAGAATTAATAATTGTTCATCAGAACATACAAAGTTTTCCCGGCAGCGAGTTAATTATACAATTATTTTTAGAAAAGTATAATATTGATATTGTCTGTTTCACAGAACATTGGCTTAAAGAGAGCAATATGATGTTCAATTTAAATAATTATAACGTTGTCAGCTGCTTCAATAGAAAGTCAGTTAACAGAGGCGGGTCTATGATAATTGCAAGAAATAATATTAAAGTAAAGGAACGTGCTGACATTGTTAGACTTTCTATTGAGTGTTGTATAGAATTATCTTGTATAGAACTAGAAAATTATATCCTTATATGTGTGTACAGGCCTCCTAATAGTGATTACAATGTATTTGAAGGGGTGATGGAGGATATATTAAAAAAAATATTTAATAGTATTAAAAAAATTATTGTATGTGGAGATTTTAACGTTGATATTCTTTGTAACACACCCACATGTACAAAAATTATTAGTTTATTTCAATCATTTGATTTAAGTCATGTCTTTCATGAACCCACTCGTGTAACTGCCACGTCTGCTACTTGTCTTGACAATGTTTTTTGTAACTGTGAGTATACAGAAAAATTCATAATAAATAAACTTCCTTCAGATCACTGTGGTCAAGTTGTTAAGGTTAACAGTCAGATCAATAAAGTCAACAATAATAAAAAATCAAAAAGACAAATAAATGTTCACAATATTAACAAATACAAAAGCGCGATTAAAAATAAATTGGATTTGCTGTTACAATCTAGTAATAATCCTGATTATCTTTACACCAAGCTAATTACTATTCTATCAGGAGAATATGAACAATTTTTCAAGAAAAAAGAAGTTTATGTTAAATCTAAATTCACGGAATGGGCAACAGTAGGTATACTTAAAAGTAGAAATATTTTGTTTGATTTATACGATCAAAAAAAATATCGATTTGATGACAAATTCACCACTTATGTGAAAAATTATTCAAAAATTTTTAAAAAAGTTTGTATTACGGCTAAATCTAATTATATTAATAAACAAATTAACCAGTCTTCTGACAAAATTAAAACCATCTGGGGCATTATAAACCGGAAGATCTAAATTAGCCTATAATCAATTTGCATTAAATTATGATAATAAATTAATAACAGCAACAAAAGATGTAGTTAATGTTTTTGAAGATTTTTTTGCTAACATTCCGATTAACATTACATCTTCTCTGGACTCATCTCCATCTCGAGCAAAAATATTACTAGAGTCTAATATCGGTTGTTGTGCTTTAAGATTTAAATTTTCACATGTTAGCCCCGTTCATATCATAAAAATATTCAAACATCTAAATCTAAAAAATACAGAAGACCTTTGGGGCATGTCTGTAAAAGTAGTTAGTTCTTTCATAGATATTGTTGCTCCATATCTAGCTACTATTTTTAATAAATGTATTGATAATGGCACTTTTCCACAATTAATGAAATTTAGCAAATTAATCCCACTATTTAAATCAGGTGATAAATTTGAGCCAGGGAATTATAGACCTATATCTATTTTGCCAGTTCTAAGTAAGGTGTTTGAAAAGATAATGTTAAATCAAATGTTACAACACTTCAGGGATAACCGACTGCTTCACAGTCAACAATATGGTTTCACCGCCGGCAAGTCTACCACTGACGCAGGTGTAGCGCTGATAACACATATTTTCCAATCATGGGAGAAGTCACAGGATGCACTCGGAGTTTTTTGTGACCTATCAAAGGCATTTGATTGCGTGGATCATAAAACACTTTTGTACAAGCTCGAACATTATGGTATAAAAGATAATGATCTAAAATTAATGAGAACTTATTTAGAGGATAGGGTCCAAACTGTAGATATTGACGGTATAAAATCTAAGGGAGCTAATATTGGGATGGGCGTTCCACAAGGGTCAATCTTAGGCCCCTTTCTCTTTTTAATTTACATAAATAAACTTCCCTTTATGGTAGAGAAAATTGCAGATATAGTGCTGTTTGCGGATGATACTTCGTTAGTGTTTAAAATTGGACGTCAAACTAATCAATTAGACGATGTAAATTGTGCTATGTCTGCTATATTAAATTGGTTTACATGTAATAACCTATTATTAAATTCCAGCAAAACAAAGTGTATAAAATTTACACTTCCTAATGTAAGATCAATAAATACACAGTTATTGCTTAATGATGAAATAGTAAATTTTGTTAATGATACAGTTTTTTTAGGTATAACAGTGGACTCGAAATTACAATGGGGGCCCCATATTTCAAAATTGGCCAATAGACTCAGTTCAGCTGCATATGCAATTAGAAGAATTAGGCAATTAACAGACGTGGCGACGGCTAAACTTGTATACTTTAGTTATTTCCATAGCATTATGTCATATGGTATACTACTGTGGGGTAAAGCAGCCGATATAAATACTATATTTATTTTACAAAAGAGAGCCATACGTTCTATTTATGGTATGGGTTCAAGAGAGTCATTACGTCAGTGTTTTAAAGATTCAAATATCCTCACCGTTACTTCACAATACATTTATGAGAATATCATGTATACACGGAAGAATTTAGAGAGTTTTAGAAAACTTAAAGACTGTACAAATAGAAACTTACGCAATAAAAATAAGCTAATTTTACCTAAATGCCGCCTGCACAAAGTCAGTAATTCATTCTATGGTAATTGCGTAAGATTTTATAATAAACTGCCAGAATCTGCACTAAATCTGACAGAGAGGCAATTCAAATCTTATATTAAACAATTTTTGTGTAAGAAAGCCTATTACAGGATAGACGAATTCATAGACGACAACATAAAAAGTAAATAACTAGTTTATTAGCATACAACGTTATAATTTAATTTTCTCATTGCTTTCTTGATTTAATTGATTGATTTTAGAAATATGAAAGCGTAGCGGTTTTTGTATTGATTGCCGCATGCATTCTTATGTAAAATGTGAATACTATAACTATCAGATAGCAATTGTAAGTAGCTTTGACGTAGTCTAGTGTTTTGAGTAGTCATGCTCACTAAAATGTCCAGACTTGTGGCGGCGTGGTGGGCCGGGTCATTGGGCTCCCTAAAATATGGTCGAGCGCAGTGATGGCTGGCTCATCCGTCATACTCGTGAACGGGTGCTGCTTGTAGGGACTGGTCTGCTCTAATCACTATGACTGATTTCCTCTTATTAATTGTTTAACCAGTTGGTTATATATTCAATATTTTTTCTATTTGAGTATTTAATAGAATTAGTGCTAATTGGTGGTTTGTATTCACACACTTAAACTTAAAAATGTAAAGTAATAATAAAATTATTTAAAAGAGCAACACGCAAGTTTCTTGCTCGTTCTTCTTGTGATGAGACAGCTTTCCGAACGAGCGGTAGATTAAAAAATGTAATGACTATTCAAAAGTGCTTCAATGTAAGTTTATTTGAATAAATGATTTTCTATTCTATTCTATTCCTTAGATGATGTTATCTTTTCGGCACTTGATCTCTCTCCTGAGCCAATAAGGCATAAAGAGAAGAAAGACATTTTTAAAGCCTTTGGCACTTATTCTCTCTTCTGTACCCATAAGGCATACAGGGAGATAGAAGAAAGTTATTTTTGATAACTCACCGTAATATAATTTTATTATCCAACGGTGCAACATGTATAGTGTCTATTCCATATCTGAGATAATAATAGTATCGTAACATGTTTTTCTCTTCACCGGAGGGAATCGTGTCACCATCCTCACCGGGTTGAGACTGGCAGATTAAATTCATGAGTTTTGCCCTAAATTCCTCTCTAGCCTTACGCATAGCTGTGTAGCTCTGCATTACTGAAATAATTCGAATTATATTTGACATAAGTCAATAAATAACTTCCTGTGGTTGTTCATTTGATATAGATATACATTTTTTTTTAACTGTTGAAACCTGTAGTAACTACTGCGTGCTTATAAGATCTTTCAGCTGCTTCTAGATGTTTCTTCAAATCTCTATAAAGGAAGGACTTTTAACAGATCTCCTAAGATAGAGTTTATTTTCCGAAGGAGATATCATTGCTTTACATGAGTGGGAAGTATCTTAATATTTAAGTACCTGCTGTAATTAACGGGGGTCGACCGCTGTCCGTAAAGCTCATCACCATTAAAATATTAAATCTACTATAAATATATTTACATGACGTAAAAAACAATAGCAATCGTAAAACCAGTCTATACCAAAAAATGCATATATAAATCGGTTCATCATAAGGTCACCATACACATAGGCAACCTACAATGCGCGTAGGTACTGTACGCACAATATCTATTGTTTTTTTTTTATAACAAAGGGGACAAACGAGCATGCGGCTAACCTGATGGTAAGTGATTACCGCCGCCCATGAGCACCCGCAATACCAGGGGAATTGCAAGTACGTTGTCGGCCTTTTAAAAAGGAATAAGCTCTTTTCTTGAGGGTTTCAATATCGTATCGGTTCGGAAATACCATTGCTGGAAGGTGATTACACAATGTGGTTGTGCGTGGCAAAAAGTTTCTAGAAAACCGCACTGTACAGGACCGCCATTCATCCAGATGATCAGGATAGTATTTTAGTTTCTGGAGGGTGGTACGGTGGTGAAACTCAGCGGCTGGTATTAATCTGAACAATTCCTCAGAACACTTCCCGTGTTATATGCGGTAGAAAATGCACAGAGATGCAATATCTCGCCGCAAAGCTAATGGATCGAGTCTGTCACATAGACGTTGATTACCAATGATTCTGACTGCTCGGTTCTGAATGCGGTCAAATGGAAATGGCTGGTATTTTGGTGCTCTCGTGAGATAGAGATGAGAACAGTATTCCATATGTGGCCGGATCTGCGCCTTGTATAATTGCAAGCGATAGGCCGCCGTGAAATACCGTCTCTCTCTACTGAGCACACCAAGCTTTTTTGAGGCTATTTTAGCCTTGTCCTCCTAATGACCACAAAACTGAACGCCACTGGATATATCAACGCCAAGGACCTCGAGATTTGGCTTCACATCAAGGAGAGTGTCTTCAAACTGAGGAGACACGATAAAAGGATTCTTTTTAGCCCTAAACGCGCAGACTTGTGTCTTCTTGGGGTTGAATTGCATACGATTTTCCTGACCCCATACCGAAACTTGATGGAGTGAAGTTTCGATTTCAGACACAAGTTTGTTCCGATACTCTATAACTTTTGCCTGCGACATATTAGCATGGCCGCTGTATAAGGTATCTCCGGTACTGTCATCCGCATAGCAATTAATGTTGTTGATTTGTAACATGTCATTGATATGCAGAAGGAACAGAGTCGGAGATAGTACACAGCCTTGTGGAACACCAGCATTCACAGAATGTGGGTCGGAGCAAGCACCATCGACAACGATCTTGATGCTCCGATCAGCGAGAAAGCTGGCGACCCATTTGCATAACTTCGCAGGCAACCCGAAGGATGGTAGCTTTGAAAGAAGAGCTTTGTGCTAAACCCGATCAAAGGCCTTCGCAATATCCAGACTAACGGATAAGGCTCCCCCTTACTCTCAATAGCCTCTGCCCATCGATGTGTCAAATATACTAGAAGATCACCAGCTGAGCGACCCTGGCGAAAGCCATACTGACGATCAGAGATCAACCGGTTCACTTCTAGGTAACGTAGGAGTTAACGGTTGACAATCGACTCCATGATCTTTGAGAATAAGGAGGTTACATAAGAGGTTATATAGAATAAGGAATTAAAAATAGCGTACCAGACACGTATACTCTCTTTTTGGTAGATATGCTATCTTTTGCAATATGTAGCCTAAATTATGAAAGATAATATGTTACATAAATACACACTACACTATAAAGAATGATTTATGGTGTAGATTTAAGTAATTATTGCCTACATAAAGTACGTATGATTAATATTACGATACATTAATTATAAATACTGTAGTACGTATATAGTTATTTGTTATATAACACAAACCAGCTGTCACGGAATGTACTACTAAGATATACTTTACCACTGGATTTTCTTCTAGGCGCTGCTTTAGCAGCTTGCAATTTCGCTGCTTTTGATGTTGGTGGGGGTAGTTTGAGAACTTCCTCAGGCAACGAAAACAAGGGACGAGTTCGTATTTTGAAATCTTCTGGCATAGATATTTTTGGTAATTTAGGTAATTTTACATCTGATGAAGACGGGCCTGGCTGTCCTTTTTTTCTATTTGGCCGTTTCTTCTCCATGATTAACTCTAGATAAAAATTTATAAATTAATTTAATTTAATTATTAATTAATATATTATTATTAAATATATTTTTAATAAAAAAATAATTTAAAGAAATTATTTTATATTATGGCGGGAAATTTGGTTGGTATCAAAATTCTATAGTCAATTGGTTGATTTTAGTTAGTAATTTATTTTCATTTTTGGACAGACTCGACAGTCCGTTCGGTCTCATCTTTAATAAATATTACATTATTCAATTTATTTCCGAATCCGTATTAATTAAGCGTGTATTCACTTTTTAATTCGTACTACTTGCCGTTTAGTTTCTCCTCTTTCTAACAGAAACCTCCAGATAATTATTATAGCTATAAAATATTACTAAAAGTCAATCAGACAAGTAAATAAGTAACTCATCTTTACACTACATATATTGTCTGTGTACATCAAAATATTAGTGCAAAATAATGTGTTGTATCTATATTCTATGATCACTTGATAAGTAAACGAAACGATTTGACATATTTGACAGCAGACGGCTCAAATTTAGCTCGCTCGTATAATCGACTTTTAATTTGACTACTTATGTCTAGACTTAATAACCTTCATTTGAAATAATTTAACTATTACGAAGTCAAACGGTGCAAAAAATAAAAATATTTCGAGTAATAGTCAAACTATAGCCAATAATTATTTCTTACCTGTTACAACGATTACAATAAATATTAGAGGTAAAGTACAGTTTCTATCTGTATTTTGTGTGCCTATTTATAAAACATATTTATACACTTAAATTAATCTAATGAATATTTATTATCAATTAATATAAAACGGATTTATTGATAAATACACCAAGTGACTTCAATTCTATTAGTTCAGTCATGTAACAACAAATCCCTGACAACTATATATCGGCACTTGTTTTCTGTTTCCATGGAAATTTTTACTGTATGGTGGCCAGTATAGAAACCTTAGTGATATAAACTTATAAATTAATTTTAATATGTAAATATATCATTTCCTATATTATACATTTTCGTCTCTTATCCATTGACATTTGTAAACATTTTATAGGTTATAAAATTGAAAATGAAACAGAAACTCGATTGTTACTCCAAGGTAAACAATAAATACTACAGCTACTATAGTTAAAACCTTGTAATGCCATAGCTATACTAATCTCAGCTGCTATCCATATTCTGTTAACCTTGATTGCTACACAAAGCTCTTTTTATTGAGATGATGTCATAACTTTGCTTTCCACTCATTGGTTCAATCAGTAGGAGGCACACACCATGAGCAGCCAGTATTGTATATGGTTTTTATTCTATTGTACTCTAAAAAACTATTTCATTAATGTATAATTCATATTTAATAATAAATTGAGTGAGTAATTATTTTATTGGATTGAATATCTGTTTAATTTAAATAAATAATGCCATTGTATATATAATGTATCAAGTCATTAACATGTTTTCAGATGATATTACAATTGGTGAGGAGATTACATGTTAGCCCTGTTTGCTGGAAGAGTGAATCTTCTCTATTGGCAAAGCTCCGGAAAAAGACAGGCTACACAATTGCCAATTGCAAAAAAGCCCTAGAAATGCATAACAATGATTCTGACAAGGTAATGTTTCAATATATTAATTGACAAACATTTAATATATTTATGCTGAACTAATTTTAAAGTTAACAACCTTATTGGAAAAAAAGGAATTCGAGGACATACCATAACTTTATTGATGTTCACAAGACAATGTGCTATTTCTTGAAGCATATAGTTCACAGCTGGTGAATCTATTTCACTATTTAGGGAGAAATTTAGTCAAGCAATCTCTGTGAATAGCAAAGTGTGTTTAATGCAATTTATAATGAATATAATTTTGGTAGTAACAGTTCCAAAATTATATTCATTATTAGGATTAGGATATGGAGAATTTTTTAACTGCAATGGTGCACTGCCTATACCAAATTATGCTGTAGAGTAACAGTGGAGGATAATAAGATAATTTTACTTGTTCCAATTTTCACATTGTACATTATTCCCTGGTACCTAAACAATAAACCTGTAATTGTGTACTATATACCTGTATTTATATAGCTATAAGTATGATCTTTAAGATGAGCATGAGGTAAGGTCAAGGCTCGTCCTGGCAAGTTCATGAGGAATTTAACATGATGGTTTTCATGTGGAGTGGAGTACATGCCTATTGGTATTACTTTACATAAAGTTTGTTGTCTATTTCTGAAAAGTATGATCGAAGGATATACATTTGATGATCTAAAGTGTGCAGGTGTTTAAAAAGTCGCCCTATTTATATGGAAATATTTTTATTCTTACATTGATTGTTTGTATCAATCTGGGTGTTTTCTATGTATATCAAGTATGAATTTGTTTACTTCTATCAGTTGTTTAGTGCCCATAACACAAGTTCTGCATAGCTTGGGACTAGATTGCGCTGTGTGAATTGTTTAGGGTTATTATTATTAATATTCCTTACTCTCATATATGTAATTTTTATGTATGAATCTAATAAGAATCCCAATACTAAAGGGTGGTTAACATTGGAGTATAGTATCTCAAATCCCAGCTCACTCTACTAATTAACATAAAATCTTGTACATCTATCATGAAACCTATTACACAAAAAATAAATGTGTAAAATTTATTATTACAGGCGGAGGCATGGCTGAATGAGCAAGCACAAGCAATGGGATGGGCGAAGGCTACTAAACTAGCCGGTAGAACAGCACTACAAGGTCTTGTTGCGGTAAAATTTGATGCCAATCATGGAGCCCTTGTTGAACTTAACTGTGAGACAGATTTTGTTGCAAAAAATGACAAGTTTCATAAGATGATAGAAGATGCCACTCTTGCTTGTTTTAAGTTTGCACATACTAGTTTGCAATCGAAAGGACCTATTACAAAGGTAAATTTAAGATATATTTTACAAAAGTATTTGTAACAAATATTGATTAATTTTAAGTATGGTGGACAAATGTCAAAAATTACTGTAATTACAATGAACAAGGACAAATATTACTGTAATAAAAGAGGTGCTTTGTCTGTTGTTAGCAGTAATGATATGGACCCATAGCATCTATTAAAACCTTAACTTTATGTTACCATATATGCATACCAGTGTGACCTCAAATAGATCTATATTTAAAAAGAAAATTTAGAATTTTCAAGTAAAATATATATAGTAATAATATATTTAATAAAAATATTGAAATAAAGGATGAACTTCAACTAAGCAGTATCAAGAATGTCATATGACTAGTCTCTGTAGGCAACGAGGGGAACTATAAATGTCATAGGTTAGAAATACTTCATTTTATTTTTATTTATAACGTAAAACCTACATTACAAAATACATTATATAATGTTTCATATATTTTTATATACACATACACCGAAAAGTACTATACAACTACTCTATTTACATACATTCAAGTATCTGCTATGGGAAGCCTACTGTTAGTTTTGTTAAAGTCCGTAAAAATTCTTTATAAAATTCGATTTCTTAAATAATAATAAAATAAATTCCAACATAGATAAAATATCAACAGGCATGTCATATTTATGCGATCCTGAAACCTGTAAAACAATAATAAAGTCAGAACAGGATTATGATTATAATATTAAAGTCTTGACTCAAAATATAAGGAGTATATCTTGTAACTTCTCAAAATTTGAAGTCTTTCTTTCTAGGTTAGAAATAGAGTGTGAACTTTATATACTAACTGAAACATGGAATAGAAATTTATCTAATTTTCCTACATTAAAGGGCTATGATACGTACTATTCTAAGAAAAATTATAATCAGAATGATGGTATCGTTGTGTATGCAAAAGTAGGTTTCTGTTGTAATGTAAAAGAACAAGAACTATCTGACGCAACAGGCATGATTATTATAGTAAACTCAGATACAGTTATAATAGCAATTTATAGATCTCCCTCATATAGAAATATTTATAACTTTATTACGTCACTTAATAATATATTAATTTCATATTCGAAGTATAAAAATATTGTAATTATCGGGGATGTTAATATTGACATTAAAATGGATAGTGAAGACCGAAATTCCTTCGATTATTTAAATTTATTGGCAAGCCATGGACTCTTATCTGGTCATGATTTTCCTACTAGAGGTAAAAACTGCATAGATCATGTTATGATCAAATGTAGGTTTCCGGCAACTACTGTTGTGTTTTCCTCTCCTTTAACCGATCATTCTCCAGTTCTAACTACTATCAAAGTAAATATTAAACTAGAGAAAACTCCGCGTAACTATGCTAAGAACAAAATTAACTACAATGCTATCATCGCTGAATTAGAGAAAACGGGTTTTGAAGACATTTTAAAATCATCTGATGCAAATTGGGCGACAGATACGCTTATTAAAACTCTGTCAGATCTAGTAGCAAAACACACGCATAAAATTTCTGCTCCTAGAAAACAATGGTGCCTCAAACCATGGATTACTCCAGGTTTATTACGCTGTATTAAAAATAGGGACAGGATGCACATGCGAACAAAAAAGGACCCCACAAATTTAATATTAAAGAGAACCTACAATAGGTATAAAAATTTTTGTAACGATTTGTTAAAAAGATTAAAAGCAATTTATGAAAAAGATGAACTAGAAAAACACAGTAAAAATCCTAAAATGACATGGAAGATTATTAATAATATAACAAATAGAAATATCACAAAGTCACCTGAAACTAATTTGCTTAAAATAGAACAAACCCCTGAGAAAGCGGTAGAACGTGTAAATAACTATTTTGCCAATGTTGGACGGAACCTAGCAGATAAGCTACTGAAAAATTCTGATTTTTGTTATTATAATGGAAATATAGTAAATCTCGATGAAAATAGTCCTGTAAATTCTATGGTTATGCTAGAAACAACAGAAGATGAAGTAAATTCAATAATTCTTGATTTAAAAACTGATTCGGCAATGGGACACGATAATATTCCTACTAGACTGCTAAAACTGGCAAAAGACATTTTGGTGCCTTTACTTACGCATATTTGTAACCTGAGCCTAAGTTCAGCTACCTTTCCCAACGTATTTAAAACATCAATAATACATCCCATATATAAGGAGGGAGATGGTGATAATGTAAGCAACTACCGTCCTATTTCATTGTTACCTGCAATGTCTAAAATACTTGAAAAGATTATAAATAGGAGACTATTGTCTTACCTTAATGATAATAATATATTGTCAACAAATCAATACGGATTTAGACCAGGCAAGTCTACTAAGGACGCTGTCTCAGAAATGTCTGAATTTATAGCCACTCACTTAGATGCAAAAAATAAGTGTGTTGGTGTGTTTCTAGATCTTGCCAGGGCATTTGATACTGTTTATGTCCCCACTCTTTTAAAGAAAATGGAAATATGTGGAATTCGTGGTAAAGTGCTTGATTTGTTCAAAGATTATCTCACAAACCGTAAACAAATAGTTAAAATTGGTGATTATTATAGCCCTAAAGCTGATATATCCCATGGAGTACCACAAGGTAGTGTCCTCGGTCCTACCCTTTTCTTACTTTATGTCAATGATCTCTGTAACTTATTAATTCAAAATTGTAAAGTCTTTACTTATGCTGATGATACTGCTTTAATTTTTTATGGGAAGACATGGGAGGAGACGAGAATTCTAACTGAAGAAGGACTTCAAATAGTGGCTCAATGGTTACACAATAATCTTTTAACATTAAACATCTCTAAAACAAAATATGTTACTTTTGGCATTACAAAAAGACTAATTCCCACAGAACAAAATTTTCGCATAAAAATACATAAATGCTTCAATGATATTACGCCCGCAAATAACGATAGCTGTGACTGTGTTTACATATGTAAAACAGACACCATTAAATACCTGGGAGTTATACTCGACGAAACCCTAACGTGGAAACCTCATATTGACCTGCTATCATCACGAACACGACGACTTATTTATATTTTTAAAACATTACGACATATAGCAGATTCTAAATTAATTAAAAAAGTTTATTTTGCATTGGTCCAGTCAATATTAAGTTACTGTATAACTACTTGGGGTGGAGCACGAAAAACCCATTTATTAAAAATAGAGCGAGCACAGAGAGCAATACTAAAAGTAATGACCTTCAAACCTTTTCGATATCCCACTATAGAATTATATGCAGATACTGATGTGCTAACCATTAGACAAATGTTTGTAAGAGATACAGTGTTGTCCCAACACCTAAAAACTCCATTTAGCATGGATCTGATGAAACTTCGTAGAAAAGACGTTTGCCAAAGAATTCCCTTCAAAAGCTATTTTATTAATAAATTTCAAATGTACCTCGGTCCTATGCTTTATAATAAAATTAATAAAATTATCGATATATATCACCTCAATTACTTAAAATGTAAAGAAATTCTAACAATATGGCTAAAATCATTAAATTACAATGAGATTGAAAATCTTCTTGTAGCAGTAAAATAACATGAGTACATACACATACAACCGCACACATACACAAACATCACACACACTCATACACATACACACACACGTAAACACTATACACACCATTATATATACATCTCTTTATTAAATAGTATGAAAATGTAACATTAAAAATATACACCTTAAACAAGCAATATATATATTATATACATCTACGATATACTGTTATTATAAACAAATTTAAGATTAAGCGTACATTAAGATATAAAGAGATAAAATTAAAACTATATTATTTTAGTTTGTTAACTAACGTTATTATATTGTTTATGTTCATGGTTATTGTGGTCGCGCTGAGTCACTTGTAAACCTGTTTACGAGCTGCGAATGGATTGATGCCAATGCAATTCATTCATATTTTGTACAAGTTGAAATGTAAATCTACCCACGCAATTGCAACATTTTAATTTTTACCTATTTGTCGCTGGAAGAAGGTAGTATCTATGATACAGGCTCGGCCTAGTATAGATGCTACTGGTAAATTATATGTATGATGTGTATTTAACAAAAATGTAATAGTTTATAAGGAGAATAACTGTAACTACTTAAATTGGTGTCAATAAAATATTATTATTATATTATTATTATATAACAATAAATCAATAGCTGTAGAAATATATAGATAATGATGAAATTACTGGGCAATATAAGGTCTTTTTATTAGTCATGTCTACTCAGGAATGTAAAAATGGCAGGACACTATATAGAATTATGGTTACACCATTGCTTTTCATATTGATATATATATATTTGTTATTTATACAATAGATTATAATAATAGTGTTCAAAAACATATATAGATACAAAAGTTGTAGCAAGTAGGCATGTTAGTGAATTAACTGAACCATAGTGCTATGCTATTGTTTTAATAATTGTCCTCTTTTACATATATCAACATATTTATAATTTCACTTCAGATGGAATTGGATAGTGAGCAGTTGGGAAACCTCTCTGTAGAAGGCAAGAAACTTTCTGAAATATTAGCCTTATTCATTGGTACTGTTGGTGAAAATGCAGTCCTGAGAAGAGCGGAGTGTTGGAAAGCAAACAATAAAGAAGTGAAGATTGCCGGCTACACACATCCAGCTCCTGCCAAATCTGAGGACTATTCTGCTGGCAAATATGGAGCTTTACTGGCATACAAGCAATCCGGTGATTATGAAGATATTGGTCGACAACTTTGTCAGCATGTAGTAGGATGTGCCCCTAAGAAAATTGGCAATAAGGATAGTGACAAACCGAACAAAAACTCTGATGATGAAATATGCCTTATATACCAAGAATATTTGTTAGATCCATCTTACACAGTAGATGAGATCCTGGAGCAAAATAAAGTTGAACTAATAGATTACGTAAGATTCTCATGTGGAGAAGCTGTGGAAAACAATATGCTTGGTGTGGAAAAACAGCCATTAGATACAGTTCAAACTTTACAGTAAAAGTAGAAACATACAATACTCTGTCTTGACATTACCTTCAAAATCAACTTCTAGTAGATATAAAAATATTTATTTATAAAATAAGTAATAAATTGTTAATACTGTTTATTTTGTTTAATATATAATATAATAAGTATAAAAATCAATATGCTGGGTTAATCTTTTGAGGATCAGCATCTATTTCCTTTTTTATTTTAGCCTTTCCTTTCCATAAAAACATTCTGCAGTCTTTTTTCCAAAACATTGCTATTTGACTGGGCTCATAGCAGTAGCCGTGATAATTAAGTGCTTCAGGTGACACTACATGCAATGCTAATGTATTCTGTTCTCTAGTCCTGAATGGACCTGTGGTTGCAGGTCTTAATAAACATCCGCATGGACATATAGTTGATTTAGGTGCCGATGGAATATTCATTCTATTGCATAAATTTATTCTTTGAAAATTCCCACATAGTCTTAGCTCTTCAACAGCCCCAGTGAATGACTGAGTCGCACGTAGTGCTAAAGGTCTTGTATTTTGGTTATCTAGATTATTTCTAAAACAAACTGTGGACAGCGACTTTTTCGTGATACTCGGGCTATTCTCCGGACTTCTATCTTCGCCTTCGCTTTCTCTGTCTGAGTAATTATTATCAGTATACATGATTATATAATAGTATAAAGTTATTAATTTATAAAACACTAATTTGATTTGATACTGTCACATCCGTCATTTGTTTCCCGCTCTTTATATATTTTTTTATTTTACTTATTATACAAAGGGAACTAGGTAATAAATAATTCAAAGGTATTATTTATTACCTAGTTCCCTTTGTATTATATTATTATTTTCTATTATATTATATACTTTGTATTATACTATATACATTTTTTTTTAATGGGACTATTGGTGACATCGTTTAGGTAAATCTGACAGAGCCCTTAATTTAAAGTATACATACAAGTTATCATTCTCTTAAACAAAATGAAATAAAAATCTGAAAAGAAAATAAACCACTAATCTAATACAATATTGTATAGGTATACTACTACTACGTCTAAGTTACCTCCCTATAGAGTTCTATAGAACAAACAAGTTTACCTGAGCGTTGTAAAGGAAATAAAAACATTTGATTTATTTTTTACCGCGGATATGTCAGCGCAGACATATATAGGTATAGCTTCCGTTTTCAATATTTTTGGTAGGTTTTCTATTTCTGATGTATTTGTTTTTTGTCAGATTTGTATTATAAAGATCCGATGAAAAGAAAATAGTGTATACATAATTATGTATGTATTATTACCTATTACCTACTTATTCAATGGATTAACGATATGTGTCCTATAATTTATTGTAAATGATGAATCCTATATTTGTGTACAAAAATTCAAATAGATATTTATTCTTCGGTTGCTGTGAGATCATACATCAAAAACAAATAACGGTGAAAATATCTAGAGCACAGCATACTTTACAATGGTTTGTTATTCGTAACCAATGAACTAATCAGCACCCACTCGTATCGATAAAAACTTGGCTGAATTGTTTCAATCGCTGATTTATTTAGATCGTGGATACTACCTGTCGAATCTGTCGTTATAGAGACTACAGAAAGGGTAAATTCAATTTCAAAAATCATTTATTCATGTAGGATATTTTAGTCGCTTATACAGATCCAATTGACAAGAACTGGCAAGAAACTCAATTGAATTACTTTTTTTTAAAGCCAGCCATACAATATATATTTCTATAGATGTCTATGTCTAACATTAAATAAAAATCCCGTACATGAACAACTATTGTACTTCAAGGTGTCCTAAAGGTCGACCACGCACACATAGTACCTGGTGTTTCAGGCATCTATGGGCTAAGTGCGGCCGTTTACAATCACTTGGGCAGTGTGCTAGTTGGCCAACATATTGGAATAAAAAAATACAGGTACCTACTAACTGACGTAACCTACAACCCCGGCTCTACAGCGGAGAAGTTGTAACTTCACAGTGGTTTTAGGTGACTAGAAGTCTCACAGTATGTTGTGAACCCACGTTAAAAAAGGTATTATGAGCATGTACTTGTTATTCAATGTATTCGTTACTCAATTTTTTTGGTACCTATACAAATATATACTACATACTTCACGGTTACTCATGTTTGTTTACGGACATGACACATTGTGTCCAAATGAACGAAAGTGAATGTAGATAATGTCGAAACTAACAAAGAGCGCGTCCGAGCGTGCATCCTGTGGCAGAACATCACAATTCACTGGCGAATTGTCCCACAGTGGTGCTAGTAGTCATACCTAGCCTAGACAGCACCGACCAGTCACTCCGTGTCACTCGCGTAGCGCGCCAAACCACTGCCTGATTGTGATCGATAGCATTCTGCACACGAAATAAGAAAGTGAGATAACACCACCACTGCAATTGATGGACGAATATCAGGTGCATCTTACATTCCGAGCATATTCATTTGCATTTTACACGATGTAAATACTGCCTAATTATAGCGCTTCTCCAAAAAAACGCCAATTGATATAAAATTATGCGGTTTTTTAATAGCGTTTTTCGATGTTAACTGTTTTGTAAAGACTATGGTATATGATATATTAAGAGATTTAGCTTTATTCATTGTAGGTATATGTCCATAGGCTACAATGAAACTCAAATCATACCTAAAATATATTAATATTTTTAATTTTACACCATACTTTTTCTCACCCGCTACTGTCCAGTTCAACAAGTAGTTTAATTTGAAAAATCAACTACCGTTGTTCCTTTAGCATCCATTTTACTCCTCTCCATCTAAGATTGCTTGGATGAGATCGCTATTTAGAGATAAAGCCGCTCATTTTACCTTTTCGCATTTTTGTACTTATGTTTTTATCATAATAATGAGATATTATATTTTATTTGACTAGAAAAAGAATTCCACATTCTATTTAAACATCAGTGCGCGTATCTAAGCTTATTATCTGTAAATAAAGTAAGAATTTTTATCAGAGATCACTATTAGAAAAGGTTTTTATTCTATACAACTAGGGGCTCTTAACCACCACATATAGAGAAGACCAGAAGCTCGAAATGCACTCTGACGCCCGTGCGTTGTGTGTGCGTGCAACGTTACATATGCGTTGTCATTCCGGGAAACGAAATGCACGACATATATATGTCGTGCATTTCGGTGCATTTTAAATGTGGTACATATGTTGGTGCATATGCACCACATTTAGAAACTCACTCTACTACACTCCCTTTTGAAAAATGTACAGATCTAACTTTTGAATTGTCATAAATTAGCCAAGTTAGTTAATTAACAATAATTTTTAATGTTTGAACGTTTCTGCTAAGTACCTAAAGATGTCACTAATAGAATATAAATAAAATGTATTCAATTAAAGTGTTTTCATTTATTATTTTTACAACTCAATGTTGTTGTAGGTACAGCAACTAGGTAGGTACCTACTTAGTTACACAATTTTGTCTAAATAGGCATCCGAATATATTTTTTTATGTGTTTTTACACTTCAGTACCTGGCGTGGTGGGTAGCTATGTAAGAACTATTAGTCGCTCGGATAACACATATTTGCTGATCATCCATTTTAAATCACTAATTGATGTCTCTAATTGAGCAGTTTGCTGCTGTGAGATGAAAATGCGATAGGTGGTTAGTGCCACGCCACCTATCAATCAGCACACAATACCGACTTTCGCGAGAATTAATTTATTCGTTGTTGTCTTATTAAAATATGTAAGCGCAAGAACCGTGAAACAATTTTCTTTTTTTCGCACCGTTCCGACCGGCCGGCGGTTAGTCCGTGGGGAGAACATGGACGTCTCGCTCGTCCCGTGGCTCTAGTTGTCGTGATTGCTGTTGATTTCTTGTGGCGTAGTGCGGGTGGGAGCGACCGCAGGCGCGGTGATGGAAACAGTCTGTCCCTGACCATCGCAACGAAAATGCATATCCTGGAAATAGGAGCCGACCATGTAAACATTCATTATGTGATTTTTTTATACAAACAGTGTTTAAATTATTAAAAGTGTCTTTGTTTTGTGATAAGTGCATGAAGCTTTTAGGCCTACTTGTTATTTCTTAATTTTTTAGCAAAGTACGTTAAGTACTTTGTGTCCATAGACATCTCTATTTTACCATTTCTGCCGCCAAGCAATCTTACTATGCAATATTTAAGGGTGAATATGGCAGTGAAATTACAGAGTATAGGTAAAAGCTTAGTAGTTACAATACTGCAATTTACAATAATAAAAACGTCTTAGGGTTAAACCTGGCGTCACGGTGTGTTTTATAATATACCTACATCGTGTTTATGGTAACGGTTACCACTTTACATCAGGTAGGCCAATTATATTTTGCATTGCAGGCGCATAACAAAACAAATTTTAACACACCATGTTAACATTATTAACATATTAGCTGTAATGAGTGAAAGTGAATAAATAACTGTGTTAATCTGTTTAAACATCTACAACGCATTAAATCACTCGTAGTTAATTAATCTTACACACATACAACCTACGACTTTGTACACCCCTACCCGCTCATTACAATTTGTATACCGACAATTAATAGCTTAGGTTTCTATGAAATAAAGTGTGTTAATCTTGGTTTAAACTGTCAATTCAAATAATGGTTTACATTATGTACACAACAAGGCATCTGTATGTACCTACTTACTATTCATAAAGCGCGATCGAAACCACTTTTCCTTTAATTAATAAACTATACCTAATGTATACTCTGAAATATATCGGGCTACCCTATCTGGGATTATAGTTGAGAAGGTATACGGTATTTTACCAGTTCATATAACTCCTGTTATTCTATGTAGGTATACGTAAATAAAATTATGCATTGTTGCCCATCTATTTACTACTTACAATTAGATGCATCATTACTGATGCGGAGAATAGGTCCATCCATCTATTCTTACTTAAGAATGTTAAATTTGAAGGCCGCCTTTTAACAAAATTAAATTGTCGCACCCAAACTTATTGTGGTAGTAGAATAGAATCTGCACAATCGGTCACTAGATCCATTATGTCTGTCTGACAGAATTAACTTTACGACCTTGGCGCACCCATAGGTACTTACTGAAAATCCCTATTCACATTACCTAAATTAAGGGCTTGGTCACTTATATACTATGTTCTTCAGTTCTATTCTGTCTGTATGATAGTATTTATGTATTTTATATAAATTAGTCCTGTGCAAATTAGGGAAACAAAAACCACAAAATAAGACAATCAGAACCAGACAGGTTTAATAATAATTTAAATCATAAAAACTAAAATAAATAAGTATATTATGAGCAAATTATAACGATTGTAAAAATCATCATTTTAATTCTTTCAGTTTTGTATAAAATATCGTTCACCTACACATTACGCTAATGTTTACACAATACACAAAAACACTCTGTCAAAATGAAATGGTACCTTTTGTAGGATCCAAGGTAGAAAAGCAAATCTTAGCAATTTTACCGCCCCGTTTCTACCAAAATACACATTATATTACCATGTGGTAGAAACACTGGATTATTTATGATGCATAACATTGCGTGTGTAAGTAATTTTAATTAATTGATATTTTTGGTTACAAACATTTAATATATGCATGTACATTTTACAATATACAAAATGCTTCTTATGTGTAATCGCGGTGGTAGAGTAATAGAGAGAATTACGGTAGAGACTAACTGCACCATACCGAAATTCAATTCTGTTTTTAAGCAAAAAATTACATCTCAGATTATATCTACTCTATGTAAAGTCCATTCGTCGTAAATACATATATATCATAATGTAACTTTTCACAATTTCAGGAAGATGAGAGCGGCAGCACCCGCGTTGCGGAAGCTGCTTTTCGCACTGTGCCGCGTGACCACACAACCTTCCTTGTCTGGAGGATTTCGGTAACGTCCACATATTAATACAAATTGTATTTTTTATAATAATATTCTATGGCGATACTTTAAATATACTTACTATAAATACTATTAGTTACTAGTGTTTTTTTCAAACTATTCTAATGCTATTGGCCGCATCTGGCCTTTATAGCTTCACCAAAACTTCACCATAACCCGCAGAAGAACTTGTGGAGCGGCTGCAGACCAATTCTTGCCTATTGGATTCGACTTTAGTCTGAGAGCACCACTAAGGGTTTTGAACTTCGGCTCAGGCCGTCGTAATTTCGATTACAGTTTAAATGGTATGGGGAAAGCTTACGGTAATTCGGATAAAAATATGTTTCCTAGCGCCCGATCGCAACGGTGCAATTATGATCCAGTTATCTATTTATTTTTAAATACTATACTGCTCGTAACATTCAAATAAATAAAAGTTGTTAAAAGAATATTAAAAATAAATTTATTCCATTTACTGTAATTCGTAACACTGGTAGTTATTTAGTAAAATAGGTAATTGATTAAGTTTTTACTAACTGTCACGGTTGATAAACTGTGACTATTGAATTGGAACGTCTAGACCGGTTCTTGTTCTTTGTTTGTTTAATAGACGGATTGATAGATCACATCTTAAGACGTTCTAGTTCGACAGTCGACCTACTCAATTTATAATCTCTAATGCTAATACCAACTTATTTGGCGGTTATTAAAATGAAACCACAAGAAGAATCTTGTCAAGTACCATAACAATAAGAACTCATTAACCATTGGACACTCATTAAAACTATTAACTATATAAAAACTACATAATTGTGATGGGGTATTGTATTAACCCATATAATATTAGTAACTCGAAGGTCCTGCCACCCGTTCTCATTGTTTGTTATTAATCAATCGATCAAGTATAATAAATTTGGAATTTTTTTTTCATATTTCCTATACTTTTCTATAGATGCCATAAAAATTTTCTCTAGAAAGAGTATTTGACACATAAAAAACTGTAAGTACAGTTTGTAAACTCTAAAAGTTATTACTCGATTTGCGTCTTGATGCAATTGTACTCAGTTAGATAACCACAAGCCGAGCAATAAAGAATAACGTCATAAATCTTTGTCAGTGAAAGCGACATTAAATGAAAACTGAGACACGTAAGTACCAACGATAATGTGCTCTAGGTTATTTTGCGTGTTAGGTCACTGAGGTTTGGCGGAATATGGTCACGCGACTACGCCGTTGAATTTGATATTTCACGAGCTAGCGATTAAGTCACAATTTAAAAAATTACATAAGGTATCCTTTGATTATATAATTTAAAGTGAGAATACGCACCAAGTATAAGTGAATGCTTTCCAAAAACGTCACACAAAACACTATCTTTTTCACTTGCTTTTTAAATTGTGTCTAGATACGTACCTACCTAGTAGTGTGTTGTGTAACTATTTAAATATATATAATAAGTATATTCAACCAAATAAATAAACCTACGTGTTGGCGACCGAAAACTCGCAGTAAACTCTTTTGATATTTCAATTATTGTTTTATTGCTTTACTATGTAGTTCGTAGCTACATACATAGTAATAATAATTTTACTAACCAAATCTGCGTATTTTCATCATTTAGACACCCATACAGTCCATTGATCCGTTACAATACGTAAGACCATTGTACGAATATGTACTTTTACATAGCAAAAATTTCAAATTTATAAAATGTATTCTCACTAAACAATCATTTATATTGAGGTAACCCTATTCACACACTCAAGAATGTAAAAGTGAGAAGTTCATCTGTATTTTTAGAAGTGTTGAAAGTAAATCACTTTTCGTGTACAATTAGATAGAATTTTAAAACTTTTACACATTGTTACATTATTAACTTTACAAATTGTATGCAGTGTGTATTGTAACAACACTCTATTTAAAGGATAATATACAAAACTATAGTTTAACTTAAAATATAGATGAGATAAACTGTTTCCTAAATGATACACGGTTTTATTAATTCGTAATTAATAATGGATGCAGCTTGACAATCCGTTAAAAATACCTTAATTTGAGGAAGCGGTGTCTACAAATCCGAGTTTCTAGAGATTTATATACAATGATAGTTCGTCATTTATTTAAGAAGGCTAGGCGGCTGTCTGATTATTGTTTTAAAAAATTTGAATTAATGGATGACTCCATAAGATATTGATGCGACTGTTATCTTTGACGTCTCATCTGTGAAGACTTCATTAACCGCCTAATACCTTCAAGCGAGTTTTCTTCATGTTTGCTACATTCAATTGTATAAATAAATTATGAAGGCGGTTATGCTGTGGAAGTGTAATATTATTTAGATTATAAAGAAGTTTTATGCAGCACAGTTTTAACAATTCTTTTTTATTTGACATCATTAAACGACTACTAGGTATTGTTTTTGTGGTCGCATTAGTCGGTATGTGGGAAAACATTTTGTTTACGATGACCTTTCACACGACCTCCTCAAATTGGCTTTTTCTATAAAACGAGAGTACCTACATAATTAAATTCTCATATTATGCCAAGCAAAACTATTTTATTACAAATACAGTCTAAACTGTAGTTACATATTATATAGAGCAACTTGTTTTATAAAATGTCTTAAATACCTATAGTAGGTACCTTTGTTACCACTAATAAAAAAAAAGAGCCAAGCTGAAGAAAGCATATTTACTATTACTACCTAGTAGGTACGAATATGTTATAATGCATAGCATCATAATATTTGAGTTAGTTAGAACTGCCATGTAGATATATCTTACATATATTGTAGATATAATCGTACATAGTAGATTTCTCCAAAGACCAAGTTGAAAAATAAGAAGAACTAAGTGATACTACATTGCGGCTCTGGTAGTCTAGCAGGTTACTTCCGTTGGTCGCAGGTTAGATTCTTCGCATGGTATATACATTTGTATGTGTATGATTGTTTATTGATATTATTTCATGAATATGATTGTTTGTATTGGTATAATTGTTTGTCAATTGTATCTATAATGCATATGGTATCTATAACACAAGCTTTGCATAGCGTGGGACTTGATGGAGCCCTGGGCATTAATTAATTAATATTAACTATTAATTAATTAATTTTCATCAAATGTTTTCTTTAATTTAGTTATATATAATTAAATATTTTTTAAAAACAAATTTTATTACTTTTCGAAAAACTAGCTACTAGCTTACCTAGCCGCCTGACTTCGTCTGCATCACACTTACTTGACATTAATCATTATATTTCGCCCAATTTGCATAATATCTTTTTAAGTTGTTTGCTATGTGTTATTCTGAAGAATAAGCTACATTGCTGTAAAATTTCTTCAAAATCCGTTCAGTATTTTTTGAATGAATGCTTAACAAACGACATCCACCAATATATCCATCCATATTCACAAACTTTCAAGTTTATAATATTAGTAAAATTATTCTATTACAAGTTTCTCGATTCCATTGAATAAATGACTGACATAAATGTATTGTAGCAGATATTTCGATAGACGATAACTCGGTTATAACGGTACGGCAGCTGTGATTCATTCTCCTAGATCTAATACCGCTACGTCTCGGGATGTAGCCGCCTACCGACCGAGATTGAACGATTTCCAATATGCATTATAATTACAGTATGCATTACAATATCTTCGCAACTATGCTATAATATAGTCTACAATTAACGTCATTGATAAATTACCTATCCTTTACCTGATTATTAATGTCATGAGTTTTATAACGATGCCCACCATGACATTATGCATTTATGTATATTAGACATCACGGCCAGTTCTCATACCGCTTCATAACATGTGATTTGTTAGAAAGTGAGGAGGTTTTAGAGGTTTTATTTAGCTGTTTTCTTCCTTGCACCTTTAGAGAGCTTTCTTTTTTTTTTGTCAACTATTAAGACATCTTCGATTTAACATTGAATATCAGTCTGTTTTATATGATACTTTATACCCTACTGCTCTGCATGGTTGTTGTAAGAGTAAATGGAATATTAAAATAAAAAAAGAATAATAAATCGTTATCCTAATTTCCAATTCAGAATGAGTAATTTTCAAGCAACAATACACGAGAAAAATAAAGAGTCTTTTGTATATAAATTAAGTAAACCGAATGGAATATATATGTCACAAAAACTAAATGATATTTTTTTATAAAACTAAATCGTATAATGTATAGGTACTACGTACTGGGTGTAGTAAACTCCTGACCAGACCAGCCACATTGCTGAAAAGATGAGAAATATTTTTACATATAAAAATTAATTAGTAAAATTCCTTGCGGGATTTTTTTTTTTATCATTTAAATACAATTTCTAATAATATGACGTTAGGTTAGGTTAGGTCCAGCAAGAGAGAGTCCGGTCAAAATTGGTACAGCCATTCCAGAGATTACAAAAAGGATGCAAAAACTGTTATATGCAAATGCATAACTAAATAGTTAAAAGCTGCTAATTTAATATTACGATAATTACAGGTACACTTTTCCATTTTATTTATTTGTATCGATCGATACACAATGATGACTATGTTCTTCGTTGGAATCCCTTGTTACAGAGATAGGATAATAAACTATACAATGCAACCAAACTGTTGAAAGCATCAATTACAAAAACAAATATCGTGATAAAATGTAATACATAACATCAAGCATTGTATGTGATGTCGACTAACTGCACATTGTGCAGCGGTGTGTTTGACCACCGAGCTACCACACGCCATTCTATCGCGCCACCGCCTGATTCGGTACGAGTCTGTTAAAGGTGGAATTAGACCAAGCAAACGAATGCACACTCATTACTTACGTTTATTTCTGATGCAATTTAATTTTTGCCGTTTTGACTTACCCTTGCTTGCTTGCTTGCTGTTTCATTTATATACGGTTCAAATGTTTAATAACAAATTTAAGAATGATATATTATAGTACCTACCCAATACTACCCATATCATATCTATGACATGGGTACTGTAATAAGTACATATTCGACCATTACCGTCTAAGACCTTAACTTTAATTGAACACTGTACTTTTACTTTCTTTTTTATAAGACGAATTTCAATGTTTTACGATTAAGAGAACAGACATTAATAATAATATAAATACTGTATATTTAATTATATGTATTTAGAACATTGAAACCTCTAAGAGTAAGCTGAATTCCTGACTTTTGTCTTCCAATGCTTGATAGTCTTAGCTTACGAACAAGATAGTTAATAGATCCAAGCCTAATCTTGGCGGCTTTTTCCTTTTACCACTATTTTTTTGTGCTCCTTATTAATTTAGTTTAACTCCTGCAGTATGCGTGCAAGCAATTGTAATAATTGTAGTACGCATGAATGGCTACAAAGCGCCGCCTCAGGCCAGAGATTGTTTCGCTGCATTCATATAACGTAAATTATTGACTTCCAAGAAACTAGTATTTAAGAAAATGACATTGAAATATGCATCTTTTATGTCGTGCAAACGCAGCGTAGGTGAAGCAAATGTAGCGGCTCTAATTCAGTAATTGATGCACTTTCTATTAATGAGAAATAAGAAATTACCATGAGGATAATCTAGTAATAAGAATTATTATGCGTGATACTAAATTATAGTCAACTAGCTGTGTCCACGGTTTCAACCGCATGAAATTTGTAGCCTATGTGTTATTCTGATATCTGATGTCTTATAACCTAACCAATATTACTGTAAATTTACATCAAAATCCGTTTTGTAATTTTTGCGTGAAAGAGTCCAACAAACATCACTCCATTCATCTAACCATCCATACTCACAAACTTTCGCGTTTCTAATATTAGTAAGGTTACTAAAGTCTATACATTGAAGATATAAGAGATAAGCACAAAGTTTGTTAAAATATTTGTCATTTTGTCTTTATTGTTGTTCCGAATACCACAGATACGAAGTCTCAAACACAGCGAGTATTTAAACAAAATAAAGCACCAAATAACCTAACGAAATAAAGAAACTGAAAATAACCCTAATATATATAAAATATAAAATACTAACACCCATTCAAATAATATACTAACACCCATTACAGATATTCTTTACGTTTAGTGTTCTTGAGGAGTATTGTATAATTCATGGTATATTAGTGAAATGGAGGTTACTAAAGTGTGTAGAAATTAACTGTATAAACAATAAATTGCTTTCTTCAAATTTTAGGTCTCACTATTTATTGAAGATATAATTAAGATACCTGAAGCAACAAAGGAACATTGTATCCTATTTGCAATGATGTTTCTGTGATTTGTTCAATCAATTACAATGACAGGATTAATAAAGCGCTTCTTGATATTGGAGACTGGCTTGATTGTCTACGAATTAATATACAAAAGACTAATTATGTGCAATTTGCTAATTATAAAATGACAAAGTCTCAAACACAGCTAAAGAAAATGCGGTCAAATTTTTATATTAAACAAAATAAAGCACTCAAATAATGCCTAACGCAAGTGAGAAAATATTACAGCATATCAAGAAACTGAAAATAACCTAATCTAATATATATAAAATATAATGTAATAAAATACTCAAAGAGAACAAAATTGAGAACCCAGTAAATAGTGCGCTATTTCATCAAATATAGAATAATGTACAGATACAACAAAATTCAAACTTTATGTCTTTTGAAATTTTTTAGTGTGGTTCTTGAGAGATGTTTTTATTGTAAATTTTAATGTGAGTTAAGAATTGGATAATATTAATATAATAGTTTGTAATAATATTACATATAATGACTAAATAATAATATAGATATATAACTTAAAATTGTATAATATATAATGTAATATGATCTGAAAGACTGAAACACAGCTGGCACACCACATTTCTGCAAAATAAAATCATTTCATTTCATTTCATTTTCCTTGTACTTAGTAATATTATACTAAATTATGACCAAACTGAAACACACTTTGTACTAAGACTTCAGAATTTTGTACAAAGTTTTCCTCCCTGATAACTAGAACTTTATCAAGTGTGTAAGTATGGAAGTTATTGCTACTTCTTAATCTTTAAAAAAATATATTTAGGAATGTTTGCCTCCCCTCTACTTAAATCCTGTTTTTAATTAAATATTTTATTTTTTTTATAATAAAGTATGAATTTGTTCTAAACAGGAGTCTGGCACGGAGATGCTACCACGTACACACTACGGCACCTTCTACGATGCTGAAGCATACCTCGTATACTCCTGTTCGCTGACGAACCAGCCTGCCGGACCTGACGTTATTGTAAGTATAAATACAGATTGCATTTATTAAAAAAATACCCTGGACTACTCACGCAACACTAACTAGACCCAAGTTAAGCAAAGCTCGTATTATAGGCACTAAACAACTAAACATACATAATATACATAGAAATAGGAATCGAAGCCGCGACCATCGGAAATAAGACTGTCGCTTGATCGATCGACCTTGAATCATTTGACCACCGATGTACTCAAATATAGGTAGAGACATTTAAATTTACATCAAGAAATGCGAATGCAGCTCTCCGATACTCTCAAGCATCTCTGTATATGATCACTAGGTAAAATAGAGGTATTGTACATATATTCATATGAGTTGAAAGATAAACAGCCATCGATTTCAATAATTCTAATAGTAGTAGTCACACAGTAGACTTATGACTATAAGGGTTTTATAAAGACTTGAGGTACACCACGGGTAATGTCCACTATTGGGAACAAATTAAATAAAACTTTTCTTCTCGCCAGCGTCGAGAAATCAAAGAAAAAGAAAACGGCAATGGCGAGTTTGCTGAACGTCATATCCACGCGTGGGCTGGAGAGAGAAGCGGGAACCTCGCAGCCTTAGCGCTCCGACGGGGCACTCAACTCGCAGCGCATCTAGGGGAACCTGTCGTTATACATCGGGAAGCATCTACAAAAGAGACACCTCGTCTACTATCTTACTTTCGCGATGGCATCAGGTGATTGAATCAATACATAATAATAATTGGGAAGAGTTTTTGTAGGCGTCGTCTGATGACATATCTATTTGTGATGTGGCCAGAAATGATTACCCACGGTAATAGTAAAATCAAAAAATATAAGCTTACCGCGTAGCACTCTAGACCCCAACCACAACCACGCAGTGTCCTTTAGTGATATTTAATTTAATTGTTGAATAAAAGCCCTCTAAGTAAAATACTGATGAGACAGCTTTCCGAACGAGTGGTAGATAAAAAACAAATTGTTATGACTATTCAAAAGTGCTTAAATTAAGTTTATTTGAATAAATGATTTTATATTCTATTCTATTCTATTCTATTCTATTCTATTATATTATATTCTATTCTATTGAACAAATAAAATATTCAAAATATACTCTTTATTGGAAATAAAAACACGGATCGCACTTTAAAATTTTTAATATCGGCAACAGATTGACTTAAATCTATCATACCTAGGTAGATTTACATAATGTGTGATTAAAATAATAATGGTCAGTGGAAATTCCCCAAACATCATACAGAGATATATATAAATTGGTTTAATTATTAATATAATTAATATCTAATTTAACAATCTAATTAGATAATAACTTTTATTTTTTCCAGGATTCTTCGAAGCGGTTCTGGCATTTTAAACGGTGGTGGCCGCTTATACCGTGTTCGTGGTCGCCGTCCGGTTCTACTTCAGCTGGAGCCAGTATCTTGGGCACATCTTTCGGCTGATGGAGTTTTTGTTCTTGATACATCAGCATTACTATTATTGTGGCTCGGCAGAGCAGCTAACTTAGTTGAGAAAATATTCGGAGCCAAGGTAAATTTATAATCTTAAAAGACAGAAATCAGTTGCTTAAACATACAAAAATGTTAATATTTTCCTTACTACGCTTTCATATAGATTGCATACCGTATGGCAAGAGGTGCGGAAAAGGGTATGACGGCTCGTCGTATAGCAATAGCTCATGATGGATATGAGCAGACACTGCCGCCTAGCGATCGCGCTCTTCTCGATAATCTGCTAGAATTGCGCGCTCGTTCCGTCCGTCCTGCGTCTCCACCCTCAGACCCACCAAGACCAGCTCGGTTATACAGAGCCACACAACCACCCAGAGTTTCTCCAATAACGATGCCTTCTCAGAGACCTGCTGCAAGATTGGAAGAGATTAGACGTGCTCCACTGCATAGAGAAGATCTGAACGACGATGTAAGTAGGTTTTTAATTTATTAATACAACATTAGGACTATTATGGATCCAGATCGGTATAAGTAGTCACAAGCATTGTCAACTCTCTCGTCATTGTAAACGCAACACTTAACATTTCGTTCGGGCGTGGTCCTATAGCTATTTCATTACTTGGTGATTTGTTACTTATGTATAAGTGAGGATGCTCTCAATTTCTAAATATTTTTATTTTTATTTCTAACTAAATATTTTATTTATTTATTTATTGAAAATACTTCTTTTGTATATAACATAGGGTGTGTACATCGTTGATAGCGGCAACAGAGGAGTATGGGCATGGGTGGGACCAAATACTACGAATTCTGCGGCGCGTGGTGCATTAGCAGCAGCAAGAGGGCTGGCTCGGGCAAAAAGACTCGTAGTGCCCGTGTCTGTGGTGACAGCAGGGCGGGAACCATTAGAGTTTGCTGCACTGTTCCGCGACTGGCGCTGGTGTGATGCTCGACGCGATAGCAGGCTGCGGGCTGCCCGTTCAGCTACTACCCGACTAGATGCTGTCAGTCTAGCTTCCAACTCATGGCTCGCGGCGGAGGTAATCTTATATTATTCATTATATATATTTCATTTCTAGATCTATTACGTTACTTTTCAAAAGAGGTTTATATTTTTGATCAATTTCTTTTTGATGGTATAAGCCATGTTCTATGAGGTATAGCTTTAGAAATAATTGAGCCTAATAATTGAGTTTCTAATGCCTCAGAGCATAAATATTTTAGTCTTGTTGTTTGGTCTATTAAATCACTCTGATTGAAATTAAACATGAAAAGACTAAATCGCTTAAGATAAAATCTACCTACGTACCAGGCTCAACTCCCAGACGACGGTTCCGGAGCTTTGAGAATGTGGCGCGTACGTCGAATTACAGAGGATGAGAGCTCTATGATGGAGGTTGAGCGTCCGCAAGCGGCAGTCTTCTACGACAGGGACTGTTACATTGCTCTTTATACATATCACGCACCTACTGGGGAACAGTCCATACTTTATTACTGGATGGTAAGTGTTCGAAATGTCAGAACTCAAATAATAATTAGCTAATGTTGTCATCCATATTGGCTTTGTAATAAATACTCTTACATTTGAATATACTTGTAAAACCTATACTAAATTACCAGCATGTTCATGACTCTAGATTTTTGGTTATTCGTTGACCAGTCAATCAATATCTTTCTTTATTATTATGTATATTTCTATTGATAGGGTGGCTCTTCACCAAATGATCTGAGGAATTTGGGCGCTAAAGAAGCCAAAGACCTCTACACAAAATTGGGGCGTCTTCCCGTTCAGGTAATAAATGCATTAAAATTGATTAGCGAGTAGCTGTAATTATCATTTTTATATATTTAAACCGGTCCATTATTATGAACAGGCATGGGTATATCAAGGCAAAGAACCAGCGCATTTCCTTCAAATATTCAAAGGACGGATGATCACTTACGTCGGCAGTGCTGCCGATTATGATCGTAAGTTCTTTAATTTTATTTATGTATGTATTTAGTTATGGTATTTATTTAATGTCACTACATACAATTCATCAAGCCTGATCTTGGCTTGTGGGTTTCGGTACTCTTGTATGACAGATTTGGATACAAAATGTATGAAAATTTTCTTATATGTTAGATATGAAAATACATAAGAATAAATTCTTAGCATATTTAATATAGTATAGAAGACTCTCACGCAGTCAATACTGAACAGATGACAGATGTCATGGATCCTTAAATTGGACGAGTACCTAGTCTCCTAGGTAATATCTAGCCGAAATATCTTGACCATAACGATACTCAACAATACCTAACTATATGCTCATATACTTACCTTGACAGCGAGTGGTCGTCGAGTTATGGCACCACCCAGGGCCCTCATCAGGGTGTCGGGGCAGTACGCGCGCGAGGCGCGGGGTGTGGAGGTGCGGGGCACGGGGCGGGTGGACGGCCGCGGGGCCTGCTTCATACTGCGGGAAAATGCACGGGTTTGGGTCTGGTGCGCAGCGAGTGCGACCGGCGATGAAAGAGAAGTCGCCAAGAATATGGCAGCTTCAGACCATGTTCTCGTCATGCAGGGTAAATAGTTTTTAATTGCGATGTTTTGAATTAATTTTAATCTATGTCGGTAAATATAGCTTTGGAATAACGATTATGAATGACCTTTTCCGAGGATCCATCCTTTTCTATGTTAGGTATACCAAGATATACCTAGAGTTTTCATTTCAAATTACGTAAAACAGTATATTTTTTGTATAAATTGTACTCTTAAATAAGTTTTTGTATTATATAATTGATTGTATGTACTATGGTAGATTATTACTTTAAAAAGATTTTTATTTTTGATTGTGTTTCTCTGTTAATATCTTACCTAAATTGTTATTTTTTTAAGGGAAAGAAAAACTTGATTTCTGGACTGCGTTAGGCGACCGTCGTCACTTACTGGTGGCATCTCCATTGAAGGAAGTAGAGCGACCATTACCTCCTCGTCTTTTCTATGTATCTCTGGGAGTACCAGGGCAATACACATGTAAGTTTATCTAATAAATTGATATGAATATTTTGATATAATATAAATTATGATATAAATATTGTATTAAACATCTACTTTTTAGGTATTTTTAAAAATACTGTAGCACTGTAAATTTTTGTTCTCACTTGTTACCAAGGAAATAACCCGATAATTGTTCTGCAAAAATTTTAATTATTTACACTGCACTACTTTGGTACCTTACCTTCTCTATAAATATCGACAAATACAACTTCCCTACCGCACATAATGTGCCTCTTCATACTCACTATATATGAAACTTATTAAGAAATGACACGTCGCGTAAGCCCTGATTTACATTACCGTGAAGATAACCCGATAATTGTGCAGTCGAGGAGATCATCTCGTTCAACCAGTACGAGCTGGTGCCGGAGATGGCGGGCGTGCTGGACGCACACCGAGCGGTGTTCGTGTGGCTCGGCGCGCACTGCTGCCCGCGCGCCAAGGACGACGCACGCGCGCTCGCTAACGCATACCTCGCACAAGGTAACTGGCTAATCTATACATATAAATAAAATTTGAGTGTCTGTTTGTAATCTTGAAATAATAGTTTTTTACTACATGCATATGAATATAAATACGGTATATACACCAAAATAACATTTTTTACAATATTTGTCTGTCTGTCTGTCGGTCTGTTCGTTCCGGCTAATCTCTGAACTGGCTGGACCGATTTTGACGGGACTTTTATTGGCAGGTAGCTGATGTAAAAAGGAATAACTTAGGCTACTTTTATTTTAGAAATATTCTATTAATTTACAAAAACAAATTCACGTCGCGGGTGGGTGCAGCTAACAGAAATATAATTTTGTTCTAACTAGTGGTCGAAAGACCATAATTAATTTAACATTCAGTAAGACTATAGACCAATCATATTAAAGACAATATCTCTTCTCAATTTGACTACAGACTTTAACAATAAACAAAAGATTATGTATGCGTGTGTTCTATTGTGACCAGGGAGGATGGAAAAGTAACGAGGACTGATTTCCCCATTGTTGAGATTGACGACGCGATTCCCCTTAAAATTCGTGGTAATTTTGTCACGGCATGTCGGTTGAGCTCGAAAATATATCGATTGAAACATTGTCGAAAGACATAATAATATATAAAACGAATTCCATGTTATATTAACATGAAACTTTATTAATACACTTTTGAATTATTTCAGATCCTGCAGCCCGTGACATGGAGACCCCTGTACTTATACTCAGTCAAGGCCGCGAACCACCACATTTCACTGGCTTCTTCCCTCACTGGAAACAATCTATGTGGAAGGTACCGACATAGTATTTTAAAGTTAAAATTGTTACCGTAGAGTGCTCAAGTACGCTAAGGTATAGACATACCGACTTCAACCTTGTCAAAATTTGTAGACTGAAACCTGATTTAATAAAAGAAATGAAAACTTTCCTATAAAAAAATATCAATGTCTAACTTTACAGTTTGTATTATGTATTTATAGAAATTAAACTATCATTTGTATATATACCACAAACGATTCTCAACGAGTCTCTAAGTTATTTTAACATTAATTTGATTTTCAAATCTATATTGATCTTATGGGTAATATACACATATCACAGAAGACTTACGCTTTCCCAACTTCTTAGTAATTTCAATAAATACTTCTCTTTTATGGAATATATTTTCGTTCCAACAGGGCCACAAGACGTTTAGCGCCATAATCAGCGCCTTAGAAGGCAAGGCAATTGTACAATGTGGTAACAGTGCACTGCAAAGTGGTAACACCGCGAACCGTTTCGACCAGTACGAGAAATACCCACTGACTGTGCTAAGAGGGCCGAAGGAACATCTACCAACTGATGTGGACCCATTAGCAAAGGAGGTACAAACACCATTTTCATGCTATCCAAACATTATTGGATCCCGACAAAATTAAGAAGTTAGAAAATATTTTGTATAGGAATCCCTAAGAGAAAAGTATTATAACAGATAACATAATATTACATAGTATTATGTATTAGTCTAATCCCAGTAGAAAATGGTTATTCTAAGTTATTTGACACTATCTGACCCGTGCAATTTTGTTTACGTCACTTTTTACTGACGCTCCGCTCCTATTATCTATCTTATCCTGGCTGGTTATCCTGCTTTTCAGAGTGCACTATATATTCAATTGTTAGGTTGATAAACAAACTGTTCACCTTTATAATATTATCATAATCCAATAACCGTGTTAAACCTTTTAATATGGTTTTAAATTAAATCTTAATTTTTCATTGTGTATTGTCCATTTGATTGACGAAAATTGGGTCCTGCTCGGGGACTAGAACATGCAACCTATTCATGTTATCATATCGTGGTGCAAAAGTCCTTTCGTAAAATTATATCAATCCTGATACCGATGTGAGCCTACTTGCATGTTTCATCATTGTACTAATAACGATGATATAGGTACTTATTTTTTTATTTCAGCTATACTTGACTCACGATGACTTTGTATCGACATTTAACGTGCCGTACAGCGAGTTTCGTTCTTTGCCCGCTTGGAAACAAAAGGATCTCAAGAAAGCTGTTGGTCTCTTTTGAAAAGAAATCGCGAAACATATCAAATAATTAGGTTATTTCGTTATAAATTCCAGCTGTTATATGTTATATAATGTTATAAATAAAAAAATAAAAATATAAGCTGTTTGAGTAGAAATGGAAATATTAATTTAGCATAGAATTTATATATTTGTATATATCAGGTATAGTAAAAGTAAGTACATTATATAAATATACAATGTTTAATATGCAGTGATAATAATTAACAACTTTTGAAATTTTCATTATATGAATAAATAACTAATAAAAAAATTGTTTAATCTTAATTTTCATATTCAGTTGAATTTGTTAACGTTTCTTATTGAAGTATTAGATGTTACAATGTTTTATTTAGAATAGTTGATTTATTTTGAAGTTATGTGTTTATTTATTAAATTAAGGTGTTAAGAGATTTCAATAAAAGAAACAATTATATTTTTCAATGTTATTATTTCGCTGATGATATACTTATAAACTAGGCATTAATTTTATGATAAAATTAATTATTCTTTACAATATACAAAATTCAAAAATTCCATAAAATATTGGTTTATTTGAAAACATATTTATGTACATTACAATAACTAAGTTACTAACATAGTATGCCCAGGTGATATGGGAATGGGCCGTAGCTAAGGCACGTAGTTTGCTTCAATATTGCATGACACAAATGTATATATATTACATAACATTTGTTTTCTGGGGTCCAAAGACTAAAGTAATTACCTAATCATGATCGAAATTATAGATTCAACATTATTAATAAAATAGTATGATATATAATAAAGCATTTTAATTAAGTCCACTAAATAGACCACGGCAACTCACTGAATTGTTTTTTAACTAATGAAAATCTAGTTAGGAACTTATAATTTTAGCATGATAAGTATGATGGTACTACAGAAAGTGTAATTCAATAATTATTATAATAAATATTTCATATAAACTTTACATTGTCCTATTCCATATAAATATGTTCATAACAGGAGACAATTTGGGAGTATTTCTTAAAGCTCCCAGTCACTGGAGGAAAAATACTCCCCGAAAATGTCATAAAATAAAAACAGATTTATAAATTATGCAGTTATTTAAAAAAATATATAATAATTATGTATTACTCGTATGTATATGTTATTTTTACGGTAATTGTAAACGAACAGTAAATATCCAAATTGTTTTGATAATTTTCAATTTCTTTGGCAATATAACCATTATCGAATGCGGCACGCTTATTTCATGAGATTACATTATGGAATGAATGATTATGAATAATGAACAGAGTAGCTGCCCTAATATATTACAATTAACAAATGCACATCAAAAATAAGCGCATGCCTAAGTGTATTGAAATATACCTTAAGTACGTAATTTAAAATTCGTAATAATGTACGCAGAGATTGTCGATTACACTTAAAAACTAACAAAAATTAAATGATAAAATGGACATAAAGCCGTGACGAAACTGTATGAACATAAAACTAAGATAAACAAAACTCAACAGAGCATTCGCTTGCGGGAATGTAAACAGTTTGTAGAGCTAATATTAAACAGGGCATTTAATATGTAACAAGAATCACTAGTAACAATGCGTCGGAGGCCGGCATCCCTTTAGCACCACTGGTGTTTAGACACGTTCTATTTATCACAGCTATCCAGAGCCTTCACTAACCGAAGCGGTCCCTTCCTGACGGTGGCCGAGGCACATTCCAATCGCAAACAACAAGAAGCAGCACATTAATAATTTATTAAATATATATATACAAATTAAAACGAAGCTTCCGCATTAATCGATCGATTAAGCAGATTAAAAATGGTATGTTAGAGATAGAGCCGCGAGTGTAGAATACGTTGCTGTTACAATTGCATCACGGATCAGCAATACGTATGTAATATTAGGTAACGTTTTATGTCGTGGATATTATTGCGAATGTACGGTTGTCACATTTTGCACCAGAATCGTTTCTGACATAGCCAAGGTGTTTAAACGTGAGAGTTAGGTTGTAACATACAAATACTTTAACATAACGAGATGCATTACAAACAAAGGCTCGCGGTAAGCAACTTTCCTGAAGTAAATAAAATCGATAATTATGAATGGTGGACATTATATAAATTCGTTATAATCTAAGTCCAGAAGACTAAAAAAATAATAGGGACAATGTTTGCAAGCAAAATGTATAAGTACATTAATAGTTTTGTACATTCAAATCACAACACCTACATCACAATGAGTATATAGATATTTTAAGATCTCTAAATATGTTGTCAAATCGCACAACCAACGAGGCTGATAATAATTACAAATTTTGTACATCTTCATTGGTAGGTATTATTAGTATATGTACCGCACTGTTTCGACGAGTTAGTTAATATTTGGCACTAAATTGTATAATATATCGCACATCACCACCGCATACTTGCTTCAATAAAATCATAGGGGACTCAATATATCTAGTAATTTGCTAACAAAAAGTAATTAATACGTTGTTCCATTGCATCTTAACTACATATTACGATAAAACAGAATTATTATTATTAATTAGTAAGAAACATTTAAGGAAAATATTAAAATAAGTCCGATCCCAAATAACATGGAAAGTTTTTAAAATGGAAATATCCTTACATATAAATACTGTCCTCAGACACGAAAATTTACGAAAACTTATTCCATTACAAACCCCTTTATAAACAAGATACCTAAAATGGCCACTAAATTGACTCATAGTAAGATAATATAACTATTCATACTTGCAATTCATTAATTAATTTAAAAGGCACAAATTATTGCATATTACATATATCGTATATAGTCGTCAAATTTTACTTCACACGTCACTTTATCTAGCATTGACGTGAAAACAAAATTCAAATAAATTCAAACTTATACGTAATTTATTCAAATAACTCTTATTCATTTGATTTTTCTAGTAAAAAATATGTTTTGCTTATTCAAATTTAGAATAATATTCAGAAATAATGTAAGATAAAACATGGTTATAGGATAATATTTAATACTTTAGTCGTGAATAGCAGCGCATAAACGATACGTGTGTCACAGTGTATTTATTAATGTCTATGGTATTTCTTATGTCTATTTGAATCTCTAAAGTGACCATTTTGTATCCCCATACAAGGAAGCCCGAAAAAATGTCACGTAGTTAAGCGATGTTGGAAGAGAAGTACTACTTGAGCAATGGTTATGATTGACTATAAACGAAGGTCATTTTATGGCACTGATTTTCGTTAATTCCCCAAATGCAAAGCGGCATGACGGTGTCTAATGTACTTAATCTAATTAAGGTCCCTGAGTTTTAGTAATTAGTGTATAATTCACTATAAATTGTGTACTGCCATTGTAAATATTCATTATAAGATACATTTATTAGTGTATAGTTGCGTATCTAAGCATGGCACTTGACTATGGGAAACTTTAAATGTTCGATATCCATCGCTAATTTTAGATACTTGAGTGAACAGATAAGGATTAATCGTCAATTAACAGTGGTCAATACTTTGACCTCATGCAAATCACTCAACTATGGAAACAATTTACAGTAAATAATATTATTAGAAAAATGTGATATGAAATTGTAAATTGTTACTTCTAAAACTTTAGAGATACGTTGTAGAGGTATTACAGTTACAGCATTCCAGTGTCAAGTGCCCAACACAGACAATGCTCATCAGTGTACAATTGTAACCAGTGCAGCTGTGTAAAGATAGATTCCAGTTACAATATACCATTGTATAACTACAAATATTGCTACTGGACATTTAACAGTCATTAAAAACAGTGCAAATACGTAGTATAAGTGTGTTTTTAGAATTTTTCTATCACCTTAAAGATTTTGTATAAATCTTAGACGTTTTGCTAGTCTTTATAATTATAACAACAACAATAAACTTGGATAATTCACACAGCGCTGTCTAGTCCCAAGTTAAGCAAGAGCTTGTGTTATGGGTGCTAGACCTTTGATAGAAATACTTAAATACATTTTTTATATACATATAGAAGAATTGGTGCATCGAATAAAATTAGTTATTTATGTACATCTTGTATATGAGGCCATAAATACGAGACTTTGCCCATAACTATAATATAAAATATTAAATGATTCACTAAAAACTATTTCTTCTAACAGGAAAGTACTGAGCGAATAATGAGCAAAAGATTTTTTAAAACAATGATTTGATGAAATTACGATCACTGGATTTAGGTTGATGAAATACATCCAATGCTTAAATTGTTAGTAAATTGGCTTCCTTACATGTAAATGTAGTCATCAGCAAAATATACCAATATTAATTATTCCCTTCTAATAAGGTGGATTTAGACCAAGTGATGTCTTCTAGTCCTCTACTTTTATAGTAACTGCCTTTGCAGGCAGGTTATTAGCATTCTTATTTTCTCAACTACATTCAGGCACGATTTTGTACATTTTGCTTTTAATCTAAACCTAAATATATTCTATTTGTTTAAGTGGCATATTTAGTGATCGTGATATGATTTTAGAAATAGTGGTGTATAACATAAACAAATAGATTAAAACAGGTTACATCTTAATAGACATAAATGACTTTATACCTAATTCAATGAGTAAATTCGAAAAAAAGACATTTATATGCAACTAGAAAAACAGAATATACCTGATTCTATTATATATGTAGTTTTTTGTACTGTTCTATCTGTTGTATAAAGTCTAAATCCACTTATATAAATATATCAGAAAACCAAACCATAGGTGTTCCAACATAAAATCGTACCAAAATACAAAATGCTCGTCTGGTAAAAATATGTTCATAAAAAATAAACAATTTATAACGTAAATCAAGCGACCAAATATCCTTTACATATTTGCGTGAAATATTTTAATTGATCATCATTTTCAATGACGCTGTTTATTGTTAAAGCTCTCTCTGAATTTTTTTACGAATTTCTCCTTAATATTGCTTATTATAATTTAAATTACAATAATAATAATAATAATAATACATCATGACACAATTACAACTTCAATAACATAAAGTGAAAAATGTTACTGTTTCTATTGATACAGGTGATTTTTTAGTTATTTCACAAATCCGTCGACTGTTAAATGTGACATAGTGAATAGCAGCGTTTTTTTAGCTAGGATTGTCTTCTTAATATTAAGCGGTGATTTTACCAACGCCATGGTTCATAAGGTGAAAGTATTATGTTATTATTTCATTTTAGCTTAATTTCAGTAGTAAATGTTTCAATAATTATACTTGAAATAACTTAAGCAATTAAGCAGTTGTTATCTGCATTGTATATTTCTGAGTATAACAGAAATGCATTACGTTTAAAACATAAGAGAGAGCAAGTAAAATGATATCTTACCTAAAACTTTGTCACAATTAACATCTGTTATTAAAGTTTTCCAAAACGATCTATCCGATAACTCTGTATTAAGTATACAAGAAATTCACCAAAGATGTAAAACGTGAATAAAATTAGATACTACATGATGCAATTAGTCTCAATCAGAAAGATGAATTAGATTTGACCACGAACAACTTTGACAAACATACTTATAGAAGCAAGATAAAATCGCAATATAAACACAAACAAATATATACATGAATCCACATTGGTAATATTATTAAAACATTAATACATATTTGGATAAATATTAAAACAATCAGGCCACTCGAAATGATATTCATTACATACTAAAATCACATAATAGTAAGCTGGTTGTAACAACTATGTATAAATCGAATTATTGACTCCCTCCACGTGTTATGATACAACGCCTATAAATATATGTCATATATCCTTCCATTCAGAAATCAATAAGATGCTAACATCGTAATTCATATTTTTACTCCACGTATATAAATTTTATATTGGCCACATATTGTCAGCATTTGTAAAACAATGCAGAACAACTAAACAAACAAGCGTTCATCTTCCACATTTCACTAACAAGTCTAAGGATTCTCATTGTGTATCGGTCATGCGAGTTTCATCACTCGCACTTAGCAGCATATCGCTCTAAATAACCGACATAAACATCTAAGTACATAATATTAACATAAATATTTTCAATATCTATCACAGCAGAGAAGCTGAACTCGTGTAAACAATTCGAATAATAAACGGACCTAAAAATTATTACAAGACTAGCTAAATACACTGAACCAAAATACAGATAATTTTTCAATATAGATTCCGAATAATCATTGTGTACACATGAAATACGCGAGATAAAATACTTCCAGATAGGGACAACACGGTCAAAAATTAGCAGTTTTGAACTTTAACAAAACTAGCTACTCGAATGGATATGTCGAAAATATGTTAGTACAAAAACCGATGAAGCTAGACTATTCAATTCCGATATATAGTGGATGCAACCTCGGGCGGACGTGTACAGAGTGTCCAATTAACGTCCGAAGGCTGGGCGGACGTCGGGTGGACGTCGGCATACGTCGGACGGACGTCGGGCGGACGTCGGCAGACGTCGGGCGGACGTTCAGTGTAACGCAGGACGTCACCAACGTCCTTCACTGCCGAGGTATTGACGCGTTAGCCGGCAGTGTAGAGCTGCGCTGTGACGCGTTCATGTACGCGGGCTTTAGGTTCGAGCGCATGGAGTCTCTGCAAACAATAATAAAATCGGTTACGAAAGAAACAATGACTAAATTTGTATATTTTTTTATATCGCGTTTTATGAACCGACATCACAGTCGTAGATAATATTGAAATATATGTAATGAAGCCGTAAATTGCTAGTGTTAGTGAACCTAATAATTATTACCATAAGCAATGTTTTACATTGCTATTTATGGAATGTATTACTATTTAATATGGATGCCAAAAGATTACTATCTTGAGGATGTCAAGAACCCGCACGGCGTTTATTCGTGCTTGTGGGCGAGTCTAACTATCTTTATGTACTTACTTGGCTTAGGAAAATAAAAATTAGTCGACGTAACAAATCTCGCAGAGTCAAATGTGACAATCACCCTTTCGTAACTCAACCGTGACGGGTGACAGACAGCGGCGTGGTCGATTGGTGTGGAGGCCGTTAGCCGTGACGTGGTGGACTGCACACAGTGACGCAAACATGAGCTGTGGCTCGGTGTGGTGGTGGTGGGTGTGGCGGCGGGCACGGTACCTGGGCGAGAGCTGGGTGTGGTGGTGGGTGTGGTGGTGGTGGGTGTGGCGGCGGGCTCGGTACCTGGGCGAGAGCTTGGTGTGGTCGTGGTTGGTGTGCGCGGCGCGGTACCCGTGGCGCTGCACGCGGCGCGCGAGGCGTGCGACCCAGCGGCGCTGGTCGGGCGCGGCGGGCGCCAGCAGCAGCAGCTCCCGCGCGCGGTCCGCGTGCAGCTTGCAGGCCGCCACTCCCGCGCCGCCCTCGCCCTCCGACACGTGCTCCGCGTGGATCTTCATCCGGCACCCTACGTGTTACACCGAGAATTTGTATCGACGAGGTCAAACTTGTCCTATAAAATCAATCCTGGCGACGGATGCCGAGTAGAGATTGAAATCTCCTCAACATATGGAATTAGTACTATAATAAATTATTTTCACAATCATAATCTTTTGAGAAGAAAGAGCATATTACATCGCAAAACCTTCTCCTTGTCCTTTAATTCAAAAAAAATTTTTATAGAACTCAACAAAATATGTGAGTATTATAATAAATGTAATATGGTTACGAGCAAAAATAAAAAATGATCTGTGAATTGTAGACTCATTTATACTTGTATAAAACGACTTCACACATTCCATAAGATAGGGTATAAAACCTTTGTAAACCTTAATAATAAAAATAAACATTATAAATACTCACGTCGACACTCGTACGCTTGCGGCGGACGGAACATGTGCCAGAGCGGGCGCGTGCACACCTCGCACGCGGTGGGCATGTGGTACGTGATGCTCACTAGGTCGTGGCCTTTGTGTTGCACGGTGTTACCTAAATACAAATAAACTCATTGGCAGAAATATTTTACAGAAACATATCAAGTGACATATAGTAATAGAATATTTGATACTGATATAGTTTTACAAGAATTCTTTTCTAACATATTCTGTTTAGATGTAGAAAAATCGTGAGTACCTCAGTCTCACCTAATTCAATCTCAAAGTAACTTGTTCAGTAAACACAGTTTACTGTCAAAGGATGTTATTTCATCATTCAACTTTTTGCAGTGATATTACTCTACCTCTAAGAATACCTCTTATTCTTTGTAACACCTTAGCCCTTCGAAACGGCAACAGATGAGCTATATCACGGGTGTTATATAATACCGTAATGTCCGTTGTTTGATGATTGATGTTCAAGTATATAGGCGACCAATACAACTAACCATATATATAGTAAGATTTCAGGATGTTTGACATTCTATTTACATAAAAAAATTACTAAATTAAATACTACCCGCGCCAAACTGAATACGACAAGTGTAGCAAGTACTATAAAGGTCATCACATCAGTGTAGTGACGGTAATAGGTACTGTATTAGGTATACTACGAAAGAGACCTATCAGGTCGACTTACACTTGAAACCAATATGAATAATTCTTGTTAAATTCATATGTGACCACCATTATTCACAAAATAATCCATACCAGCGTGGTCAGCGGAATCAGGCGGGAGATCTGCGAGGTCGCCGGGTCGCCGCGCTTCGCCCTCGCCCGCGTACAGCAGCTGGAAGATGCGCGGGATGTCCTTGGCGTCCGCGCGGATCACATCGCCCTGCGTCACCGACCGCACGTGGAACACCTTGCTGCAACACCAAGCGACCGAGTATAGTACATACAATATACTTAAGTAATTATATATTTTATATTTGTATATATATTTACATATGTATATATTGCACCGCCTTATTATCTCTGATCAGCGCGAAGATTGAGTAGTAGGGAATGCCATCAGGCATTTAATCCGCCATGTATACAATTTTGTGTGCAAAAGAATAAATAAATATAGAATAGAATAAGATGTATTACATCACACCAATAATGAAGCTCACCAATTAAATTTTTAAATCATATTAATTAATATAAAATAATATCATAAATTAGAGATAAAATCATTACTTAAAAAGTACAAGAAAAACAAATACCAAAATAATAATAATAAATTAAAATGCATTGCTTATCCACCACTGTGAAGCATCGTCATCAAGTCACAATATTTATTTATTTTATATATGTATACATAAAGAAAGCTCGCAACTAACATGTAAAGTTGCCGTAATACAAATAATTGGTTACCTATTTTAATTAATTCTTATTTGCTCATTACTGCATAAATATATACAATAAAAAATAAAAATTAAATCCACATCATGCAAAGTCTGCCTAATGTCTGCGGAATTTAACTGTGGGTTTAACAAATTCAATATTAATATCATTGTTCCTATTAATATACATGTAATTAAATTTAATACATGAATATAACCTAATTAGATAACTGCAAGTAATTACATAGTCCACGACGCATCTTCAATACCTCAAACCATACTTAAATATTCAGTGAAGAGTTAATATTCTTATTATTGTTTATAAAATAAAACTAACCTCAAATCTAAAATCATAACAGGATCTGTAGTATTCATTTTGTCATTCTCCGAGTTGTAAAATATAATCTTTTTGGAGGAGACGACAACATATTGCTTTTTCCAGCCGTGCCTGCGTATGTTCTGCTTGAAGGGTACTGAGAGCCAACCTTCAAGTGTTTGCTCTGTTTCGCCATCCTCCGCGTCGGCGGACGATTGTGAGGCAGTTTCGCTTGTTAAAGCAGCAAGTTTTTCTTTTAGTTGCTCTATTTCTGCATCTTTGCTGTCCACCTTAAAACAATATATATTAGATATATTGTTATTTGTTAATGTCATACGTAATTTCTCAAAATAGGAGTCTCCGTATTACATATCTCTATTTTGAGAAATGTGTAATATTAGGGGGGAGGGAAAATTGTTATTAATGATAATATGAATGATAATATTTTGTTCCTTGTATATCCTCCTTCCTCATACTTATTATAAGTATATTTACTATAATCGGATTGGTTGGCAGATAACAATGCGAGTCTACAGTCTACTGTGTGCTAATCTTATTGTAATCTTATTGTATGTGTGTAATCTTATTTAATGAGGGACTCTGGCATACATTTAGGAATTAAGAACTGGAGTGTTGTTCTACCAACTCCATTACATGTGTCTTTTTAGGAGTTTTACGGGCCTCTGATCTACCTTATTAGGATGGACACTCAGCCGAGCCCTGTATTGTGGTCATGTGCTGGAAAACTCCACACTTACTGTGTAAATTTTGAGAAGTAAAATATTTCCGATTTTAGATGATGATAGCAAAAATAAAAAGCCTATTAAGTCTACCTCCCCACGTCGCCTTGGAATCCAATGTGATTAATTCCTATTGAATGACGTAATAACGTGATAGTTAATATATAAACTTCATCATAGTATAGCAAAATGTTTTACTAGATATGCCCCTTGAGATTAATTACTTGTCACAATTAATTTGATATAATTAATGAAGTACATTAGAAAGCTGGACAGTTAAATATGCATATTGATAATGTCACATTGTTTATTCTAAATAATATCTTGTATATTATAAGTTATTATATTAACACATGAATAAATTTTATTCGCCTAGGACTGTGAATTTTAATCAAACTTTTATACCAAGAACCAATATAACAAAACAATAGCTGTACCCTGAGGCTAAACCCGCATTCCGTGTTATATGCCAATAATGTAACTATTTGATTGATGTTTTTTTTAAATCAGTCAAGCATTTTTTCCGTTAATTCAGTACATACAAATGTACAATTATCAAATCTATCCTCTTTGTAATATTGAAAAAGAGACAAAACACATGAAATTACTCTTTTTGACAGCATTAGTGTAACAAATATAAATACCTCCATGGCGAGTCGCAAGCGTGTCTGTTGTTCCTCCACCACCTGTTGCTGCGTGTCCTGCAGGTCGCGCTGCAGCTTCACCACCAGCTGGTCGAACTTCTCCTTCTCGCGCGTCAACTCCTGTTGAAGTTTCCTGTAGTCCTTGTCTTTGCGGACCGACATTTTGTTTTTGTTCTTCGTTGTGGTCGGGTTCATATCTTTTCTGTTGTTGATATTGAAGAATAAAAATATTATTGTAATTATCATGTTTTTAACAGACTTTAAAAGGGGTGGTGGTTTTTTGTCTAATTAAAAGGATTTAATACCACAGTAGAATCATGCTAATTTTGAAATTGATGTTTATTATAAATTTTTAATTATATTTATCTTAAGGTATGTTGTGTGTACAACAATTTGTCATAGTGTCTGTAACAATTACTATTACAGTGTAGCCTAAAAATACTAAAGTATTTTATGAACTTAATAGTTCATAAGTAAATTGATGTTTTTTGTACTACTAACAGTATATAAGATATAGACCCAGGGAAATCAGAGTGGACTTCTCGTTACAATATCAAAATAAGAGAGAAACCCCACAAGAGATAGTCGGATGACATAAAAATTATCACTGCGGACATGACTTGCAAGTGAAAGAGAGATATGGAAATCACTGGAGGTAAGCTGTGTCAACATATCGCACTTAATATTTATATAATGGTATACCTGTTCATGATCTCTGCGAGTTTGTTGACAGCCTGTTGTTTGAGCATGATCTCAGAGTTGAGTTTCTTGTTGAGCTTGTCTACGTCCTCTTGCAGTCGTTGCAACGTCGCGACTCTCTCCGCTAACGCTGTGCCATTGCGGCGGAGCTCATCTACTTCCTGGTTACAGAAAAAATATTTTGTTACCTATATCTATATAAATAAATATTTCTTAAGAAGAGTAACTTCAGACAGGTGGCAGTCATAAAACTATATTCCGAAACCCATTATGCAAGAGCAAATTAAATAAACTGTAACTGGAATGGTAAACTTGCTGACGACCCATTTAATGGTAAACTGTAACTCTTTCCTATATATTGAAGTACGGATATCACGTTATTATATGCATTAATATATACACCTGCGATACCAGTCATGTGTTACCATTCTAAAGGAGTAGGCGAGAGTGACATACCCACGCCGATTTTTCTGAAACAATACTTGGGGTAATAATGATGTTTTTTAACTATTTTAGGAAAAAAATACAAATTATTAAAGAAACCACAACAATTGTCATCATACTATTTTGATCAAAAATATATTTATTAATTATCTGAAACAATAACAATTGTCTCCACATTGTTGCGTAATGATTAATACGCAAATAAAAATTATTAAGGCAGGGGAATCGGTCGGGTGGAAGTTTCTAATAATAAATTATTATTAGATAAACAAACATTAATAAACGTACCTATTTTCACAACATTAAAGGAAGAAAACTGTATAATAACGTCTTGAAGGATAAGAGTTAATTACTGTAATCATATCAATTAAGATCAAAGGGCCATAGTTTGACAATATATCACCCACTACACCCACACAGTTTTCCGCGCAATGTAAATACTACGTCGCCGATATCACTGAAATAGCTTAAGAATTTATTCTACATCCGCTTTTGCGGTTATAGATTAAAATATATCACAATTTATCCAAGACTGTAGTGTAGTGTATTAAAGTAGGTACTTAATACGTAATGTATGAATACTTTTTATATTTATAATAATTAGTGTTATGAACTGAGCATGTTAATGTTAATAATACTGAAAGGAAGCTATTTTAATTCAGTTTTCTTTAATGTATTGTAGCAAGATTTTAAAACATTATTTTATTTCTATGCTCATATATGTATTACAGATTTTGTGTAATTAGATACCTAGTTGTCTAACTCAATTCAATACATTCATTGTTCGTTTCACTCCAATCGGTACTCAAACAAAAAAGTTATAACCTATTATTCTATTACTAACTAAAAGTCACAGTATATTCAATGAAATACATTTTAATTTTGAAATAGACAAATGTCAATTGCGGCAGCAGTTTATTCAACTAACAAAAAAGTATTCATAAAACCCTATGAATTGTATTAATAAAATCTACTAAGGCGAAAGTCTAAAAACAACTTTTTTAGAAGTCTGTTGTCAAGAGTTTACAGTGCAACTTTCACATAAGTTAAGTCTGGGCTATTTGAATAAAACTGTCATGCAGTGTATCATTTGTGAACTGCGTGTAATACTGCAATAAATATCGAATTATCGAGATCGACCTTCTGTCAACCAGGGAGATGTATCGTTCCAATAAAATGTTTTATATCTATCATTAGTCTCGATGCAAAGATACCTAATACAGGTCACAAATTCAAGATTTCTTCTAAAGTCTCATTTTATAAAAAACTTACATAAAAAATCTTAACCATATCTTACAAATACTCATTAACACAGTGCTAACATACTTTGTTCATATTTAGTTAGTATGTTAAATTATACATTATATTTTCTCTTTGATGATCTTATTTCATAATTAGAGATAATCTTCTTATATTGATATAAATTTTAGTTTAAATTAAATCAATTAGATTCAACATAAATAAAAAACAAAAAAATAATCCCCATATCCCTATAAGTAACTTTATAAAGTAAATATACCTATTACGTATCTAAGATCCCTAGCGCAGGTAACAAAAAAAAGTTAGATCTTGAAACATATCAACAGATCTTCCTACTGTACTGTAAGATCCATCTACATAGGGAAATAATATCAGTCTAAAAACTTGACGTTCATAAAAGTCTAAAATGGCCTACATGAATAAACTATTTTTTATTTTATCTGATCTCGATTGTAGCGATCCAGATGTTTTGTATCTACAATTTATCAATTGAAGCTTTCAACTATTTGGTCCTTTTTGAAGCCACAGAAACGTCAAACTTATAACATCCCTCTTTTTCATCAGGAGTAGTGTAGTGGTATATGAGATAGTACCTTTCGTTGTAGGTCGATGGTGGCGCGGTTCTCATGGTCCCTATCGCGGAGACCCTGCACGAGGGCGTCCCGCGCCGCAACCTCGCTGCGGTGTTGAGACAGGGCGTCGCGCATCTCCAACTCTTTCATGGTCTTCTCTTTCTCCAGCTCACCAATTGTTTCCTCTGCTATTGATCTAAAATATAACCGTCTACCATTAAAACCACCAGCTCAATGTTCTTAAATTTGCTATTTTAAACAATCATCACAAAAAAAACATGTTATTTTTAAACGTATGTTCTATTTCCACTAATATTTTATAATCATGTATACGAAAAGAAGAAAATATAGTAAGATCATAAAATTCGCATACTATATCGCATCTTAATATACTTGTAATATTAAAAAATGTTAAGGACACTGTCTTGATGATAATATGAATTAATATCGAAAAAAATATTTTTCCAACTTAGCACCAACACATTAATAAGGAACTAAAACCGATATAAAGTTTTTGATGACGGCCTATTCGTTGTACCTGTAGTTACAAGTCGAGGTAGTAAACGAGTCGAGAGAGCAATAGTAAAACGAGCCACAGCGCTTTCTCATGTAATGAAATATGGAAAAAAATTGTGAACTGCCGACGATCAGCTGTGGGATGATAAATGATGATATATTAGAAACCTCTAAACTCTGTCAAATTCTATAATTTTAAATAAACAATATGTGACGTACCTAGAAATAGCTTCGGAGTCGGCTCGGGCGATGGCCAGCTGCAATTGATGCATCAGACTAGCGCGCTCCTGCTCCAAGTCTCTTATGGACCGCGAGTTCTCCTCAATCTGCCGTTGTAGTTCGTTCACTTGGCTCCTGTACACCATGCAATAGTGCTGCTCGTTTTCTAGTTGGGAACGAAGCTCTTCACTCTGCAGACAATTATAACATTTATCATTTTTTAACCTTACAAAAATTGCTAAAGGTTCATTTTCATGTAGATGACATTGATGGAATGGCAACGCATCGGCCCAAATAATGAAAACTAATAACATGTCATCTTCTACACGAACATACCCCAAATACGTTGTCATTCCTTAGAAATAAGGTGTCAATAACATGTCATCTCCTACATGAACATACCCCAAATACGTTGTCATTCCTTAGAAATAAGGTGTCACGCCTCCGAATTCTCTACTGTCACAGCTTCAGGCATCGTGCAGGTCACATGTAAACATGAACAGCACCATAGACAATACAGAATACACTATGTGTTACTCATGCATTACTGCCAAAGACTAAAAATTTTAAAACGACCACAGTTTGCAAGCTATTGATATATAGATGTATAAACAGTACTTAAAAAAATATAGATTAGGTGAATTACCAAGAAGTTTTTGAGAAATCATAAAAAACCCTTATGTATGAGTCATATTTGAGAAAAGAAACAAAAGGAACTTCTAGAATGAAACATTCTAATAATGTCTGACATCTTCTAAGGTATAATAGATTCCGTTTTCTTCATTTGGACAGATGTACTTATAAGTGTGCCATGTTTTTTAAGTAAATAAAACACAGATGTACCTAAAGAAATTTTATTTGCATTATCATTTAAATTAAATTAAATTGACACTTCATTTAATAGGAATCGTTGCTCTTTGAATCAAAATCCACACTTTATCATTTAATTTCTACTAAGAACCCGTCTCGGCTCCGCAAGAATATACCACAAAACTTTGAATTTCTAAACACATAAAACTTTCTCTTGAATTACTCTATCTATTGCTGAAAACTGCATTAAAATCCGTTATATAATAAAAAATATATAAGCGAACAGACAGAGGCGGCGACTTTGTTTTACACTATCTAAAAATATCCTTTATTTATATTGTAATTATATTTAGTTAGTTTACATATTTATGAGAATAGTTCATAATAATTACGTAACCTACTACTTTCCTGAATTGACCAACTCATTTTCCCAATACTTATAAATTGAATATAACATGTAACAATAATAGAACAGTAGTGTATATACTGGAAGCCCACTCGTATAATTTATGATAACTATTAATAATGAAGACTACACAAGCTCCTAAATAGATCCATTATCAGTAAATTATAAACCATAAATGATGCAAATAAAGATTTTATTAACTACAATATCTGGACGAGCAGGAAATTGATACGACAGTATAACATTCCTGTATATTAAAGTGCAGTAATACATGTGTTTTATAGCGAACCTCCAATGTCAAGCTTCAATGTTTAGTCAGCATTCGCATTAAATAAATTCATGCCGCCATGCGCCCGAATGATTGTGTAAAGGTGCACGCACACCTAAACGCTCAACATGCGCAATAGTTCATCGAAATAAAGGATGAAAAAATACACCGGGTATAAATACCACGACGCACGAGCTATATTATTAAAAAATGGTATATATGTATAATGCTGATTATTATGAATAAAAATCGCAACCATGAACGACGTCATTAATGCAGTGCTGCGCAACCAATTCTTTTATCTTATCTTTCTTATGGAATAATCCGTATTCACAACTGAGTTTAGAACACTAAACCTTAAAAAATACCTATTGAGACCACGACGTTTGGAATCGAAATCTATTACGATTACTGACGCATACTGCTTAGTTTGGGGCTAGATGGCGCTATGTAAATTATCCTGGATTATAAATATTTTCTTTACATATAATAAAATCGTGACCAGACTAACTACAAACCCTTTGTTTGCGCGTTAATATTTATTGTAACAATAGCTGGTATAGTTATGATTAATATGTTGTTAAATATGGGTCCACATATAGGCTACTAAAAGCTGAGAAATATATTTCGAGCCTACAATTTTATTAATTCGTTAATTTATTAAATAACTAGCTATTCGCCCCGGCTTCGCACGGGTGTACATGTATTATTATATGTATGCTTAAATCTTTAAAACTATGCAACGGATTTAAAAGCTGTTTTTTTAAATAGATTTAATGTGCGTTCGCCTTTAGTAACATTGCGCTATTGTGACACTAGTACGTCCCGGTTTATTTGTTGACTCAAGACTCGGTTTTATGTATAAATGTGATAGCGACGAGGCTATATTTTTACTCTTTACCAAGAGAGGTGCCCTAAGTCTAAAACTTTTAATGGAATGATTTTAAGCTATGTTTAATATTCGGAGTCGGCATACTTTATTTCAAACAATATTTTATCCAAATTCTTTCAAATATGCAACAGATCTCTCACTATATACCTATATATCAAATTACCGTATCAAATATATCGTAGTAATAAATATTACAAGCGATAAATTTCATTCTCTTTTATTGCGACTGCTGACTTTTAATTAACAAATAGTATAACAAAACAAACAGACATTCATCTATATATTCCCCTAACTGCCGCAGATATTGCACAATTGGATATACGCCTGCAGATAATGAATACAATGTATAGTGGCTTTTCTTGGAAGCTATCTCTACCATATCATTGGACCTATAAATAAATATAGCTACTAATAATAAATATAACATTTATATGACTAATTTAATAGAATTCGACGGCCGGAAACCTTTACTTGGCCTTTCTTCCTTTTCTTGCGAACAATCACCCGCGGCCATCCGCGGGTGATTGTTCGCAGGATGCAACATATTCATGAGTATGATTGTTTGTATTGGTCTGGATGTGTATTAAGAATTTACAAAAAATATATATATCTATCGACTCTCTAGTACACATAACGCAAGTTCTGTTTAGCTTGGGACTACAGAACATAGCGTGAATATTTTTATTATTATATTATTAAAAAATATTCAGACGTTACTTCTGCTCCATTACTTGATTTGTTAAAAAAAACAGATGTCCTGTGGTGAAAGGCATGGTCGCGTGCCATACAACCGAATACAGACAGGTATGGATGACTTACAATGTTTTAATCTAAAGAATGAATCTCAAAAGTTCGTGTCATAAATGTCAAGGTTGTCAAACAATATACATATAGGACTACGTAAGTTTTGTGAATTGTAACAGAGATACAACAAAACACTGTTATAGAGAAGTACAACTAGTACATACATAATCGCATTCGCATACTGAAATGTCAGTTTAAACGAACTAATTGTTCATAGAGCGATCCCAATTAACTTACTGGCCACATCATAGGAAAATATAAATGTTAATTTATAGTGCATACATATTAATAAAAAAGGCAGTCACTTGAATATTGTGTTCCATTATTGCAATTATTTGTTGGACAAAACCTTTAGTACTTAATGTTTTTTATGTAAATGGCAAACAAACAGACGGTCCATCTGAGTAAATGGAGCTCGTCGCTTATACACAAGAACAGCACTACGGACATCACGTTATCATGTGATACCGCTCACACGTTACGATTCCAGAGGAGTAACATGTCTTATTCTATAATTCTCTAATTTATATACAATCTGAATAGCTTACGAAGCAAGCTGCTTGGCGACTGAAAGAGGTGAGACTGAGAGACACCTCATAGTCTATCTCTGATAAGTAATTAAGCTAAAAATAAGTTAATTATGTATGACATTTATCATATACTAGCTAGTAACATAATTTCTATCCAATAACCAAATACACACATTATTTAGCCTTGAAATCGTTATAGCCCAAGAGCCTACGACTGCCAGACATACGTCATTTTAGTAAACGTGAAAATTCTTGTATGTGTGTCCCCAACACAGGTAAGAACGATCCCCAAACATGAAACCTGGATCGTGGTTCCTTTGGCAGGTACCAGGTAACAAAGGTGTAAAAAAAACATATCAAATTCGTTATTTTAAGAAACTCCATATTTTCATATATTGTTCGTAGCATTATTATAACTTGCGTTGCCAGACACTTAGTGTGGTTCCAACCCCCCGCCGGACCCCCCTAAACTATACTATTTTAGAAGTAAACTTACGTCATTTTAATAAAGCTGAACTTTATATATATTATTGAGAGAACTATTAAACTGAGTTTCCTAAATTGCCAGACAGTTTTCTTGGTTCCTTATCCTACCAGACTCATTGGAACCGTATATTGGGTAACAACGGTGTATACAATTTCATATCAAATTCGTTATTTTAAGATGCTCCATTTTTTCACATATTGCTTGTAACAGTATTATAACTTGCTCTGCTCGTTGCCAGACACTTAGTGTGGTTCCAACCCCCCGCCGGACCCCCCTAAACTATACTATTTTATAAATAAACTATCGTCATTTTAATAAAGCTGAAATTTATATATATTATTGAGAGTTCTCTCAAACTGAGTTTCCTAAATTGCCAGACAGTTTTCTTGGTTCCTTATCATACCAGACTCATTAAAACCGTATATTGGGTAACAACGGTGTATACAATTTCATATCAAATTCGTTATTTTAAGATGCTTCATTTTTTCACATATTGCTCGTAACAGTATTATAACTTGCTCTGCTCGTTGCCAGACCTTTAGTGTGGTTCCAACCCCCCGCCGGACCCCCCTAAACTATACTATTTTATAAATAAACTTACGTCATTTTAATAAAGCTGAACTTTATATATATTATTGAGAGAACTATTAAACTGAGTTTCCTAAATTGCCAGACAGTTTTCTTGGTTCCTTATCATACCAGACTCATTGAAACCGTATATTGGGTAACAACGGTGTATACAATTTCATATCAAATTCGTTATTTTAAGATGCTTCATTTTTTCACATATTGCTCGTAACAGTATTATAACTTGCTCCAACCATTGTTATAATGAATAAATAAATATGATATACGATCACTGAAGTTTACGGCCAAAACCATGTTCATTCATTCATTGTCATTGTCAAAATCAATCGGTTACAGCCAAATTTTTACATAAATATATTATCAAGAAAGAAAATGTAATTATTATTTTTTATATCGTTACCTCATTGAAATCGGTACACTTTTGCCTTTCTACCTATGAAACTAATGGCTGACCATAAAATAGCTTAATTAACGCACAGTTAATTAATGAATTTTCAACTTAAAATTTATAAGTTACCTTCAAAATTTCTATATTTATATTTTTGCATGACATAAATTAAGGTTTCCGTACAAACAAAATGTATTATGCAAATAGAAAATTATTTTCAAACTTCATCCAAATTACCTCAAAGGAGAAACTCAATCGAGACCCAATTACACAAGGCGATGTGATTCACCGCGTCATGAACTTGGGCGCAAGCCGTCATTTTTACAAAGAAAACACGTATTAAAATATTAACGTCATTTTCACTACTACGTTTACTTAATCAACATTCCGAGCCATTCAGTAAATGTTATTTACAGAGCCATGGCATCAACTAATTCATAATCATAACATTTTGCACGTATTAGGCATACAAGCAGATACATCTGATGGAGATTATCTGATTACCCAATATACGGTTTCAATGAGTCTGGTAGGATAAGGAACCAAGAAAACTGTCTGGCAATTTAGGAAACTCAGTTTAATAGTTCTCTCAATAATATATATAAAGTTCAGCTTTATTAAAATGACGTAAGTTTATTTCTAGAATAGTATAATTTAGGGAGGTCCGGCGGGGGGTTGGAACCACACTAAGTGTCTGGCAATGAGCAGCGCAAGTTATAATAATGCTACGAACAATATATGAAAATATGGAGTTTCTTAAAATAACGAATTTGATATGAAATTTTTTACACCTTTGTTACCTGGTACCTGCCAAAGGAACCACGATCCAGGTTTCATGTTTGGGGATCGTTCTTACCTGTGTTGGGGACACACATACAAGAACTTTCACGTTTACTAAAATGACGTATGTCTGGCCGTCGTGGGCTCTTGCTCTATTACCAATCAAAAGCAATACGATTGTGTCCCTACAGACAATATTACATACATGTAGGGCTATATTACTGATATTTAGTCCACGCTGATAGATGCGGTCACCCCATTTCATGCCTATCATGTCCCGATAGATAAACAAGTGCAATTGATGAAATATGCGAACAGTTCGGGTGTTTCGTTCAATAACTGAGGCAAAACTAGTTTATAACTAGCTAAGTTATTTTTCGACTTGAGATATTTTTCTAAATATGTACATCTTATTAGATAAATCAGCTTTAAAATGGTTTATATGGAATTCTCGCTATTTACCTAAACAGTCATTTTTCAAAGACATTTAAGCATTTTTTAATTCCGAATATTATTTCAAAAGGCTATTTTATAGAGATACGCTAATCATGGAGATAATTAAAATAGACATTTTTATTTACATTAAAGGAATCTAAAATAATTACTACATGAATTATAATTTATAATCAAATAGAGTTACAGGTGTTATAAGTACCTATATAATAATCGCAACAAATAATCCATAGAAATTAACAATGTATTTAGACACAAATGAAGATGTACTGCAAATAGAATATTTACTTCGCGCATTACTAATTATTTCATTATTATGTCAACGGGAATATTACGAGAATATGCTAAGCTAACGACTAACTTTACTATTCTAAGAAATCTAATGAATATTATATTAATTTTGCACATCGCGCCACTATAACATAAATGACTAAGACGGAGAACGCTAGAAAAACCGCTGGCTACGTAAGCGTGTTTATTTATTTCGAGACTGCGTGCGCGCAGGTATATCGTATAAGGCAAAAGCTATGCATGTGTAGTGTTGACAACAATGAGTCATTGTGTCGTAATCCCAGGACACTATTTCGGCGCGATGAGATACAAACCAAGTTACGACGATCACATTATCTTATGTAAATATTAGGGTTTGGACGCGGCTCATGTTCCACCTGCCAGTTCATAGCTCAGGGTGAAATATAAAGGAAAAAGTAGAAGTAACAATATGCACCGTAACGATAATGTCAGTGAAAATTTGCACCTTTTTCTAATACGCGTTCGTATTGGAAAAAGTTGTAACTTTTCAGTTCGAAATCCAGACCAACATATAGTCAAGACGGATTATCACATATAATGAAAACGGAACCTTAACCATTGTTATAATGAATAAATAAATATGATATACGATCACTGAAGTTTACGGCCAAAACCATGTTCATTCATTCATTGTCATTGTCAAAATCAATCGGTTACAGACAAATTTTTACATAAATATATTATCAAGAAAGAAAGTGTAATTATTATTTTTTATATCGTTACCTCATTGAAATCGGTACACTTTTGCCTTTCTACCTATGAAACTAATGGCTGACCATAAAATAGCTTAATTAACGCACAGTTAATTAATGAATTTTCAACTTAAAATTTATAAGTTACCTTCAAAATTTCTATATTTATATTTTTGCATGACATAAATTAAGGTTTCCGTACAAACAAAATGTATTATGCAAATAGAAAATTATTTTCAAACTTCATCCAAATTACCTCAAAGGAGAAACTCAATCGAGACCCAATTACACAAGGCGATGTGATTCACCGCGTCATGAACTTGGGCGCAAGCCGTCATTTTTACAAAGAAAACACGTATTAAAATATTAACGTCATTTTCACTACTACGTTTACTTAATCAACATTCCGAGCCATTCAGTAAATGTTATTTACAGAGCCATGGCATCAACTAATTCATAATCATAACATTTTGCACGTATTAGGCATACGCACAAGCAGATACATCTGATGGAGAATTTGACGTATTGAAAAGATCGAGATAACGTAATTCTAAATTGGTATAATGTATACATTTATATAAAAGTACATTAAAGTCCAAGTAAAAATAAAAAAGAATACAATATGTGTCACTTCAATTCTAACAAAATTTGTATTATGAAACCAACTTATTCTTATGATAAATGTTGTTGTTTGTCAGAGAGCCAGCCACTAACTAATCAATAGTTCATAGTACTTTTTAATAGATATTATCTATATTTTGCTATTGTCTGTTTATCACATTTTTTATAGTTAATTGTATGAACAAAATAATATCTCTATAAAATCATCCTCTTAGTATATCTAACTACATATTTAAGTACAGAAATTAATTTAGATGCAACTTCACTTGTATTTTATTCGAAACGACTCAAACATTTGTGCAATTTCTGAATGATGTGATTCAAAAATCTCTACTGAATGGATTTCGTTGCGGCTTCTATACAACAGAGTAATTTCTGAGAAAGGTTTAGGTGTATGATTTGTTAAAGTATATATACCCAAAGTATATTAATTGAAATACCTACGCGAGGTAACTAGTAAAATCTTAATAATATTTACGTTTACAAAAACTATACCAAACATTTCACTCACCCTAGCATAATGCATATCCCGCTCGGCGCTGGTTGCAGCAAGTTTCTCCTCGATGTCGTGTAATGCAGATCGAACCGTTTGAATTTCACGAGCGCGGGCATCCCTTTCTGCGTTGGCGGCGCGGATTGCTGCTTCAGCCGTAGCGGCCTCGCCGCTAGCTGCCAGTCGCGCAGTACGCTCTTGTTCAAGGGCCGCGGCCAAGCCCACCACCTTTACAAAAAACCTCCATTAAAATGGTTTATACCGCATCCTAATTATTCTGAAATGACATGAGTAGTATCACAGGTCTTACATGATAATGCTGTTCTGGTTACAAGTGTGGTTATTGTTTACCATTTAGTGGACCGTGAGCATATTTACCATTCTAATTATTCTAATTAATCTTATTAATTATAAAAAAAAATGTGAATACATACCTTTTCACTCTCCTGACGATGTTCCCCTTCAAGTTTTTGTAAACGTTGTTGCATCTGCCTGTAGTCTACACTTAACATCGACATCTGACGATCTTTCTCTTGGCATGCAGATTCGGACCGCTGTCTCGCCGTTTTTTCTTCATTTAGTTTACTTTGAAGAGCTGTTAAACACAACATATCATAACTTCCCGATGTTGTATGCTTTCTCCATACAATTAAAAAAATTATATATTTTTCTAATTTATATAGGACAGCTAAAGTATAGATTTTTAAACAATCATTAAGGAAGAATGAAAAAATGGGAGGAGAATAAAAAAAATAATGTTACATTAAACATACATACTAGGAATTATATTAGCAAAGTGGACAATACCTTTTAATATTATATCCAATGCTCCTGAGGCATGCAAAAATGGAAGTGTATTCATATATAATTATTTTAGGGTTACTCTTACAAAATAGCTCATATAATTATGTAAGGAAAATAGCATGAATTCTAAATTGTGTATCACAAATCGACATATAAATATGCGAACTTACCTTTAACTATTTCCAAATTGGCTTCTTGTTTAGAGAGCATCTGAGATCGTTGAGTGTCTTGATGAGCACGTAATTCTTGTTGATAGAGATGCTGTGCAGCTCGTAATTCGTGTGCCAGAGATGCACATTCCTTTTCCAATGATGATACACGTTCAGACAACTGTCTATTATCTGCTAGAGTTTGTGCTAGTTTAGTAGATGTTCTTTCGAATTCAGCATGAGCTGCATTTAGTCTACTATTAGCTTCAATCACAGCTGCATCAGAACGTTGTTTGGCAGCTTTCACTGCCCCTAATTCGTCAGAGAGCACACTGCGCTCACGTTCTAAAGCGTCCCTTTGTGCGCGCAAATTGGCAACAGCACCATCATTCATAGCAGCAGCAGCAGCTTGTGCTGCCGACTGCTCTGCTGCTTGTTTCCTTGATTTAGCTGCTGCTTCAGATTCTTGTTTCAATTTTTCCCTTACTTCAGATAATTGCTTCTCTAAAGCATTAATCTTGTCATTGTAACTCTGTAGATTAATAAATTCTTTTGCTCTTTTGTTTTGTTCCTCCTCCAGCCGACGCTTGGCTTCAATATAATTGGCTTCAGCTTTCTTTTTAGATTCTGCTTCTATTTCAGCTTTTCGTTGTAGTTCCTTTAGGTTGTGTCTCAGTAAAGCTAATTCTTTATCTGTATCAGCAATGATCTTTTTGCTTCTAGATTCTCTCTCACACAATTCCTCAACTTGACCACAAAGAATTTCGTGCCGATTTTCCAGTTTACGTCTATTTTCTCTTTCTCGCTCTAAGAGCTTTTCCAGTTGTAATATTGCTTCAGATCCAACATTATTAATGTGATTATTAGAGATAGTATCAACTACATCTGCAGGTTTTAATTTACCACCGCACAACTGATAATCACCATTATAAGTGAAACCAACAAATGGTAAATGATTACCTACAAATGCTTTGGGTTCTGGAAAGGATTCATCCAGGGCATCAGATTTTTCTATATCATCAAAATTTCTTGTGTCATCATCACTAGATAACTCAGGTACCACTGGTGGAACAGAATCCCTAAGATTTTCAAAACTCCATTGATCATTAATAAAGAAAGGATGTTGCTTTATTTCATCAACACTATTTTTGCCCAATCTTTTAGTTCTATCAGTTAAGAGACCTCTGATAAGTGATTTAGCTTCCTTTGAAATTTCAACATCATCAGGAAATTGCAGAGAATTTCTATGATCCATAATTTTTCCATATGTTCCCACTAAGCTATCTGCATAAAATGGTGGATCACCAATTAACATTTCATATAAAAAAATACCCACAGCCCACCAGTCACACTCACGTCCATAAACACCTTCACCATTTTGTGATTGTAAAACTTCAGGTGAAATATAGTCAGGTGTTCCAACAGCATTGCTGGCACGTACAAGGCCATCAGGGCCCATCCTCATGCAAGTGCCAAAATCAGCTAATTTTAAATGACCATACTTATCAATTAGCATGTTATCTGGTTTTACATCTCTATGCACAAAACCCATACCATGTATGACATTTAAAGCCAATACAATTTCCATTGTGTAGAACTTTGCCCATTTCTCTGGTATATCATAATTAGACATAAGGCTAACAAGGTCGCCACCTGGCATGTAATCCATCACCATGTAAAGATATTTGAGATCTTGAAAAGCAAAGTGCAATTTTAGAATCCATTCAGAATTTGCATGTGCCATTATGTGTCGCTCCTCCCAGAAGAAAGTAGAGTCTGACCTCTTGATCATTTCAACTTTGCTGAGAAGTTTCATGGCATACACTAAATGTGTGGACTTATGTCTGACTAGTTGTACTTCACCAAATGCTCCACGGCCAATTACTTTTATTAAATCAAAGTCAGCTGCCTTCATACGTAAATTAATAATTTCTGAAGAAAATTCCTCATCTACAACAAAACAAAATTTGATCTTAGTAATTTAAAAATTAATACATATCAACTTTATTCCATTTGATTTTATTACATACACATTATATTCAGCAATGCTGCCCTCATAAATTCAGGTAAAAGTATCCTATAAGATAATTTCATTTGAATCTATATAGTATGTTAATTTTTGAAGACAGAACCTCCATCCACACATACAACTGTTCATATTTGCAACATTATTAGAATAATAAAATTAATCATTTTCTTTGGCATAGTGTGGATGTATGTCAACATGTAAAGAATTATATATTAGCGAAGATAATTGATTGCAAGAAAATCATGAGCATTTAATCTTTGTCTCCAGACACCCTTTCAGTGCATTTATTGCACAGTAACTACCATGATGTCATCTTTCACAACTATCTTTCATAACCATGCCACAAATGTAGAGTATAGGCAGTTTAAGTTATTACTGGAGGACTGTTGACAATTTAGGCACATTATGATTACAATAAGCAGATGAAATTAGACAGAAGACACAAATAATGTGCCTCTAACAGACTTGTGTGCTCAGTATCAAAAAAATATTTCTTCTATAAATTAAATATATAAAATATTTTATATCTTTACAGTACTATAATTTTCGTTTATTACTAATGATCATTATGGTTATTGTTTTTAAAGTAGGTAGGTAGGTACATTGGTAGAACATTATTTATGCTATAATAATCTTGATTATTTAAATTAATGAATATCTTAAAATAGGTTTTCTTTACCTATCTGCGATATGTCAATACAACATACTATAAGATTGATTTAAAATAGAAATATAGTATACAAATTATGTTATTACAGAAAATCAATAATTAACTACAAGTATCAATTACTTTATACTTCAATTTTTAGACAATGATTAATGGGTTAACACCATCAATATTGAGAAGTAATACCAAGCTACAAAACAAGATAGTACAAGTCTTATAAAAGGATTTATTAAACAGATGTTGTTAAACTAATCTACGACATTGCTTAAATCATGGATAACTGATTATGACAAATTATTATATCAATGTGATGTAGTATTTTCTAATATTTTTGCATTCTAACACATTAAAATTCTCTGGAATACAGCTTTTTATGCTCGCTAGATGTATAACTCAAATATAAGGGATAAAACTAGAAGTTTTTAAAATATGGTGTTAGAGAAGCATAGAAAGGATTAGCAAGAAAGATCTAAAAATATTTAAGTACTGCCAAGGGAAAACAATTGTAACTTAAAGAAGAGACAAATCATAAATATTCAAAATGGATGTGTATAAATATTAAGCTCAAGCAGATTATAGAAAAAGTTGAAGTTTTGTGTTAAGAAATAAAGAAATTATTGGTGTTGGAAATGGTAAAACCTACATGAGTGTGGCGCTTGAATTGTGAATTAATTACATCAATGAATAAATAAGTTTAATAAAAATAATATTAATATTTTTTGTCAACATATTATTTAATTATTGTGTCACTATATATTTTTAAAAGATTTGTTTTATGATATGTCACTTAAATCCAATTACTTGTATTATAACAAAATATAATTGTCTACATAAAGACGGATTTAAAAGTAAATGTTACTGAGCCCCCTATAATTAATGCCAATTGCCTTAAGTTAACGTTGTCAGACGATTCCACTATACTTGCTATATATAGACCCCCTTCATACCAAGATATAAAAAGCTTTCTAAATTCGCTCGAAAACCTATTAATGTCATTAAAAAGCAGTAGCATATACTTGATTGGTGATATAAACATTAATATATTAGAAGACAGTAAATTAACTAACAGCTACCTAGACCTACTTGCATTTAATGGAATTCTCCCAGGACATGTATTTCAAACGCGAGGTAAAAGCTGTCTTGATCACGTAATGATAAAAACTAAACAGGAGACGAATACATACGTTATTGAATCTACAATTACAGACCATTACTCGATTATACTAACAATAACCACCACTCAACCTCTACATAAGAAGCAAATAATTCAAAAATATATTAATTATGATGTCATCAAATTGGATGTGGAGAATACAGACTTCTCTGATGTACTACAATGTGCTGACGCAGATGAAGCAGCAACGCTATTAACACAAAAATTAACTTCTATAATCACTCGAAACACAACAGTTAAAAAAATTCCAAACCGTAAACGAATAATTCGTCCTTGGATCACACCAGGATTACTAAAATGTATAAGAAATCGGGACAAACTACATGCCGACTTAAAAAAACACCCAGAAAATACAATTTTACAAACTACATATAAACGGTACAGAAACTACTGTAACGACTTACTAAAGAAAATAGAAATTCAATACAATAAAGATAAGATTAATGAAGCGGCACAAAACACTAAAAAAGTTTGGAGTACTATAAAAGACGTTGGAAGAATGGAAATTAAAAAACCAATTGACGGATCAGCTCTTTTGAATATCACAAATAATCAAAATAATGCTATTGATATGGTAAATAAACATTTCGCAGAATTGGGTAAATCACTGGCAGAACAAATAAACATAAACATAAATACCACCAATTATAATGTTTCACAGCAAAGATTAGTAGACAAAGGAAATTCACTAGTACTATTAGACACTGACGATCAAGAAATATATACAACATTAATGAACTTGAAGAATAATACAGCTCAAGGTATAGATTATATCCCAACAAAGGTTCTAAAAATGTCAAATCATATATTAGTACCAATAATAACCCATATAGCAAACTTAAGTTTTCATAGTGGTATATTTCCTACTTGCTTCAAAAAGTCTGTAATAATTCCTATATTCAAGAATGGAGATGAAAAGTGCATTAGTAACTACAGACCTATATCAATTTTGCCCAGTTTATCTAAGATCCTCGAAAGACTTTTAAACAAAAGATTGAATTCGTACTTGTCAAAATATAAAATAATTTCTAATAAGCAATATGGATTTTTAGCTGGAAAATCGACTGAAATGGCAGTTAAAGACTTAACATGTGATATCGCTAATCACTTGGAAAATAAACAAAAATGTATAGCAGTATTTTTGGACTTAGCCAAGGCTTTCGATACTGTGTCCATCCCATCACTTCTCAACAAACTTGAAAAGATCGGAATTCGTGGTACAGCCTTGGCTATATTTAAAAGCTATCTCACTAACCGTACACAGGTAACAAAAATAAAAGACTATATTAGCACGGAAAAAGAAGTAACATACGGTATTCCTCAAGGTAGTATCCTGGGACCTAGCTTATTCATTATCTATATTAATGACCTTTGTAACCTACATGACGATAAAGGAACCGTTTACACGTTTGCAGATGATACAGCACTGGTTTTCCATGGACAGACTTGGTCCGATGTAATTAACAAAAGTGAAAAAGGTTTAACTGAAGTTATCCATTGGCTACATAAAAACCTATTAACAATTAACTTTGAAAAAACTAAATTCATAGCTTTTAGTAAACAGCGTACTGATCAACCCAACATAAATAAAATTAAAGGACATTACTGTACTAATAATGCAAATTGTAACTGCCCCACCATCGATAAAGTAGATTTTATAAAATACCTTGGTGTCTATATTGACTTTCTGCTGACATGGAAAAAGCACATACAAATACTGACGGGTCGAGTTAGAAAATTAATAGTAGTATTTAAACGTCTAAGAGCAGTTCTTGACCTAAAACTATTAAAAACAACATATACTGCATTATGTCAATCTATAATTAATTACTGCATCCTGTCCTGGGGAGGTACATTTAAAAATAACATACTACATATAGAAAGAGCACAACGAGCAATATTAAAAATTATACTTCAAAAACCTATCCGGTACCCTACGACGCAATTGTATAAAGAATTTAATGTATTAACAGTTAGACAATTATATATATTAAAGATAATACTATACCAACATGTATCTGCTCAACAATACATACAGCACATAGTTACTAAACGTAGACAAGATAAAATATTTACTACAATAAAATGCAAATCTTCTTTTGGGCAACGTCAATTAAAATTTCTCGGACCTCACTTATATAATAAAATCAGTAGTCAGATAAAAATTTACCCTCTTACTACACATAATTGTAAAATTAACGTTACTAATTACCTAACTACATTAACCTATATTGAAACAGAAAAAATTGTAAATGTCTAGTCTCATATAATTAAAATTACTTAAATTAAAAATAAAAATACATAGATGTATTTATAATATCAATTATACATCACATACACACACACACACACACCCACACACGCGCGCGCGCACACACACAACTATATAACTATAAACAAATTCATCAGATGTCATATAAGATAAGTAAAAATTAAAGTACGTCAAAGCTACGTAAAAATTGTTAAATTGAACCAACCATTGTGGAAGGAAATAACATCTGTAACACAGGGACTCCCTAGCACAGATGTTACGGCCTATAAATTAGTGACATTGTGTAAAAATTAATAAATATATTATTATTATTATTATTATTATTATAAATAAATATTTTTAAATATAGCAAAAAACTACATGCAACACAGGATTAATTCATAATAGCATTTTTTTATAAACAAAGTTTACTCACTGCACACTACCAAGATATATGACAAGGTGACAGCAAAAATATGCCTAAAAGGTAATCAATGAGATTTTTAGAGTTAAAATGAAACCACCCAATACTTAATTACAATTAACTGTAGTAGCAAATACAGAGATTCTTTATAATTGACCTAAAGATTCGTTAATGAATATGCCTGTTGCCCACATTATGCCATACCATGGGATAGTATACTAGACATTAAAAAGTAAGAGCAAGTTAGTAAGAGATAATATTTAGATGATCCTTACATCTACTTGTGTAGGCGTCGACATTTTTCATACGGCGGATAGCCGGGTGGACACAGTCGGAGACGAGCGCCGTTACAGTGTCCAGCAGACAGTCCACGTTGCCAGTGGAACGTGGGTCGCAGAGCTGATCCTCCAGTGCACGCAGCCGCTGGAGACGCTGCTCATCTTTTACCGTCTCCATACTCAACTGTTTCTGATGTCTCTTGGCACAGAGGCTAAACGGCACCACACATTCTCCCGATTGCTACTGCGAGTGAAAACACCACTCTCATCACGATGCATCAACGACTCTATATACTTTTGTGATTCCACTACCACTATCCTACGGATAGCCTACCAGTTATTCGTTAACTTATGTTTCATTATCAAAATTTTGTCGCTACAACACAACTCAAAATGACAGTAGATAAAGGTGGTTCTAACAACAAAGCATATGCACGTTTGCAAACATTAACTTGTAATTAATCACATTTAAAACATTGTATTATACAGTGATCAAATTAGCAATCCTAAATGTATTAATTATTGGCACTATAATGAAAAATAATGTAAAATTACGAAATATTGAGCCGCTTGATTGAAGAACGATGGGTGATCAAACAATAATGTGAAGTTTGCTGCGGTCGAAAAGTTCGCAATGGCGACTGCAAAGCAACTTTTCAACTTTAGGTCTTTTATTATAAGTAGTTTTAAAAATTAAAGGCGAAAAGCTTTGAAACTTCATTTTTATAGTTATGTATAAATAAATTAATGCCATAAATCAAGTGAATATTAAACATAAATTTATTTCTCTATAAGAAACTTAAAAGTGGGTATTATAGGTAGGTATGCAAAAGTCAAAACTGTAACATAAAATGGCACAACATAATGGTAGGTAATTTTTATCAAATATTGACTTAAATGAGATCGCTACACGTCAATATTTTACCGGGTATATTTATACCCAACCCAATAAAAAGTCAGCGGCGTCATACTTCGGCCCATCTTTCTGATTAATTTGGTTTGTTATCGGTTTTGTCTATACCGGAGAATAAGTCTAAAATTATTAATTTACAAAGAAAAACGGTTTTAGTACTGGTCAATATAGAATACCAATTTATTAGACCTCAATTACTCCAATATACTATGAACTGTATACTAGTTCACCAGTAACAAATATGTTACAAAGTTCCTCTTCATATATGAGTTGTTCTTCATATTCATTACTTATTGTACAAGTGAACGATAACGAAATGCAAATAATGGCATTAATTATTTTACTTAGATAGGATAGAAATTTTGAATACAATCTATATTTGTTTTACGTAAAAAAATATTAAGACATATGAAACAAGCTATTTTTTTTTACTTTTGTTGCTAGACTGTACCTATTCCTTCATCATTTTCAAGATATTATCAAAAAGTATATGACCCGAACAAAGAAAGGGTATTTTATTCTAATGAAGTATAATGTGTGACTATAAAACACCTTTTTATATTTCCCTCCACAACCGTTGCTATCTTCATATGATAAATTTTCAATTACTTCATCGTTTTTCATTCATTTCTCAAAGGAATGATGAAATGTAATAGTGATGGTGTTACCAGCGTAACATAACCAACAACATCATTCCATTCCTACGAAAATGAATGATTAGCATTATGAGAACATTAGGTATAATGAAATAAAATTAAAATATACAAATTTTATCTCGATAAAGCGAATAGTTCAAAAATATACATATTAAAAATAATGTAGTCCATGTCCAATTAGAACGTGACTTATTTAAAAATATTAAAAAAAAAAATTGCAATATCCAGATTAAAAAATTAGTCGACCAAAACACAAAATTCTTTGAATCGTAAAAATACTAGTAATTCTCAATTAAATACATTTATTCATACAATCAACAATATTTTTTGTAACGCTGTATGACCTAGAAACCTTTGCCTGTCTATATGGCAAATAGAAAAACAACTAACCATTTTGATATATATTCAATGATATATATTCGTTGTCGTTGATTTGGGCCTTTGGCCTCATCACTTGTTCAAATATGAAGAAGTTTAAAAGTAGACTAGGCTGTACGGTCTAAGGATCTTTGCCTGTTCCATCACTGAAAAGGAGATGGACGAACATGGGAAAAAAAAAAATGTCGTTGATTTGTCTGTGAATTCTGTTCCGATTCTGAATTTCTGAATTGTCCCGAATGAAACATGGCGGTGCAAGGCAGTATGTCTACAAGTTTTTAATTTTTGCAATGAGTTAAGGAATTGCAAAATACTGACTGTATTTTTACTTTTTTAATTGAGTTTGTGATTTATTTATCATTGATTAATATAGTGAAAGCTTAATCCCTCGTTAGGGATCTATTAATTGGACTGCAAGTTTTGCCATGAAAATTTTAACGTCGTTGCTGGTATAAAAATAATTATTGTGACTAATACGAAGGATACTAAACCAGGTAAAAAACATTCAATGAATTCTTACTTTAACACTTTATATCAAAAATACTTTTGCATAATCCCACAGAGACTTATAAAGGGAACACAGTTCACAGTAGGTAGTTATGCCCCATTTTGGATGAAGTCCTTTCTGGTGTTAATTTACTCGTTTGTAATTGTTATATGAAATCTTATAGAATAATTATTTATTCTTGTAATATTTTATAATTTATTAAGATTACCAATGACTTTAATTACTCGATTTGTAAGTCAAAAAAGATATTTCTTTGTGCACAATCACGTGTGGTTCAGGTCGTTATGGGGTCAACAACTGGTAGCACGAATGTAATTATATTACTGCTAAAACAGTAGGATCATAGTTATTTTAGAGGAAATTGTATTTTGAGTAAGAATTGCTTATCATATGGAACTTACTTAATGTATGCATCTTAATACGTTAGGTAAGTTTTGCAAGAAAAAATAATAGTAATAATGGATCGATTTTATATTGGGCATGTGCAATGTGCAAGTCCAGACAATGTCTGTCAAGTAAGGCGTAGTTAACAAGGTGTGAACAGGTAGTCTGAGAAGAAAGGGAGGGGCGCGGCTGAGGTGCGGGATGGAGGGTTCGTCTGGCAGTCAGCTGTGCCGAGTGTCATGTGCGCGACGCCATGGGAACAGCCCTAAATTTTGCCACTCCATTAAATTATGTGAAATTTGATTCCATAGCGTAGCAATGTTTTAAAGACATCTTTTATCCTGTGCCAGATATTTTCTTCAAAAAAGAACAGAAGTTATTGAAATTTTTCTTTTGTCCCACTACTACTAATTTATCTATATTTTAGACATATACCAAGTGAGAATATAATAGACATATACAAGAAAGCTTATGAAATAGGTAATTTTCATAAATTGTTGTTCAATGATGTCTTCCATTTTTAAGTGTACTCTAAAATTAGCATCCCATGGAAAGCACATATTTTATTTACTCAACATATTTTTTTATCTGATTTTGTAATTTAAAATAATGCTAGCATTAAATTATTAATGACATATTGTAATTGTTCTTACATAATTAACAGTAAACTTTTTTGTTCTATCTATTGTTAATTTTATACACTGGGACTTTTAAAAACTACACACCCAAATTCTTTATTAAAATTAACCACTTATAGGAAACCAGAATGTTGAGATGTAAATTTTCCATTTTATATTCTTCTGCATACTTAACAATAGTTACAAATACTCTTTAATTGTCAACTACAAATTGTATGAAATTATAATACATCAGTGAATTTAAAATATAACAATTGAGAAACACTTACTAGTACATATATGTTTTTGTCAATGTACTGATATTAATTTATTAATGTTTGTAAATCTGGACATTAATGATGTATGTATTAACATAATTGAGTAATAATAATAATCATCTCAGGCCAATTCACACAGTGCCATGTAGACCCAAGTTAGCTAAAGCTTGTGTTACGGCTACTAGACAACTGATACAAGTACATTGATTTTTTTCCTAAATAGATACTTATTATACTTAGAAAATACCTAGACCGATACAAATAATCATACTCATGAATTCAAATGTTTGTGTTGTGCGAGGAATTGAAACCACAACCATCGGAAGGAAGGTGGGGTGTTAAACTGCTAATCCACAGAGGCCATCATAAATCAGTAAATCTGTACATACATTACTAAATAGTGTTAGGGAATGTACACATTGCAACAGTAATTATGTATGGGGTGCAGTGTAACATGTTTTCATTGTTTCATGAGTTTGTTTAGTTAGCTCTGACCATTGTTGTGCAATCAACAATTTTCAATAAAGTTCTCTTTATGGTTTTTGCTTGTAAAGATAACAGGAACTCTCAATGTTATTTACTTTGAGTATTTTAATCACTGATATTTGAGTGTGAGTCATTTCCTACTGTATTTTGATTGAGGTATAATTGCTATTTCCTTTTATTAATCTCATATATTACAAAAATAAATAATAATACCTTTTATTTTATGGTTCTTCAATTTAATTTTTATTTTTAATTTAGAATAGTTAATTAAAATAATTTCTTAATTATATTCAGTTACCTACTGTATATTACTGTAAAGTAATGGTTACTTTTTAAGCTTTTAGAATCCTCTTATGACATTGGCTCTATCTCTTCCATATGTTCTTTATTTAGTAATCTTGTTCCACATTGGAGCTTTTAATTTTTTTTTAATGCAGATATGGAATGAAAACAGTTAGTTTATATTCCATTCCCTAATGGTAAATAGCCTTCACATCCTCATATGATGGCCATGGTACCAATCATCTGTTGCCATTCTAGGGGATGAGTTCATATGCCTGCTCTATAATGTTACTGTTTTTTTAAGATAAGATGGCCAATTGAAGCATGATACATAATTTATCATGCTTCAGTTAAAGAGGTTCACCATTTAATCAGTTTATCAACTCACTATGATGTAGTTTTTTTCACCTGTAGTATTTATTATCAACCCTGATGATCTGTTACATGTTCTCTCCATGTTCATTTTACTTTTAATTCTTCTGTCAGTCTAGCTCTATATAACTGTTATTTAGTTTGGGTTAAATGTCTTTATAGTGTTCTTGTGGATCCTATTGATTTACAAGACTCATATTATATCCATTTCTCTACTGAGGATGTTCTAAAAATCTGTTTGTGTCAAAGTCTTTATCTATTTCAGTTACGAAGCAGCTTTTTAAAGCTGTATTTTAGTTGAAGCATTGTTATAAAGCAGTGAAATTACAGGAAATGAGACATGACATTTAATTCTTCTGGAATCGCAACACATAAATGGTACCACAGTCTGTTGACTGTCAGTTTCTTTGCAATATCAATTACACAAAAATAATGCTTATAATACAAGTGTTTACTTTTTTATTTATTGTATCTGATGAAGGTAATGAAAAATGGAAAATTAACCTTAATTCATTTTATAAGTTTTTTGTAATATAATTAACTTGTAAAAACATGTAAAATACATGTATTTAATAGTCAAATACATTCAATATATTGTTCTTTTGAACCTAATTTTAATAAAATTTGCCTTTGATACCTGTTACCATATTCCATCAGTTTTTCTGACACTCCATTATTTATTATCCCTTTACAACTATGCATATAAATATCTAACTACACATATTTCATACTTAGTGTGGCATTTTGAATGATAATATTTAAATATACACAATAGAAAATATTGTCTTTTAAAAAGACATTAATTAATTGCATAATTGTTACTTTATTTTAGATATGAAATCATGCATTCTTATATGAATGACTAGCAAACATCAAGATATATTTAAATGATTATTACCTATGCCGAGACATCGTTTGCGTGACTGGGATGAACAAACCTTATCAACAAACAATATCCTTTGCGTTGTCAAATACAATTTATACTTATACCAATTTCACAGTTATTGCAACCCTTAGGACCCTGAGAGATAATAAACAAATACATTTTGTTTCTAAGAATATTTGTGGACTCATTTAAAGGATTAGATAAAATGAACACAATTTACATAATCAATATTCTGCTTAATATAAGAATATGTTTATCCATTAGAACCTGTTTAGAAATTGTTTCTTAATATATCTCTGCTTTTAGATAGGCATTTATTAAAACAGACAGGTTTCTATTTTTATTGTGGTAATTAATTCCAATAACATTAGTTATCAGAATAAAAAAAACTGTCATAACAATCACTCAACATTATATACTGTTTCTAATTTCAGCACGCCGTGGTGGTCATGGCTACGCTCATCCAAGAGAATGGCATCAAGGAGCTGAGCAAAGGCAACCACGGGGTAGTGTCCAATCACGGCATATCCGCACACGGTGTCCCTAGTCATATGGTGCCAGACCATGAGTACTGTGAGGCGGGCACTGCTCCCGGGGCTCAGCAGCCCTGCACCGAAGTTACCGAGGCGACGCCAGCGCCCCCTCCAGCCGAGGAAGAGGAAGAGACGCCTGAAATAGATATCATGATAAACAATGTCGTGTGTAGTTTTAGTGTTAAGTGTCATCTGAATCTGAGACAGATTGCATTGAACGGTGTTAACGTTGAGTTCCGCCGCGAGAACGGCATGGTGACGATGAAATTGCGACGTCCGTATACTACCGCATCGATTTGGTCGTCCGGTCGGGTGACGTGTACCGGGGCCACCAGCGAGGACCAAGCGAAGGTAGCCGCGCGTCGGTACGCTCGTGCACTACAGAAACTTGGCTTCCAAGTTCGCTTTCAGAATTTCCGTGTAGTCAATGTATTAGGCACATGTAGAATGCCCTTCGGTATACGGATCATAGCATTCTCCAATAAATATAAGGAAGCAGAGTGAGTATATTTAGCAATTTTTTGTATTTTTTATGGTCGTGGTAGATATTATTTACAAACCAAATGTATGTACTATATATTTTAAACTACCTTATTCAGAAAAGTGTGTTCAGGTTTGATTCCTCGCACGGTACAAACATTTGTATTCATAGGTATGATTGTTTGTGTCAATCCGTCTGTATGTATTTACAAAAATAATCCAAGTATTTATATCAGTTGTCTGTCTTTATGGCATTGTGTGATTTATCCAGGGGTATTATAATAAGAAATTAAACTCTGGAACCACTGCACCAATTTGTGATTTTTTTTTCTATTTGAAATCTACATTATTCCAGAGTCACAAAGACTATATATTATGTTTAAATATACAAAACTCGCAAAGTATTTGATCTATTGAGCTTTCATACGAAGCCGAGACTAGTCTTAGCGTTATATTTTAAATATTTACAAGGTACAGTGTATTTAAGTATTATCTCTATCAAGTATATAGTGCACATAAAAGTTGCGCTTAGTTTGCAACTAGGTGGCGCCGTGAGATTGTGTCAGCGAAATGAATGATTATTCTTAGATACAGTTACAGACACCATGATAAAGCATTATGCTTTGTCACATCGTTGTTATTCCGAAAATAGTTTCATCTAAATAGATACTATTTTTTTCCAACAAAGATTAAATTTCTTCATTCAGTGTTTTGTTCGAATGTGAGCTACCAATTTAGAATAAAAACTTGCAAGATTAAATCTAAGTAATAATAGACAGTCCATTGTCTTATTTGACTTTATGAAATTTAAGGTTGTTTACCTTTGACTACATCTTGTTGAAAGAATAGAAATAAATTAAATAGGTATAAGTAAAATTTTGTGTATACTTTAATGATTTCTTCTCTTATTGCCTTACATGTATTTTTTTGTCAAAAATATATTCTTTAGTGATGACTTATCTCGATTTTGTACGGGTGTACATTCATATAATATGTATTCATTATGCCAATGAACCTTCCGGTATGAAATTAACACAATAATAATAAGTAACCCTGGATAATTCACAGAGCACCCATCTAGTAATAAAATATTCTAAACTAAGCAGAGCTTGTCTTATGGGTACTAAACAACTGATATAATTACTTAAAGTATTGTGCCGGGATGGAATCCTTTGCATGTTATTTGGGAGATGTGGAAAAATACACAGCCAAAACTAGCAATTTGATTTTGTAGTTTTTAGACAGACAGGCAGGTAGTATAGGTTTATGTTATAATTAATTAAGAAAATAATCAATATTGTTTATTTATGATTAACATAATGGTAGTGGATGTCGCTAGAGTGGTCTCTAGCGACATCCACTACCATTATGATACCAAGAAATGTTTCGCATCACAACAAATGAAAATTTCTAGATACCAGCAACTTCTAATTATCCTATTTTACTTTTTTTTATTATATTATATACCTAGTATTTTTTAACAATTCACAGAACGTATATATTGTCGTAGATAAAATAGATAGATATAGTATAATTGAGTTCAATGGTGTAGGTATACTGTTTATATATAATAGGAGCATCATTTTGCGATTCTATTTTTATCACATGCAGAAAACTTACTAGTACTATAAACTAAGTACCCGACCCGGCTTCGCCCGGGTGTACATATTATTATATATATAAACCTTCCTCTAGAATCACATCTATTAAAAAAACCGTCAAAATCCGTTGCGTAGTTTTAAAGATTTAAGCACACAGGGACAGAGTGACAGCGACTTTATTTTATATTATGTAATGATAATGCTGATGCAAAAGTACTACTAAACCGATTTCAATGAAATTTGCTACAAAATGGGGGTCTAGACCCTGAGAAAGAACATAGAGTACTTAATAATTCTAAAAAAAAAAAAGTTTATAAGGGGTTGAATGGGGAGATGAAGGGTTGTATAGAAGTATCGTCATTTTTAAAGCTAGAAGCTTGAAAGTTATTTCTAGGTTCTTGATTGAAATATAAAAAAGTGTAAGTTTGTAAAACTATTACCCTTAAATTAAAATAAAATAAGGGATGAAAGTTTGTATGGAAAATCGTCATTTAAGAAACGTAGTAAACCTTTTTTCTTTGCCTTTTTTGGGTTAGATTATTGGAATTTTTTTCTTTATATGGGCAAGGTATGGGCAAGACGCGGACAAAGTCACGAGCCCAACTAGTATATACAGGGGGGAAAGGGATTGTTAGTAATGTGGATTGATAACCCCATTGCTAGCAATGTAACATGTCAGGTCGACCTCCACGCGGTTCCCCCTGGAAACCATCGTGTTAAATTCCTGGTGAATTTAGTCACGATGGGCTAACTGACCTGACCTCATGCTCATCTTATCATCCTCCACTGGTGCCCCACCAGCGTAAATCGTTAGCGCAGGCGAGTGCACCATTCCATTATCATCCACTAAAAAAAAAACTAGTATATACATATTTCAGCATCATTATGGACCGTAGTGATAACGCCGTTTTTTTTCTCAGGGCTACATCTCGCGCTTTTTAGAAATGTTCCAATCGAACGGCGTTGTCAGTACGGGCCGTTTGGGCTGAACCAGGTTATATACTAGCTATGTCCAGGATTTCGTATCTATGCGTAGTATTCAGAATAACAGTAATAATAATAAAAAACATAGTAACATTTAATAAATAACAATTTACACAATGCCTTGAGCTTTTTGTATAGGTACTAGACAACTGATAGAAATACTTTGTAAATACGTACATAATGTAATAGAAAACACCGATATAAATAATCATACTCATGAATACTAATTTTTGCATCCTCGGCGATCGAATCCACAATCATACTAAGTAATGCAGTCTTCTAAATCGCTGTGCCCATCAAGGCCGTCAGTAGGCTTTAACTTTTTTGTTGTAGTGTGAATTTACTTTTTAATGGAATTTTCATTAAAATCATTTGTGTCGTCGAATAGATCACAGCTTACGTATTCTGTATTATAAAAGATGACAATAAACTACGTGTGGTCTAAGTATAGTGTCGCTCTCCTAGTTACCGTTACCGATTTCTGTCGTGTAGGACTGATGTGTGCGTCATTGTTTCGATCTCCGATTAACATTGCTTACATTAGCTAACATAGGCGTAAAGACTTACGCAGGCGAGAGTGACTGCTTAATATATATTTCTAGCATTAAACGATTTTGACGTTCTGCATTTCTGATGTGTTCTGAATCAGCGGACATTATATAAAAGGATGAAAAATTCGATTAAAATGAATTACTTAAAATTAAGTTTATCTGAATAAAGATTAATTTTATTCTATTACGCTAAAACATATAAACGTATTAAAAAATTGCTACATACATTATTCATATCCTAGATCACATGCTGCATGTGAAAACGGTATTCAAAAATATGAGAACGACGCCTTATATGAGTACAAAAATCAATGTACAAATAGCCGAACATTAAACATTTTGTGTTATTAGCAATACCTAGTAGTTGACATTCATGAAGTGTCATTATTTCAAGAAGTACTTTTTATATTAACTTTTTTAAAACCGAGAATCCGTTAAAAGTGTATGTGTTTTATATATACTAGAGAACTGGTATAAAGATATATATATAGTTTTTGTAAATACATACATATATAGAAAACACCCAGACCAATACAAACAATGAATACAAAAGTGTGTAACGTGCGAGGAATCGAACCCTGCGACCACTGGAAGTAAGGCGGTGTGCTAAACCGCTAGACCACAGAGGCTGTTATTATCGTAAACATTTTGTAAGTATTGTACCCTTAATAAGGAACCTATAAAATACTGCGGATTATGTAAAAAATCCCATCATGATTCGTGCTGAGTAACGTTTTTGACTCTAGCCACGACACACGAAATTTAATTCGTATCGTATAAAGTAAAAACGAAATGAAATAAAATTTGTATAAAGTATCGGTATCGGTTAAAGTTCCGTACGGATTCGAAATTAATTTATTTTCTTTTTCTAATCTGTCGTTTTAATGTTGGTGCGGTAGTTTTTTATTTTAATGGATCATAATTGATTGGTGCACTCGTCTGCACTAATGGTTTACGCTTTCAGCGCACCAGTGGAGGATGATAGGATGAACATGAGATCAGATCAATTTGCCCATTGTGATAATTTCACCAGGAATTTATGATGATGTTTTCCAGGAGGAACCGTGGTCCACATTACTAACAATACATTTCCCCCTGCATTTAAGTCTTATAAATAAATTAGCTGACCCGGCAAACGTCCTTAGCCCTATATCCTATATGAGATAGGGCTACCTATTACTTTAGGGCCTATCCATCACAAAATAACCTATTTCCAGACTTACTAAATATACACAATATTTTTTATAAAATTGGTAAAGCCGTTTCGAAGAAGTTCGATAACAAATACTGTGACCTGAAATATATAACAATATTTTAATTTCTGTTCCAGTTATGAACCAGAGCTGCATCCAGGTGTTACATATAAGTTATATAATCCTAAAGCCACGCTGAAGATATTCTCTACAGGTGGTGTTACAATCACAGGTTGGTTTTGTTATTTTGGTTTCTATACTAAACTATATAATTTGATTGGTCGTAATCATAGGTATTATACCTACTAGACCGATTATAAAAATTGTTCGAATGGTAAATTTATTTCAAAGTGACATAGTTTTATTTGTAATTATGTTGTCATATATAAATTTGTTTTTTGTGTTGTTCCTATAATACAATGAAGTACCTTGACGTGTATAGTACATTTTAGTGTCATGTTAAGTTATTGTTTATATATTATTTAAAATCTTGATATTCATTATTCATCCGTCTATTTTCATCGTAATAAAAATAGACTAATGATATAAGCGCAATACGTACAAACTATATAAAGATTTATAATAGAGACTTAACTCATCGTGGCTAATTAGTTTTGCACTCAGATTCATAGATCAAAACTAATCAAAAAAAGGTTGTCATTGAATCTGCCAAACACCGATAACTGACTGAACCAAGAAACGGGGTGGACTGTCCTCCTTTTACATTGAATTTAAATATTCATTTTAAGCTACATACTTCTTAGTAAAACCTAATGTGTGATTATGAATGCATTTTCTTTTTTTTGTGTTTATGTATTTACGTTAAATTATTATAATGAGAAAGTTTATCCGTATTTTATTACTAACAAATGATTCGCATCGTACTAATTCAGTAAACGTGAACGCCAATTAAAAAAAAATATTATTAAGGGTTTAATTTTAAATTGAATTTCGTTCATTTCCAGCCCGTAGTGTAAGCGACGTGCAGTCAGCTGTGGAGCGTATATTCCCGTTGGTGTACGAGTTCCGCAAGCCGCGGACCGCCGCCGACGAGGAGCTGCTGCGTCAGAAGCGAGCCGCGCGCGCTCCTCCGGAACCAGTGGCGGCCGTGGAGCCGGCGCGCCCGCCCGACGACCCCATGCACCTGGTGACGCTGTCCGACGACGACGCGGACGCAGACGCCTGGGAATGACGGCGCCGCGCCGCGCGCTAGCCAGTGACGCCCAGTGACCCGTGCGGGAACGAAACGAACTATGTTTTGGCATAAAGCAATAATTACTATCGGTTGTTAGTACAATCGCGTGTGAATTGTCGGCGAGCTGTTCGGTTCATGCCAAAGATATTTATTAGGGAGGTGCTTCGCGCTAGGCCGCGGCCGCCGCAGCCGCGGCCGCCTCGCCTCCGCGAGTCCTATTGTTTTCGTGATGCTCTTATATGACCTTTAGTGTGAGTAGGTGAAGTCGTTTACGTCTAAACCAAATTTTATCATGAAATATAATACACATGTACAGAGAATAAATCTCTACGACGATACTCAGTCTCGTTTTTCATTTGTTCATTTGCAGTTATGATTGAAAAATTTGTAGTGATAATAGTGTTCAATAAGATTGTTTTAAGAAGAGATGACTGATTGAATGATTAGTTAGATGTTAGTAATTGTAAATATGAAAAAGCTTGGACATTATACATTTAAATAAAAAAAACTTTGTTTCATTGATTCATTATTGTATAACTGTAGGATCTTTCATAAAGTTCCTATATACTAACAGTTTTTTAAATTCCATTAAATGCCTGTATGTTATTCTGATATATTAAACTATATTATTGTAAAGTTTTATTAATATCCATTCAGTAGTTTTTGCGTGAAAGAATATCAAACATCCATCCATACTAACTTGACTTACGCGTTAAGTATTGGTAAGATATTGTTTATATCATGTTAGATGCAAAAGTTCTTATACTCCTCTAACAAATGTTCTAAGTAAAAAACGAAGTAATTTTAAAGAATGCAATTTTATTAAAGTTTGAAAAAGCTTAATGTTATACAAAAGTACATAATACAAATTAATACTTGAGTATTTGTAATGTTTATTTTAAAGCTTAAAATGTCTTAGAAAGTGGTAGGTATACTTTTCATACCAAACACCATCGGCACATTTTGTATTGACCTTGTACATGATGTTAAATCGTACATATTTGCCTGTATATACAAAACTGTTTCTTCAGAGCAATAACATTCTATTTATCATCCAAGTGTTAGAAAGCTTGGAAATAGAGTTAAATTTTGTAACTAGAATACTATAAAGAAATTTGGCACGTATAAGCCATTTAGAACTTATTTTTAATATAAAAATCTTGTCTAAGTTAGTCCTTCGAATTAAATAGGACGTGCAAAAGGTGAAAGAGAAGTGAAGGAAGAAAGTAACTAGCCCATATACTAGCAGTTATTCTCGTAATGTCTACATTATCGGTGACATTTAATATATTTTTATAATTATTTCAGTGCAACGAATTATGTATTGGTAATTTACCCAATAATATTTATTAACTAATATTTTGGCTTTGGTTGTTATAAACCATTTAGAATAATTCATGAATTTCATTGATTTTGAAAATTGATGAATGCATATACTGCTAAAAAGAGTAAACTACATTGTTTAATGGTGCACTTAGCATAGTCAGGTAAACACTGAACCATTCCGTATCCTGTATGAACTGTATGCATTCAAGAATCAGATTCATGCGTATCATATTCGTCACTGGTATATTTTGGGTGCGATGGACGTGGTGGTCTGGCTATTTTGTTTCTGGATTTGTTGAATAAGTTACTAGTTGGAGATCGAATGTAGGCGCTCATATCGACGACAGCAAGCCGGGGAGTTCTAACAGCCGTACCTGAAATGAGAACCTTTAGAATCTAGTTCAGTATAAACAAAACGTAGTGTGTAGATGTGTTCTAGAGTGAAGACCACGAATTGCAAAATGTAGCGTAGTTAGGTGGAGCTACGACATGCGTAGAGTTGCGGGTAAAGATTTGACAAGAAGGGCTGATGATCGTGCCCAGTGAAGTGGCTTGGGAGAGGCCTATGTCCAGTAGTGGACAACAAGTTTTTTGTTTGTTATCATCATCAACATCAGCCATGATTATAACAAAACAAAAAAGTAACTGTAATATTATTCCTGGTTTCCGTGAGTTCTATAAAATGTCTACGCGCTCTGTTCGCAACAAATAAACTACTTTGTAATTAATGTTTTAATCCTTATATAGTCTCACTTTATGTATACTCTTGTTTATTGTTAGTGTTAGTGTGGTTGAATTTCGACTACTGGGCAACAATTAATATAAATAAATAGTACTTATAGTATAGTAGTAGTGTTGCTATTAGTGTATACCAGTAACAAGAGGCAGTATAACGTGAATATCCTGTTCGGCCCGGAGGCGGGCTGGTTGGCCGCCAGTACCGGCGGTGTGCCGCGAATGGCGTGAGTGTGTGAGGCGCGGCGGCAGCGCTCGCAGCGGCGGAGGCGAGGCAGCTGGCAGCGGCGGAGACACCACGCGGGCCGCCAGCACTCGCCGCTCAGGAGACGAACTCTGTGATCTAATTCGACACACCATAATCCAACACATGGTTAGGGCTATGATCATCCTGATGATTTATCAGTATAGTTTTAAATATAAATAAAATAAAACCACAATTAATTTCCGTGATGACTATTTTACATAATACAACAGAACCGATTTCATTCGCAATATTAAGGTTGAATCTAAAAACTCGCATTTTATAAAATTTATGAGAGACTCGAATTGACAGGCCTTTTAGAAGTTTGTTGAAAATTGTAAACCGTAGTTAGATGTATATTTTGATGAACCTTTATGGTAATCATTATAATTAACATACGCTATATCTTATTTAAAAAAGATATTATGTAAATTGTGTAAGTATGATACAGACTAAGTTGAGAGGATCAGCTTGTGTAGAATAACACCTTATTCTAACCTCTCTCGCTCGATGACTGGCCGCCTGCGTCTGCGACGCCCGCGTGACTCCTTTTTCTTTGTGAGGCTGACCCTCGGCGGGATTACACCTGCGTGGCGGTAGTAATCGCATAGAGCCTTCGCCAGAGATCTACCTATTTTGGCATCTGTACATACAGCTAAGTTATATTATTTAAATCATTGTTGTATATATCCACTAACAATTTAATATGTTTCAACTACGAATTGAGACCATAATTATTTTATTTGTTAATGATGTTTTTACCACAAGAGAGTAAGTCAGAAAACAATTAGACACGCAATATTGGCTGGTTAGCTTCGAACTATCACTCAATTTACGACATACAAATCTCAATGTAGGTACTAAACCAATAGGCCACGGTTCCGTTTGTTTTAAAAGCTTCGATTAATTAATTATTTATTAAATGTTAAAGGATACAAGCATCTTCAGTATAATGTACATAGGGTCCTCTGGTAGTGAACCTTCGTCCACCCATCGAAGCCAGCAGAGTGTAGGCGTCCACACTGCCAGTGGGTAGCGTCCGTCGCGCGCTCCCTGTTACCGCTGAGTCTGCGTTGTAGAAACAGGCGTCTGGTCTCCAGGCTTCCACCCAAGCAGCTAGGAATTTAGGCAGCACCGCGTGACGTTCAAACCTTGTAAATAATAATAGTATTTATCACGATTCCCACTACATAGGGCGAGTATACAATATCTTCTTTTATCTACTAATTCCTGTCAGCTGTTCTACCTGAGGTACTCGCAGAGATACAGAGGTAGCTAAGTCTTTGTGTGTGGTGTATAGCGTTTTCTATCGTGATTATCGCATGCCTCGCACTTGTTATTGGAAGTATATTTATTTAAAAGCGCAACACGCAAGCGCTTTCTACTCATGATTAGTCTGCATTCCGAATGAGTGGTAGAATAAAAATATAAAATACTTGAAAGTGATTATAGCAATTTTATTTTAATAAAGAATATTACTATTCTATTTTTATCACCTTATACAATTTTTCTAATAGCTAGAGTTGTAACTTTATGTCCATTGGGTCTTAATACTGTATAACTATTGAATATAGTTTTTGTCTTTTATTTTATTGTTGTCAATAGCTCGATTTGTAAATCCTGGTACCACATGCATTACATAACGCAATATCGTGTTCATGGCTGTAGAAGACTATTACCATTTATAGTTTGATATAACACCCGTTAGTTTGATTGTATGCCATACCAGTTATTTTTAATTTTTTACCAGAATATACCAATATTCTGAAAGTAATCTAATATATTAATTGTCGAATTTGAGCAATTAATATTTTTTATGTAATGTGAATGACCTGCGGGAAGCGTTTTACAGATGAAATAAAGTAAATTGACTAATTTCGATAATTGTATGTACCATTAGCAGAGCTAAGATAACTTATTAACAGTAGTTAGATAATTATGAAGCTCAACGTGATATTGGAGGGAACACTGACCTGTACACATCATCATATGAGTTACCGCGAACAAATACACCCTCATGACTTATATCAGAGTGGATATCTATAATGAAATCCAATTGCACATTCTGCAACAGATTACAAATATAATCGTTGATAACCTCACGAGACAACATAGTAGATATAGCCAGTTTTGCGCACGTGGCAAGAATAACAGAAAAGAAAATATATGTAGTTTGCCTATAACATTCAAAGAAAATGTAAAGAAGGATTTAATTTATTTACTTTATTTATACTTTTTATTGCGCCAGATACCTACAGAAAGTAATATAATGAATTTACATGAACTAATACAAAACACGCAATATTATATTTCTAAGCAATCTCTTCGAGACAATCTTTTTTAAATATAAGTAAAAGCAAAAATGAATATTATATGTAACGTTTATAACATCTTTGTTATGCTATCTATAAGTTTAGCCGAAAAGAAAGGAAAACTAGACATCGATAGTAATAAGAATAATTTTTACAAATTTAATATTCTGCATGCTTACAATTATTACAGTTTGGAATTACAATTAAATAAATATAAATCTGCAATATTTAGAAGTTGTACAAAATGTTGGCCAAAGAAGCCCCTTTTTACGAGCAAAGCATGAATTAATCATGACATTGCAGTCAAAAACAAATAATTTTTAGTCTCTACAGTATTGAGAAGTAAAATATTAAACATTGGTATCCAAACCTTCTCTGATGTGAGTTTTTTTACAAGTTCCTTAATAGGGATGAGTGCAGGGTGCGAGAATGTCGTGGGTCGGTGCCAGCATCGATTGAGGTCCGAACCAAACAGATCTGATCTCTGATTGCCGAGGAACACGCCGTCCGGGTTTAACATCGGAACTACCTAGACACCATAGGATAGAGTATAGGGACTTAAATGTAAATTGTGAAAAAATATTTGTAATATACAATTTTATAATCATAAACATTAAAATATATGTAACCTGTAAAACTATGTTATTACGTAAGGCAACTGCCTTCTCTGATGAGCTGACCATATAATCAAGGAATCCTGTAAACAATAAAACTGAATTTATTAAAAATCCTATATACCTGCCTAAATTGATTTATTTAATACCTTGTATTGTTTTATATTTCATAGAAATGATAGTCAGCTAGAAGACCCATAACACAGGGAAACTTAGTATGACTCATCCTTCATACCTTGACATATGAATGAAGTAGGCTGCTCCCCACCGTGTGTTCTAGATAATATAAGTACAGCACGTTTCTTAGCATCAGTTACTTTACTCTTCGTTACGTGTTCCTCTTTTAGTTCTCTCTCCTTCTCTTTGAAGTCAAAATTTCCGATTGTAATGAGTTCGATACGACGTTTTTGCTTAAAGGAAATGATAATCAATATTCAATATAGATATGTACATCCACATAATCATATTATTATGGAAATGTAAATAAAAAAAAATTCCAAACAATTAAGTTCTTCTAACGTGTCTTTACATGAATACTCTATAAATATAGGTAAATAATTAAAAGATGTAACAACGCCTTATCGTTCCTACCTACCTATTATTAGGCAAAGGTATAAGGAATTCTTAGACAAAACTTAGTCTACTATTACCACGTTTTATTAGGCTTGGTGCAGGGTGTTTTATATTTTTGTTTTATTACACCAATGTGCTGTTTATTTCTTTAGTTGCCTCTTACGACACTATTGGGATGTAATAGAGTTAAATTTTATTCTTACTCAAATAAGAGTCGTGTAGTTTACTACTTAGGTACTATTACTGATTTTAGCAGCTATCCGTACTAACTCAATACAGGAATTAAATTTGGGTTTCCATTAAAATTACCTTCTGATTTATCGATACTTCATCCTCTCATTGTTACCATTCCAACACTAATACTGAGATCTATGAATGTAACAATTCATTCATTTCTACTTATAGTTTCATCTCATGTTTTTAAAATGGTGTGGTATCTACTACTACATAATATTACTTGTGGGTATACCCAAATTCTTATAAATTAAGTAGGACATATATGAACTGCATATAAATTTAATTACCACAGTCGCAAAAGTTATCAGTAACTAAGTAAATGTTAAAAACTTTACCGTGGATTGGGCTATGCTTTCCCTAGTGGCGAAACCTTGAGCCTTCTTTTCCCATAATGTTAGATGTCTCTGTAGTCTCGAATAAGAATAGGGCGCTGCAGACACAAACTGATAAATATCCTCTTCTCGATCGAATGCGAACGCGATGCTGAGAATCTTGCGTCCCCGATGGACCAGCGATCGATGGTAAAATAGCAATCGTCTGGGTAGCCGTTGCCTACATTTATATAACTTGATTATATAGGGTTCTAACATATATTTATTATTTTAGAATCAATTTTAAGTGAAGTTGTAATATAAATTTATTTATGCATTGCTGACTAATAAATTTGGTTTCCTACATAAGGGTATGATTTGTATTTTTAATATTTAATAACAATTTAACTGTTCTTATAATAGTTTTAATAAACACTAATTAATTTATTACGTTTGTTTTTTTAATTTAAAATATAAAGTCTAATTATTGTTAGGCTAATTAGTGTTTTTAAAACAGGTTTATTATTTACCATTTTTGTCGCGAAGTCGATCTCACCAGCGGCGTCATATCACTGTTAAATAAAGTATACTCTTTTCCTAAATTTACTATGTTGAATATAACTCTCTGGAAGTAAAACAAGACGTTTAAAACCTTCATAAATGGAAAAATTTAGTCACTGACGGCCTCGTTGGTGTAGCGGTTTACCACAGCGCTTTACTTCCGATCGTCGCGGGTTCGATTCCTTGCACGGTACAAACATTTGTATTCATCAGTATGGTTGTATATATTTGTCTGGGTGTTTCTATGCATATTATGTATATGTTTACAAAAATTGTATCTCAGTATATCTATAAGTTGTCTAGTACCGATAACACAAGATTTGGGTAGTGTGGGAACTAGATAGCGCTGTGTGAATGGTTCAGGCATATTATTATTATTTAAAATACCAAAACCTACCTGATCCTGTTTAACGTTCTCGATAGTGAAATTAAACCAGAATCTACACCTCGGCCTGCACGTGTCAGGTCTAATGAATAGGTCGTACTCTAAATCAGTGATGTAGTCAGCTCTACCTAAGTTACCACATTCGTAGGCCGCATCGAAGCATAACTGTCCGCGTTTGGCCTTACCACTTTGACCAGGAGGCCGCACTATCAGTCGATTCAAGTTGCCTAGACCTCCTTCCCCGTCACTCTCTTCACTATCTACAGATATAAAAGAACAGTATTCCATTATTAATAATATTTATCCAGATTACATCATATTTGAAGCTGGGAATTTACATAATTAAGAACAATTAGCTGCTTATAATAAACAAGCTATTTATTATGTCTAAAAGGTTAGGAGTCCTATATTGTAATAAAAAAATCGTAATTAATTTAAACGAAGTTCTAATGCTTCAAATTGGAGACATAACATTAACTTCCTGTTTGTTTTAACCCAATAAATAAAATGCTGCCAGTATTCTACGTACCTAATATTGTTGCATATTTTTTTGGTTTTACGTTAATATATATTTGAACACTCTTTATACGTAATTTACTTCACGAACCTCTGGTATATTTCAATTGATTTGATTTCATGTAATATATTTATATTAACACGTGAGCTGTAATTAGTTTAATTTAAATACTATTCTTTAAAAAATAAATGTTAAAATCACTATACAATTCTCGAACACACACAGCTCAGCTCACAGTAGATAAATAAAAATTATGTATATTTGACATATTACATATTCTGAAGTCAATATAATAATAATAATAAAAATAATAACATTGTCAGTTATAGAATTATACATTTTTTTTTTATAAAAAGATTTGCAAACTCGGTTATTGCTGGACTTATGTTCAGCGCTGGTTTTCAGTTTACCTATTATGAGAGGTTATTTTTTAATTATGTCTGCATTATACTTATTTGGCTTTTACCATTATATTTCGCCCAATTTACATAATATCCTTTTAAATTATAGCCTATATGTTATTCTGATGTATAAGCTATATTACTGTAAAGTTTCATTGAAATTCGTTCAGTAGTTTTTGCGTGAAAAAATAATAAACAGTCATCCATACTCACAAACTATCGCGTTTATGATATCAGTAAGATTAATGGAGGGCAAACGATTACTTAAACCACCATCACAAACACATTTACAGCATAGATAAATTGGATAATTTATTCATTATATAATAAAAAAAATTATTCATTATATAATTTTTAGGTGATAAATATTTATAGTATTTCGCGGATATTTTACCATCAGGATCCCGATTATATATGCTTGTATGCTCCAACTGGTCGGTATGTGCCGCCATGCCTGTGCACTGGTGTTCTAAGAAACTAACAGTGTACTTAAAATAGATTGAAAGCTAGATTGCCGGCAATTCCTTACCGATAAGTGCGCCAATGTGCAAGGAAAACCGTTTAGTGAAACACGCCACATTGGTTTATTGCCTTATATTTAGTGTTCGATTGAAATACTCGTATCCAATACCTAAGTCTATACTTTATATTATAGGTGTAAGATAATCGCAAACACGTCAATATAAACAACACCTTATTTGTATTTTAAATCGACATGAAATTGATAACGGTTGCCATACATGCAATTCCATAAAAAAATACATGTTTTAATCGATTGGCGGATTGGAATTTTTTCTCCTAATCTTTTGTAATCGCACATGTGATGTATTGTAATTAAAGTGGTTAGTCCATGCAAAAAACTATTAAGTTATATAATACTTATATATAGGTACGAGCTGTTACACGCGACTTTTTCTTCTTCAGCACAATTTTTCCCATCTAGATTTTACTTTGTAATAGAAAATAGCCTATGCTCGTCCTTATATCTCCATAACAAATTTCATTAAGATTATTTCAGCCGTTCATTTGTAAAAAGGTAAAAAAAAAACAGACAGACAGACACACTTTCAAGTTTATAATATGTATAATATATTAGCAAATATATAAAAGTTTGTGTGTGTATGAGTGTATCCAAAAAATTTATATTTGGTGCCTAAGATATTTTAATCTTGTTGGAATTTTTCAATGTATGCATACAATACGCAGATGAGTAAAAGAGTAGGTAACCTATAAAGAACCTACGTGTATTATCTAAAGTAATGATGTAAGTCTAAATAAACTGTCTTTTATTTCTAAAAAAAAACGACGGAAATTTCTTTCTATAGATCAAATAATTAATTATTTTATCTATAAAGAAAGAAATTCCCGTCAGCGTATAACATGGGCATTATATTATTTTAAAATATCTGCAAAAAAAACTTGCAATTAACCAAACAGCGAGAAGCCGGGATGGATCGCTAGTTTATAGTTTATTCTATATATATCGGTTTACTCCATGCCTTACACACCTACTCGTATTTTATGTATGTTTGCATCGGGAACTATTTATTGCATGTTCTGCACTTACGTACCAACGTTCACTATCACGCAAGGGTTCCGTATATTAATTCACCTACATATGTTAGGATTCTAAACATGGTTATAAGTTCGTCCATAGTCACATTGGATTCACATATAGGTGCCTTCTTGTCTCTACTCAACGAAATGTGGATATGTAAATACAATCCTCAAAGACAGAAACAAGGTAAATAAGAAAGTATGTCATTCATTTATTTGTATATATAGAAAACAATAAAAAAAACAGTACCTACTCATCTTAATTCGACTAAAGCGTTTTTAAATTCAAAATCACATGACATAATTAGGTCTGTTCCAATATCAAATAAAATTATGTACCAATTTTTATTTTTGTTTCACTTTGTGGTGATGGAAAAACTGATAACAAATCAACTAATTCCCAGACGGCAGTAGGCTCTCCCCTACCACGTCGGTTCTAAACATACATACACATTACATTTTGTCAATATCAAGAACTGAGTTAACCACAAGGAAAGATTTGAACATTCACACTCAGTTCACATTCAGTGAACTAGAATTAAAACAAGTCTCACCTCCAAATTAATAACAAAGACCAAACAGATATGTTGTTGTTGAATACCACTTCTAAAACTACTTACAATTGTGATCATTTAGTACACGATTACTAATATCGATCAAAATGGCGTCTATAAGTGAGCTATTCAAGTAATCACTGCGATTTAACCGCTTATTATTTAAGTCCAAAATTATAAACCTATTTGATCTACTGTTCTGATTTGTTCTTTTCTTACAAGTTCATTTAATTTGAAAGAAAGTGATAGAACACTATAGTAATTAATATATATATATATCTATATATACGCGGGTTATATGTATTAGTTAGTATGTTAGTATAATAACATGTATGTAGATTGAAATAAGTGATAAAAGGAAATTAAATCATTTATCCCATCTACATTATATGTCGTACCTACCTGGCATACTAGATTCGTACCTTCATTTTGATAATATATCCACCAATGCATAATGCATTGTTTACAAAAATGAAGGTACGAATTCATTGTACCTATTAATTTTCCAATTTCCTATTAGATACATATTTAATTTAAAGAAATAGTGTAATACTAATTAAATAATTGAGCACTTAAACTCCAATTTACCTCTAACCAAGTTCATTAGCATTTATTTGATTAGTGACATTTAAATAATTTATGCACGTTAGTATTAAATTACTATATTTTTATAAACAAATGCAATGTGCATTACTAGTACTACTGATACTGCAACTAAATATGCCTATAACCGATAGAATAAGCATATTCGCAATTATTAAGTATGTTTAGAGGTAGCTACTTATGTACCTATTAATTATTGTAGATTATTTTCACGCTTGTATTTTTATGTGAGAAAAATTATTTTAAACAGTTGTACGTCTCATAAAAATTAACAGTACAAACATGTGTATATATACTAAGGTATTACTACTATATACTAAGTAGTTAGTACTATATACTAAGGGTCAAATTATAGTTATATTTATAGTTTATAAATATAGATGAGCAACCACCTGTTAATAAATGGGTATATATAATATATCATTAATAAAGATTTCTCACCTGACATTTCTTCATAACATATTCACACTTGAAATCACCAATTTTTAAATTAATTTAATATATTTCTCATTATATATAACATTATCATTATTATTTTTAATATATTAAGCTTAAATGCACGACGTGCTACTATTTCGTTTACCTCCAGGAAAAGTGGCCCATTTTGTTGCCACGTAACAGCATAATGCGACATTTTCATCATAATAAAAGCGCAATAAAAACAAAATACAATGATTTGTTTATTTCATTGGGTAATGCCGGTTAGCGGTTGCTAGGATACGTCCGCATTAACTTTAAATCGTGTCAATGGCAACCAGCTTGCCATTTTGGCAGTAAATATAATCAATGTTTTTAATAGGCTACAAGGCTACTTATGCTACGAGGTTGCTACGCAAGTGCCTACGGGGAAATAAGTATTTCAGTTTTAGATAAGTACCACAATTCACGCTTTTATGTATTCACAATGAAAATTAAAATTTTAATAGAGTTTTGGGATGAAGCATTTTATTATTTTATTGCGAGTGTTTTTTTTTAAATGGGGATAATGTGACGGACTGTAACATAAGATCTGTCTTGTCTTTATATTATGACATTTTATGTAAATTTATAATTTAGCAGTTAAAGTAGGTATCTATTATTCAAATAAAACTCCTCAAGCTACGAACATTGTCATTTATTTAATAAAGAATATGTATTATTACAATAATAATATTCTTAAATTCAGGATGCCGCATTCATCTCGAACATTAAACGAAGCTAAACAATAAGTAGTATTTATAAGGAAACAAAGGGGCTGCTGCACATACATCCAAAACCATTCATTTTATATTTACATTTTTTGATCTAATACCCGTAATATATTAAAAAATAATTATAACAAATTATAAAAATCAGACACCTGAGTTGGCGACATGAGATATTTTTATACAATGTTTAACAAATAACTGAAACCATAAAATTATATAAAATATTAAACCCAATAAAAATACATATTTAAATAAAACTATGTAGGAATAATATTTCTCCCTCGTGTATTATTAAGTTTATGAACAACGATTAATTACTGTATACGTATTTTAATGTATTTGTATATAATAAATATTTAGGTATAATTACATGTAAAAGCAATTAGGCACATTTCTTTTATATGCAAAATTAATTTGCTGATGTAACTATCGTACCTACTCCTATAAAACCGATACTTAACATGTATATGTATATGCTCTAAGAATTGTAAAATTTGTTTCTACTTGTACTTTATTTGAATTAACGTTTATATTATTACAGTTTTAATTAATTATTTAAGGACGTGGACATATTACGGCTTTGGCATCTCACTTCAGTCAACTTTGTTCATGACTACAATAACAGTTGCACAAAAACAAAAACAGATGCATTGCAAATTCACAAGTCGCAATAAGATAATAAAACGTACCTATTTAATATTTTAGATATTTGTACTGTAATAAATCTAGTTCGTAATTTCGTCAATCATTTCCTCAAGGCCGAAAACTTCTAATTGATTAGGAAAGTTGTATTAAAAAGCCAAGGGAAATTTATTTTAAACATTTGCCTACTGTGTAGTACATACAGTTGTATGTCATTAAAAGCAAAACAAATTTATAGCGCCGTTTCTACAAGGCCGTCTAGTGAGCACTGGACAAAAAATTGACAAGAACGGAAATGAACTTAAAAGTAATACGTTTACGACAGTTTACGACGTCTGGTGACCAGTAGAGAAACTATTACTATAAATTATATAAATAAGAATTGAAATGAACATTAAAATTATTTACAAAACGTCTGTTATTATCAATAAAAAATAATATGAAAGTGTCCGTTCCTCAATACACCCTCCGAGCCGCAGCTGGCGTTCACTAGGCTTCATAACGCAATTACCTTAACCATTATAGAAGTCTTCAACAGGGAGGAATTTGAGCACATTGAGCTGTTGCTGGCGTACAGCCCATAATAATGTTAGGGGCCATCGATAAGTTACGTCATATGTTAGGGGTTTGTAGGGTCGTCAAAGCGTCACATTGTGCGACAAGGAGTGTTAATGGTCCTAAATTTTCTTAAAGCACAAATTAATAACTTATGATTTACATTCTTTTGTAGGCAATAGTAATAGCATAGATAACATAATGTAATAGTAAGGTAACACATTTTGTCTCACAAATGTGGCTGTAACCAACTGTGACAAGAGGTAAAAAAAATCATAAAATACATGTAACTTAATTTTTAGATGGCCCATTAAGTACATTTGATAATATACATTTATATAAATAAGAGTATATATATACCAGATGTTGACATTCGAATAATACGTATACTGAAATATCAAAATCATATTTTTTAAAATTTGGAAATTAATTCTAAATTTCGACCTGCTGAGGGAGGCAGGGTAAAATGTAATTGAACACAAACTAACAATATAACTGTTGCATGCTCAATGGGCCCGTAATAATTTATGCATTTTATTCTTTTGCCACAAAATTGTATAATACATGGCAGACTTAATACCTAATTAATGAGATTGTTTATTAGTTGTCCATCTGTATTGTGTCTGTAAACGAACGAACAAATTTCAACTTCAGCAAAGGCTTTGGGGATGATTATTTAATAATATATCTACCTAGCTAGTCTTTATGATTTTGTACGTCCATTGCAAACAATAAATATATATGAGCACATATTATAAGATATAAAATAACTAATCAATATACAGACAACATAGAATGGTTTACATTTATTAAAAAAAATGAATATCGTAAAATTATATAAATTTTTCTTTTATATAAATTTTAACTTTCAAACATTTTTATACAACACTAGTGGTACCCTCGCCTTAGTCTGCGTGTATGTTTGTCGTGACTTCATATATTATTTTATTAACAATAGAAGACGGCGTATTTAAAATTATTAAGATGATATTAATAATTTATGTAGGTATTTTATTAAATTTCCTTAACAACATATAAAAAAATCATTATGATTCCTCCGTTCGGTTTAACGTAGAATATCACACAAACAGACAAACAGACAGTATTCGCCTCGTCACGAGTTTACGATTTTATTATATGTAACGATAAAGATATTACTTATGCGGGGTAAAAAAGCTTATCAAACAGCAACAACACCATTTCCTGGATACATTTATCAACATTAATGAACCCACTCGCTAATACCTACAGGTATAAAATATCACCGCTATTCCCTAAAAATACGTAATAATTCAATTATTGTACTAACTCTCCTCCTATATAAACAATTATCTACGTAATAAATAATAGACTAGCGACAAATTAAATTAGCCTTTATATTTTGTAATCCTTATATCTAGTATCTTAATTTTTATTTTAGACTTCGAGATTGTTATCACGGTCATTAATTTGTCTTCGAATACTGGTCAGACTTAACCAATTTACGATAAGAATCTATTATAATATAGGTTACATTTTCAACCCACATCAAAAGGAATAAGGTTCTCATTAGGACAGCATTTTTAACGTGTATATTTTTATAAATTTGTACATACAACAATATTACATACAAAATTTAAATTTTATCATTGTAGTAAAAGAAACTAAAGGCATTTTATGTACATTACCTTTTTTATTGGCTAGCTAGAGCAGCTCCTTTACTATTCAGATGACGATAGGATTTTTATATATTATGATAATAAATTAAAAATACATATATCCATATGAATTTGCTCACATCATAACACATCACATCACACACGTTTCTTAAATAGTCTTTATGACATGAATGTCTTGTTAGCAACCTACTTGAACCAATATATTTTATTAGAATTGTTTTAAAGCTTACAAGCCATTTCCAAAGAAAACCAGTGAGCAATTCTTCCGTTTCATTTGTCTAACGTTACAGCAAATATGAATTTGTTTCATAGAACTTCATTAGCTTGCTATTTTACGTATGTAGTAAAATAGCAAGCTAATGCGTGTACTCTTGCTACAAAGTCTACAGTACAAATTCGTTCAAATACGCAATTGACATAAAGTGGCGACAAATATGTAGATTCTCGTCTAAGCAAGCCTTTTAATTCCTCAGAGTTTACTGTAATATGATTATTAGTGTTTGCAAATTAATGCGTCTAGACTGATTTGAACAAACCGTGTCGTAGACTCTTTAGCAAGTCTACGACATGGTTTGTTCAAATACGTGATTGATATAATGTAGTGACAAATACGTAAACTCGTCTCGTCTACGCAAGCTTTCAATTCCTCAAAGTTTACATTAATATGATTATTAGTGTTTGTTCAAATACGTGATTTACATAAATTTGCGACAAATAGGATCTCGTCGATCGATCTACGAAACCTTTAAATTCCTCGGAGTTCATTTTAATAATAACTGTTTTATTAATCTGATATAATATACTGTATGGTCTAGAGGTGAACGTCGTGATAGTGTCCGTGAGGCACGGTCGTCGATCACGCTTGCGTGTCGCCGTCGGTGTAGTGCGAAGGTCCTTCGGCGGAGCATACCGAGTCCTCCGGAGTACGAGACACGTCGCCTGCCTCACTCGCTTCTACCGCACTCGCGCTTCCCCCTTTTCCTTTTGCACCCCGCCGCGCTTGCAGAGCCTGAACAGTTACATTGCGTTATGGACGATTTCGTTTATTTTTGATGATTCACTATTCAAACTTATTGATTTTTTGAAATTTACTGTAAGGCCACCTATGCTGATACTAGAATCTTTGGCGATTTAATTTCAAAAGCATGTAAGTAGAGGATAAAATGTTCTTAAAAGTAGTTTTATCAAATTTCTCTTAAATATTATTGACTGAAATATGTATCTGAATTTTACCAAGACAAATTTAAAGTCACAAATAGTAGAAACATACAATTTCATTTATACTCATACACAAATAACATTTTATTCATTTCACTAGTTTTCACGAATAAATACTTTCTAATGAACCCCTGAAATTGCTACATAGGTGTCCTCTAAAATATCAGTTTTCTATAAAATCAACAAGTTTCTTATCTAACAAGAGTGTGGTATGCATTGTAGGCAGGGATTAAAGCGAGTGTTGAATTAGACGACCTATAAATTGTTTTTATAATATTTGCACTTGCACATAATATTCTCAGCGTGAGGAGAAGCCAGAAATCAGGCGTAAATTACATTTAGCGATAGATTTAAATGAGTACGCATTTAGTAAAATGTCGAATTTTCGCCAATTATAGTGGCCATCCTGCAGTAATCCGATATTTTTCCAAGTAACAGAGAAAGCAGACATCTGAGACATAGCAGAGAGGTTCGTGTTTGCAACTGGGGTCGGTGCAGGGGTGGTGGTGTGGCTGGGTGCCAGAGTCGCCGCTGAGCCGCAGGACGTCGCTACAGGGGTGTAGGGGGCAGAAGGGCGGGGCAAGGGGGGGGGGGCAAGGCGGTACATCCACAGGGGTCATGCGGGTGCTCCACTCCAGTGCACATGCGATATAATTTACACCTCCTTACCTTTTCACGACTGCCCTTTTTCTAAAGTTGGAGTAGGATGGAAGATGAAACATTTAATTAATGAGAATGAAGATAGTACACCGACACTGAAGGGTTGAAAGTATACCTAATATCATATTACGTCGTCATACTTCATAGCGAAGATGCAACGTTCAAGTCTACGTTAAGGTTAACAAGGTTGGCAGCTAAAAGACAATAATGCTCACAGATAGAAAGAAAGGACAGGGTTAACTAAATAAAGTTTACAAGTATTAAGGAGATAACTAAGGTACAAATCATATTTGCTTAAGTTTAAGATTAGATAACAACAAATATGGATGAGACAAGAAATAAAGCTAGAGTAAAAATTAAAACAAATTAATTATAATCCTACCTATAAATCAACAAGATCATATGGTTTGTGCCAATCACGTAGATAAATTACAAAATGTAATTTACGATGTATATATTAAAGTAATGTTTATTAATATAATATATGTAAATTATTGCAATCATATTAAGAAACCTAGTAATGTAAGTACACTTCAAAATAACAAGAAAACAGTACCAGTGTAGACATATTAATTTATCTTTACAAAACTTGTGTTAATTTGTTTATGAGTAAATAGGTCCATAAATTAGTAAACTAGTACAATTATATTATAATTTATAAAATATTGAGATAGTAAACCGTTTAAAAAGTTTTTAAGTTTAACTGTATAAACTTCATAAAATGCATACTACTATCAAATATACAGGGACACTACATATAGTTACCATGTTATAGTATGAGTATCATTGCCTAATGGTACCTGTAAGGAAAACCGTCGATGGGGCGGCTTTCGACCACCTCTTCGTTTGCTAATGTGCGGATTGTCTCGTCTCAGTGTCTTGTTACGGAGAATCTCTAGTTGAACGTACAACCTTTTCAGTTCAGCCCTGACCTCTTCAGATGTGGGCTCTTCTTCACCTTCTATGCCGAATCCCTCCGCTGGTCCTCGACGGGATACCTGAGAATTATCGTATGTTATACAATTATCATATTGCTGTTTTCATCAATTGTCCTAACCTTCTTCCACTGTTTGAAATCGCAGCTGGAACCTAAGAATTTATAAATACAAATATATGCATTAAAACATTTATATTCCTAAAAATCTTTGAAACATAAAAATCAATAAAAAATATCTTCCTACAACATTAAAAATGTCATAATTCACAATAGCAATACTATTTTATGCCACTATCGTTATATCATTATAATGAATGGTATTATGATTATACTGATAATTAATAATGAATAGGAGGTTTTAGTCTTTATCGCGTAGTCTCAAAATTGCGCTGAGTTTAGATACGTCTGGTTACTCTAGTTTTAACTTCGGTGGCTATATACCTACTAATATTATAGAGTTGAAGATTTGTTTGTTTGAACGCGCTAATCTCAGGAATCTACTGGAACTACTGGTTCGAATTAAAAAAATATATTGTGTTGGATAGTCCTTTTAACGAGGACGGCTTTAAGCTACATAACATTACGATACGACAAATAGGAGCAAAACAGCAATGAAATACGCAGACGAAGTTGCGCGAGACAGCTAGTAGTATAATGAATAGTGTGAGTAGTGACCTCCTGTGCTAGTGATCTGGCGCGGTATCCATGCCAGAGCCGTGGCGCCAGCACGCAGGCGAGCGCGGCGCCAGATGAGAGGTGCGCGCGAGCGGTTGCAGCTAGGGGCCAGCGCTCAGGCGCCGCGCCTGCCAGCGCGGCCAGCCGCCAGGCTGCCCCGCATGCGCCTTCCGTGCACAGCGCCGCCGCCAGCCATCCGCGCTCCTACAAAAATATTTAAAAACACTATTCCTAAATCCCAAAAAAAATTACCCCAAGTACGGCACTAATACTTAGCTTAGTTTAAGTTTAGTTTAATTATTTCGTTCAGTTTCCTTCGGTAAATTAATTCCCGCCCTAAAGGGCTTACAACCCAGCTACCCGAGGGTTCTTGCCGAAATAAAGCGGTTTGCAAAATGTAAAGAATAGCTTACAAATTTAGTAAATTAATGCATAATTACTTATTTCTATGGCATCTTTACCTGAAATGGAACGTTTGCATTTCGGGCAGCATAAGCGATTCTGGCCCCCGCCGTCAGTAGCAACAGTTCAGCTGCGGCGGTGACGTGGTGCCATGCTGCGCGTGCGCACGACTCCCCGGCGTCATCATCGCACACCGCAGTTGCAGTGAACGCAGCCAAGTAACACGCTGCGCCGGATATCATCGCACCAACTACTCTTAGTACCTGAAATTGAATAGGATGACATAGTGTAGATATCACATCAAAAATTTCATCTTTTATTACCAAACGATGGAATGTTAAATTATTAAATAAAAAAAGTTGGCACTTAATTTTTAGTTATTCGTAAACAGAAAGGTGTATCTTTATATTTAGAGCACTTTATTATAATGAAACGTATATTCTAACCCATTCTTTTGTATTTACATTATTCCGTCCTTAATTAAATTCTTATTATGATTAACATTATTTTGCTTGCCATTTATATAAATATCTTGAATATATTTCTTTCAGCAATAAAGCCTTATCCGTAGCCAAAAAATTAACCGTACATATTTCTGTCATTGTACAATACGAATAAAGCATATTCTATCAGTCTGTCTAACTTTAATTACAGTTTAGATATAAATAAATAAATATATATATATATATATATATATATATATATACATTTTATTATTTAATTTGTATTTATTCTGACAATTTTTATTCACTTTATTTATATGTTTTTGTTAAGTTCTTATTAGTATGCAATAATTATTAGAATTATATTTATCCATTTCCATTTTTTATTTGGGTATCCAATTAAAGATATAGGCCTCTTCCAACCTTTTCCATTTTACCATTACGATTTTTTTAGATATAAGCCTTTATAGGCCTTATTTATTAATTAACATCAGGTGTTTATTATTCAAGGTACATAAAAAAAGTTTAGTAAAGTTACCTACTTCTGAATCTCTGGGTGTCCAGCGATGTGCTTTTCTAGTGCGGAACTCTGCTAGTAAGACCCATAGCCGTAAAACAACAGAGCCGTAACACGCTACGAATCCCAGTTCTCGTAACCAAGCCCCTGCTACGCACCGCCACTGTGCTACCGATATATACTGGGATGCCGCCTGGAAAGCAAGAAAGTAAGTTATTAAAATAGATATGGTGATCTAGCGGTTAAGTACACTTGGTAGTTGAGTTTCAATGGGTTTGTTCATTAAAAATCTAATGGTCTATCAGTTATCTAGTAAACATAAAGCAAGCTTTGAACTAGTTTTGAGTGAAGTATTCTGAGATAATACTATTTTATAAACAACAGTTATTAGAGTCACATATAATGTTATGTTTAATCTTATGAGTTACACTCTTATACTCAGTCTTATAATAAAGAGGTAATGTTTGTAAGTATGGATGCTGGAAATAGTGGAAAGGAAAATTTGGAATAGAAAAATAAAGATACCTGCGTATCTAGATATGGTATGCGTATTTATGTATAAGGTAAAAAATTGTGTAGACGTTACACATTTTTACTTGTTATTTGAGTGGTGCCTCACAGAGTTTAAATGTACCGGTGTTTATTGGGAGAGTATCAATTATTACTTACAGAAGCGTACATAAGTAATGCACCGAGTAAAACTACTTCAAGCACCGTCCACATTCCCATTGCCACTGCCTGTAATCCAGAAGAAAAGTTATGCTATAAATTTCATGATAGATGTTTTAAATTATTATAATAATAGTTTCTTTTCAAGCGACATGCACATTATTGTTTTGATAATAATCCCAAGAGGCATTATTAACTGTCGCCATTGCGATTCTCTCTTTGGTAAATTCTATTTGTTATATTATTAGAAAATACGAATTAGTGAAACACTAAGTCTATACCACTGTTAAGGTAACTAACTTACTTTACATTTTCTTTTCTTAAAAATTATGAGTCCAATAACAAGGCATATGAGCATCCCAGTAAGATTGGCAGCCAATAGCACCGCCCGGTACACGTCGGCTATACACGCCACGGCGTCACTGCCCATCCCGCATGGCATGCACGTAAGACTGTCCCCGTCATCCGTGGACAGTATACTGCCACTTAACCACCCGTTACCACCGGCGTGCCAGTGGTCTACGCGACACTTACACCGATACTGCCGACAAATAATCAAATGTTATTTAGCACTATACTTTTACCCGCTTCGCTCTCGCTGTTGATTTGCCAACATCAAGACATCTTTTTCAAGTTGTCAATAAGTATTTTATTAATATTGTAAATGCGAAAGTTTGTGAGTATGGAAGGATGGACGGATGTTTGTTACTCTTCTACGTAGAAACTTCTGAACGGATTTTGGTGAAACTAAGTAATATAGCTTATCATACATCAGAATAACACATAGCCTATATTTCATTCGGGTGAAACCGCAAGCACAGTTAAGAATAATTTTTAAAAGTTTGAAGTAAATAAACTGACTATAAATATAATCTATAACTGTCTCCAGGGTCTTACTTATCTCTGTATCAAAATTCATTATGATCGATTTATAAGTGAAAGTGTAAAAGAATTAACGATTTATTATATTAGATTGGATTGGAAAAGTGAAGATCAAATTAGAATGATCCAACAGTACCTCTAATTTCCTCTCTACAGAACTTTGCGCTGGATAAGCTTCGCAGTCAGTAGTACCAGAATCACAGAGTGGAGGCCCGCCGAACCATTCGTGCATAGCATCCTCGCAAGGTAATGCTGTCCAACGTCGAAATATCGCAGCCGCAGCTCTCGCGGCCCCAACACCACGAGCTGCCGCCGCACCACCCCACCATCCCCAATCATAGTCGTCACACGAGAACCACGCGTTTGACCACACCACGGCACTTGCATTCCAGGCCGAAGCCAACGTCCTCCAGAACTGACGTAATGTGACCGAGTTGTTCTGTTGGAAAACGATGAGACGGGGAGGTTCGGCAATGAAGAGCACGCCAAGATGAAGTTGCGGTGCGCCCAGTGCAACTGCTGCGGGTGGGGGCGATAGGGGCGCGCGCGCAGTTGCACGAGCTAGTGCAGCCGCACGAGTCTCGTCTGCTGCACCCTGTTCTACTAGTTCGGCCAGCGCTCGCGCCGTGTGTACAGCTGCTGCTTCATGTTCGCGTAAATTCTATAAGAAAATGGACAATACAGTACCTACACCTATAATTTATTATTTAACAAATTATTTATTGATGTTGTAGTGCAAATGTATATTACAGATATATCCATATATATATGTATATATACATCCAGGTCTGCAAGTTATGTGCATTTCAGTTTCAGTGCAAACAGTTACTCCTAATCAATTTAAACTCAACAAGAATGCATAAACAGTAATTAATCAAAATTTTCATTAATTTCCATGTTAAAATGGACGTATGACTTGCATATGGATGCATAATGCAAGTATGTATATAGTAATGAATAAATACGAGTATATTAAAGTTTATTTAGTTATGCATTATATTACTAAATAGTACCTAATTACCGTATTAGTAAATATTAAAGCAGAATATTATTAGATTAAAATTCAATTCCATTTCCATGACATTGATTGATTGAGTTCCCACAAGGATAACAAGAACAGTATCCTCGACACTTCACAAGAATATCTTTGCTATCTACTTAAAATATGTCAAAACAACGAAACACGATGTTTTGACAGTTTTTAAATAGAACCGATTTGTCTTGTGTTAAACATTTTGTTATTATACGCCACTAAAGTTATCCTAGTAATTAGATTAAACCACATTATAAAATTTTCATAAATAGCTTCCTGTCCATTAATTACAGTATTATTCTAATAATACTTATTACTTTATTCTAATTATACTTAAAATAATCCTGTCTAGTCATTGACAGGGCGTCTTGGAAATATTCAAATTGATTTTATCGAGTTTTGTAACTGACACTCCACCCGAGAGTCGATAACTCGCTTGCAATCCGAGTTAATTAGATTTAAAACTTCTCATATAAGTTTCTTGTAAATTAAAATTTATTTATATGTTTTAATGTAATTCAATAATGTTTGAACTACATAAATACGTTTGGTCGATACTAGACTATATTAAAAGAACTCTCTGAACCACTAGGCAGGCTGATTTCAATTAAACTTCACATAGCAACCTATTTGTATCTCTCGGATTAATTTAAATTGCACGGTAAAACAATTTTATTTATATGTATAGATTTATTAAAATAAAACAAAATTTTGTTATGTGTGCGTGGCGATACAAATAGATACACGTTAGGCATGGGCGGTGGATTCTTCAGCAGCAGGAGCTGTAGCTTAACATCTTTACCGAAAAGCGACCAGTGCCTGGCGGTACAAATAGAGACATACGTGAGGCATGGGCGGTGGATTTTTCAGCAGCAGGGGGTCGCAGGCGGGCGGGGCTGCGGGTCCAGCAGCGGGCACGGCGGGCTGGGGGGCCCGCGGCTCCGCGGGCGCGGCCGCGGCGCACGCGCACCATGCCACCACCCACGCCCACCGCGCCCGCATCGCTCACCTACCGCGCCACGCGCTCCCCGATATCTGTAAACAATGAGATGACCATGTTGTACTGTTTGTTGAATACACCCTAATGCAGTAATGACTAGCCATTAGATATCATCGTTATTTTCGTTATATTCGGTCGTTGTTTCGGTGATAATTTACTACTTATAATTCAGAGATTATTATAAATTGTGGTATAAATAATGAGATAACTGCACCAAAAGCAAGACTGCAAAAACATGGCGTACCGTCCTAAACAAAGCCTGACCGATGATGGTGATAATACTCAGCTATTGATGAGTATTATATCTAGTTTATTAATCAGTGTAATTGAGCGGCGCGCGAAGCGCGGAACGATTTTAGGGACGCTCTTCTTGTTCATAGAGATCTTAGATTTGCACTCTTTGTAACAATATTCCTCCAAAACAGCTTGATCGAACAAGACCAAAATTTCATCGAAGTTAGAAATAAAGGTCGTTCGTTTACCACGCAAAAAAATTACGATCGGTCGAGTCGAGTCGAGTCGAGTTTTTTAGAATAAACACGTTCCTCACAAAATATGACCTGGTGTGTAAACAATACACCGGTAACAAACCTAGTTTACATTATTATTATCTTATCTATGCTTACATTTATTAATGCCATAATATTTTAGTTTTCAGATAAAATAAATAATGTCACTATTTATCTGATTTTAACATATCTGTTGGAGGTGGGTACTCAAAAAAATCACCTGGCTCAAAATAAACTGTCAATTATTATTATTATCGTGTTGTGATGTAATTTAATGTGATCTTGGTTGATACTCATATCACAGAGATTAGATTGACAGAAAAAATATTCGTTATCAATAATAACATGTTAAAGTGCAAGTTGTGTTAGGTGGAGTCTTTATTCATATTATATATAAAATGTTAGTTACCATATTCCTCCGAAACAGATTTTTATGAAGTTTTATATGCATAATCAGTAGGTTTGAGAATCGGCTACTATCTCTTTTTATACCCCTGAGTGATAAGGGTTGTCTACCATATCTTATTTTGAGTATGTTCTCATAAGTTGATCTTTGTGACAAATAATATTAATTATATTTGTACGCTACAAAAAAGTCAAAGTCGTCTTATAGAACTACAATGTAACACACCACCACCACTACAGCAATACCCTACACTGCTCACCCGTGCAAAGCAAGAGCGGGTTGCAGGTAATATTATTATTATTAATTATAATAATAAAAAAAAGCCAGAAAGCGTAGATAATAGACAACTGTAATAATAATAATAATAATAAATAATGTATTCAGCATACCATAATATAGAGTGAAAATATAAAAATACTTAAAACCTAATATTGCGTTATGAGCTGAAAAGGCCTCCACTGAGATGGTGCGGCAGCGTGTCACTGCAACGCTTATTTGCAGTGGAGCACCTCGAAAAAAAGAAATAGCATTCGTGATATTTTTTATGTAAATACAAAATATAATATAAGATTATTAAATACAGCTATAAACTGAAGTGCTAAGTAGTGTCTCCTCTAAGAAATGATTGACATCAATCTCTTGATAGAAGAGACGAGTGTCAAAATATTTATCTACGTATGTATATGTGTATATATTATCAAATGCACTATAGGTATAAACATCTGATCAGAGAAAAATGTGTTAACAATACAATAATAATAATCGAATGCAACTTATAAAATATTGAAATTTTATGGAGTTAAGGTTTTTTTTGTAAAACAAAATTTTTAGACAATAAAATTACAATTACAACATTAACCTAATTGTGTTAGCGGTATATAGAAGAAATAATTTAAAACGGTAGAATTCCCGATAATTTCCAAATGGATTTAGTGTAACAACAACTTCGTACCAAGTTAAAGAATTAAACATATAAATATGGTAAATATACGTGAATTTCATTTTATAGTTTATTGTTTCCTGTATACGTTAGTCCTTAAGGTAAGGTATACATATAATACTAGCTAACCTATTTCTTTTACAGTCTCATGGATTCCACCATTCTGTTATTATTCTTGTCCATTTCTCTTCCTTTTCTCTTATCATGTGACCTATCCATCTCCACTTTAGCTGTTTATAAGTTTTATATGCCTTTTTGAAATTTGTTTTATGTTTAATTGTTTTTAGTTTTACGCGGTCAGCAAACATTTATCAATACATCTGTATAAATAGATGGCAATTACATAAATTGTTGTATAATATTCAATTACCTAAAATATTAATACATTATCAAATAAGTATAAAAACACCTTTTACATTTTACAGGTAAATCTAAATATTTGACATCACAGGATCATTTAGAACCAAGTTTAATTGAAGATTAGAAGAGATCCGTGTTGATTCCTATCATTCGTATAAAAGAGTTGTAAAAATGGTGCTGCTTGATTTCTACATATTTTAATACAAAGAAATAATATAACTTTAAGGTTTACTCTTATTCAGTATGCACCATGGGGTTTCTACAATTTGCTGACTCAAATAATCTGCATTGGGCATTGGTTCGCAACCTGCGGTGTACCTATTTAACAATCGACGATCGGATCACTTACTATCAATGCTATCTAAATACTGTTTCAAATCCTATTAATAAGAGATTTAATAGGTTGCACCATTGAGTATCATGGATAACTTTGAAGGGACGCTTGAATACACGTAGATTACACTTACGCTTTTCGTTCTGAGATTTACCTAACCTACTATAAAAATGAAAGTTTATAAATATATTGATGTATGTTTTAGAATAAAAAATTAGATAGATTTTGAATAAAAATATATAGACATATGGGGCCGTTTTTATACTTCAATTAAAAAGACATCCCAGGAGATACTAATTAGTTATCACTCTATTTTAATTGCAGTTTTTATTGTACCACAGTAGTTGTTTATATAATAAGTTCAATTTGGAATATTTAATTTTGATTTTTTACACTTAGTTTTTTTTTCAACAATTAGATTCATGTATTGAATTGTATGTTGAACGCTATTTTCCGCATTAATCCTCTCATTTGTGTGGGTGCGTATAACGCCGAAACTACTAAAGTAGACAGCCAAGCTCGTCCCAGAAGCGCAAAAGTCATTTTTGATTATTTACAATCAGCGCTTTGTGTCCATCTTTGGTATTGTATATTAGTAGATCTCAGAAGAATCCAAGTTCGAAATTGCGAGAAGGATGAGAGAAGTATGGCTGTAGTAGTGGTGTTTGCCATACTAGATCCTCTTTTCGTACGTTTGTTCGCAGCATCGTTACTATATGATCCACTGGGCCCTTTTATCCACTGGATGATTACTCGATTTTACAAGGATTTCTTATCCATGACATATTGGCAGTCATTTATCAATTTGTTGTTTGATTTCCTGTTTTGCATTGCTTTCAGCACGGCTGCTCTTTCGGATAAGAATTTAAAATTTACATTTGTATCGTACCAGGAAGCCGGTTGTCAAATTTGAAAGTACATATTTTTGTATCGTATATTAACTATACTTCCATATTAATATTAAATTCAAAAGTATGTCTGTCTGTTTGTTTGTTAAACTGTAGAAATTAACTCAATTAAATTTTATATGAAGATACATTGTATCACAAGAACGAATATGGGCTCTCTCGCTTTTTTCTCTTCAATATTATGTGTAATGCTAATATCAAATATTACATACATACATTAGATTCGGCTGGTACGAAGTAGACTACGATACGGAGCGGGCATACCACGCATATACAAGGAGAATGTATTCATACATACATTTGATCTGGATTATGTACCTGACACTAACGTCATGACCATCAATGAGGGCCATTGAAACTTCTATTTTTACGTCGATTAGGTAATTTATTTTAACAAAATACTCTCTACAAAATGCTCTCGGAGTCGCGAATTCCTTTACGTTGGTCATCAAATCATGGAATTCTCTTTCTTGTATGTCAGCTCTTATAATACAGATGAGATCCTGTATATGTATAGGTACAGGCCGTCAATCCGACGAGATATTATGGGCTATTTGTCTAATAAATAATTAGGGATATGAAAAATAACCGATTATGAAAAAAACCAATCAGTAATCATTAAAAGAATATTATTCAAGAATTGGCAGTGGAACTTGTTTAGACTGTTTAGTGATTAGATGCATGAAATTTCAATATGTCATAATAATAGTTATGGTATGAGATTTCATATAATCATAGGCAATCTTAAACAAGTTGATTAATGTCTACTACATATACATATAATAGTAAGTATACTATAAATCAAACCTAATTAGTAAATAGATAGTACCAGACTACTACAATATACAAAACTCTACCACCATCATATAATAATCGAAGCTACAAAATAATTCGCATAGAAAATAATACTTCATAATTCCATGTCATGTAAACACGAATCCACTTGTTAAGTAAATGTTAATTTACATTGATAAAAAATATACAAGGCTGTAAAATTTAGTTACGAGGCCGAGGTAGAGGCCAAGGCTTGGCAGAAACATATTAAGTATTCCATTGTTTTAAACAAATATTTGTACGATTTGAACATTAAATAGTAATTAGAATTTCATCTTCAGTCATTTCGTTTCGTAAGCTTTTAACGTCAGGTTGTAATATTTTTGTCAATAATTAAAATTAATTATAAATACAATTAGTTTATAAATATTAAAAATACTACACTAACGTCTAATATACAGCATCTAGCTTCCATCATCTTGAAGATACGAAAACCATAAAATTATGTAGTAAAAAATAACAATATATAGGAATAAAAGAAATTGAAGATAATTGGAAAGGCCTATATTCAAGCGTGAATGGACACCAACTGAGATAGTGGTTAATAGTTCAGTTACGTTGCACTCTGAGTGTCGTAGTTACAGAACGGAGAGTTATCATAGTTTTATATATTTAAAGTAGTCAGAGGTGCCACTTTCGACGTTCAATATTTAAGGCTATGTATGTCTCCTAGTATTCCTTTGGTGTCCTGCACTAAAGAATGCATTCGTATTCGGATTCGTAATTATTTCATTTCAATTTTTATACTTATGCAATGCATAAGTATAAAATTTTTTTATTGGGCCAAAAGTTACTGTAGTTACAGTTTATTTTAAAATAAAATTTATATCCTCCTAGATAGATTAACAATTTTTTGGGGCTGATACTCCTAAACATAGGTTATACCTATGTTTAGGAGTATCAGCCCCAAAAAATATAAGAACCAATCTTTGGGTCCATAATTACAGTAATATAGTTTTGAAATTAGAGTAAATACAGTTCTCAGATACAGCTTGTGTTTAAAAATATGACGGATGATGTTTAATATCTTCAGCAACAAACTTAAAGATGAAACGATGACCTTCGCACTGCTGCCTATGCATTATAAATTTATAATGTTATGATAAAATACTATAGATATTATATCACAAGACAAACTGATATCATTCTCAAGATACAAACATTGACATTAATACCTACATCTTGTAGAATTCATCATGATAAATAAGATTATAGATATGAACTTGGGATAAATACAGAGACGTATTGAAAAACGTTTACTCTTAAAATCTAGAAATATTTCGAAGTATGTAATATGGAAAAAATAGGAATTTATATTCAACCGTGAACAGCGAGTATGACTCAAAAAAGCAATATTGATTCATTGTGCATGGTAGACGTGTTGAGTACCTACTTACACCTACACACGTACAATCAAGTACGTAGTATAGAGGTTAAAGTATGAAAGAATAAAATGGTAGTGCTTTTATAGTAATGATTTCTTTAGGGTGTTTCCTATATAGAAAAATAATACGCACCGGAGGAATAGCGAATAAGTATAAGAATATAATGTCGTAGTGACTTAGGCAATATTAGACATGTCAAATTAAAACATTACGACATAAACTGGAAAAGCGAGAAGAGAAGAGAGAACTAAAAAATTTGAACGAAATGATGAATATCAATATAAATATGAGTGTAACTCTATTTTAAGATTTTTTTACAAAATCGCGATCGAGGAATGAACTGTTCCGCATAAATAAATGCTTAGAGAGTGGCTCCATTTTCATTATCTGAATCCGGCTCTGTATTACAATGTCTCGCTTATATATAAGTATATACACCGAAACAAATATACACCACTATAAACATTACACACAATAATGTTATACTTTAAGAAATATATAATAGGGTAAGTTACGTTTTCTTATAAGTATTTCGTTGTGTACATTTCGGCGCTTCTATTAGAATTACATTTATGCAAATTTGACTTAACTGGAATGTAATGTCAATAGTAATATGTACATAATGAAAATATTTAGTTTCATTAGCATGTGAAGAAAATATGATAAATATAGATAGATATAAATAAAGGTAATTAATTTTGTGTACGTGTACAATTTACATAATGATAACTTAAAATTTACAGTGGCGTGTTAATCTCTTGCTTTGCATTATATGAATGCAAAACAAATAATGCTCACCAAGATGTAAGAAGATTTCCCGATGGATTCTTGTTTGGAACAGCTACGGCTTCTTATCAGGTTGAGGGGGCCTGGGATGCTGATGGTATTTTTTTTTATATTACTACTATAGAATATAAGCAAAGATTTAAAATATTACTTTGAAATCTTACTATGTATTTTCAGGAAAAACTGAAAATATTTGGGATCATTTAACTCATACGGAACCATGCGCTATAAAGGATTGTTCTAATGGAGATATTGCAGCTAACTCCTATAATTTCTATAAGAGGGATGTAGAAATGATGAGAGAATTGGGACTTGACTTTTATAGATTTTCTCTTTCATGGACTAGAATTCTCTCCTCTAGTTTTCCTGACAAAATAAACGAAGCAGGCGTGGAATATTACAATAATTTGATTAATGAGATGCTAAAATATAATATTGAGCCCATGGTGACGTTGTATCATTGGGATTTACCACAAAAGCTACAGGAACTAGGAGGATGGACAAACCCTCATATAGTGGATTGGTTTGGCGACTACGCTCGTACTGCATTTAACCTCTTTGGAGACAGAGTTAAATATTGGATAACTATGAATGAACCACGTGAAATTTGCTATCAAGGTTATGGTTCAGATACGATGGCACCTAGACTGAACATCCAAGGAATAGCTGAATATATGTGTGCGAAGAATTTATTGGTAGCACATGCAAGAGCTTACCATATATATGATCAAGAATTCAGGGCCATACAAAATGGTATAATCGGATTGACAATAAGCGCTGGTTACTCGGCACCAGCATCTGATAGCGAAGAGGACATTATTGCTGCCAAAGACTCCAGTTTGTTTGAGGTAACGTAAAATATACTGTCAAATAACATAAACAAATAAAAGTTCGCACTATAATATTTATTTGCATCTTTTACAGTGGGGTATATATGCTTATCCAATATATTCAGAAACTGGCGATTTCCCTCCAGTCATGAAGAAGAGAATAGCAGCGAAAAGTGCAGAACAGGGTTTCCGTAGATCCCGGTTGCCTGAATTCAGCCCAGAAGAAATAAAATATGTACACGGGTCATCCGATTTCTTCGGGTTGAATCATTATACATCTAGTTACGTTTATCGAAATGCATCAGTTGAATCTGTGGAGTCTCCATCTTTTTACGACGATCTGGGAACAGGCGGATTCATTCTGGATGAATGGGAAGATTCTGCGTCTAGTTGGTTGAAGGTCAGTCATAAATGCTGTTAGAATATCCCTAGCAGCTATATGAATTTACAATTCTACACATACTTACGTAGTAAATTAGGATTATCAAACTATATGCGGATGCTTATATACATGAACACTTTTTTTTGTTTATAAGAAATAAAATATATTATAGGAAAGTATAATGCCACATTTTTTTTTTATGAATTTTATTACAGTGGACAGTGCTAACCTACGTACTCGTATCTTTGATTATAGGTTGTACCATGGGGTCTCTACGAACTCTTAAAACAAATAAAAGAAGATTACAACAATCCTCCTGTATATATCACTGAAAACGGATTCTCAACTTATGTTGGTTTGGATGACGACAAGCGCATATCGTACTATAGACAATACTTGGATGCTGTATTAGATGCCATAGATGAGGGTTGCAATGTTCAGGTTTACACTGCTTGGAGCCTTTTGGATAATTTCGAATGGATGCAAGGATATAGGTGTGCTTTCAAATTAAATACTACATCTTTTCAATTCATGTAGCATTTTATAAATGCGTGACAACCTTCGTCGTCATTATACTTATAATAGTAATTAGTAGGATTGTCTAATGGATTGGTTGGATATCAATTTCAATTTCATCGATTACCAGCAATTGAGATATAAACAAAGAATTGGAAATACGAACATATTTAAAAATTAAAAATAGGAGCTATGTATCATATTATAAAAATGAAATTACTGGATGTTGATCAACGACTTCTTCTCACTGTTTGTTAATTGATCTTTCCATATTCTACTTCTGAAACAATTATTTATTTACGTGTCATCAATAGATGTGTTCTAGACATATAATATTAAACGACCTCGGTGGTCTAGCGGTCTAGCACACCGCTTTACGTCCGATGGTCGCGGGTTCGATTCCTCGCACGGCACAAACATTTGTATTCATGAGTATGATTGTTTGTATCGGTCTGGGTATTTTCTATGTATAATATGTATGTATTTAGAAAAAAAAATTATCGATGTATTTGTATCAGTTGTCTAGGACCCATAACACAAGCTTTAGCTAGCTTAACTTGGGTCTAGATGGCGCTGTGTGAATTGTCCTGAGATTATTATTATTATTATTAATATTAAATTTGCTGTACTATTAAATAATATTAAAAATATAATTGTACATATTTCAACCAAGGACAAAGTCATCAATTTAGCTGCCTTTTTATAAAATTGTGACTTAAACTTCACCTCAAAGATCCTGATGGATCGGATACAGAACAGAATATACAGCCTGTAGGACTAATTACTTGCGTCTAAATGCACCACAATAGTGCACTACATAAGCGTATTGTACAATATAAGACGTAAATGACGAAACACATCTACAGTAAGGACTAATTGTGAGTTTGCATTACAGCGAGCGATTCGGCCTGTACGAGGTGGACTACGATAGTCCGGAACGCACGCGCACCCCACGCAAATCCGCCTTCGTGTACAAAGAGATAGTACGAACACGTACTCTTGACTTCAGCTATGAACCCGTCACAAATGTTATGACTATAGACGAAGGACATTAATGATATTAAACGAAAATAATGTTCTACTTTTATTTTTTATCTGTACTAATAACAATAGATCTGCCTAAACGACTATAGACTCCTTGAAACACATTTGTTTCCTTATACCATAGATAAGAGAATATTACATACTCATATGAAGACGACAATCCAGAAACATTATTCTCTTTGTGACCAACCCACTACACCTGTACGTATATAAGTTATGTTGATCACTGATTCTTATTTTTATTACTTTTACCTAAACTACCTATTATAGCATTGTATACAGTTCTGCTCCGTGCTAAGTTTTCTCATCATTCTAATATCATATAATCAACAAAGAGTGTTAAATTATTATATATTTCAGTTTCGTCAGTGCTAACTGTTATAACAGGCAAAACTGATTTATTAAAAAAATATTAGATCTTGTTAAAATTATTTATTTATTATTTAACTTATCTAAAGAAAAAGAGAAAATGTTAATAAATTTTAAAAATAAATTTATAATTTTGATTAAATATGCTTTAAATTGTTTTATACCCTTGCATCTATCGCCCACGACACATGAACAGGTTAGAATCACTACTCGGGGACGTTTTTTATCTCTCGTGCAGGGAATATCGGTCCATCGGCATGTAGCAAGTGACATGCGGCTTACAGCATTCTCATCCGGCGCCTTCTCTGGCCAGGGTTGGCAGTTGTAATTTGTGTATTTTTTTTATTAACAGTAGTCTCCAAAGTAGGTTATACGTGTATCTTTTACGACTCATAATATCGATTTATATTAGAAAATTGCAATACACCGACATCAATATATTCATAAAAACTTACTTATATTTTTATGCATGGCTTAAGTAACAAATTTTATGATTGCAAGTCACGAGTGCCTGACTACATTGATATTAAATTCGAAAAACGAGAAGAGTTAATAAAGCCTATGTCATTTACGTAATAATATTTCAATCGTAACTTAAATATCTTGCCACATTTTAAATGAACGTATTGTAGTGTAAAATATTTCAAATATATATATTACTAGCTATTCACCTCGGTTTCGCACGGGTGTACATGTATAATATATATAAACCTTCGTCTTTAATCACTCTATCTATTAAAAAAGACCGCTTCAAAATAGGGACAGACGGCGACAGCGACTTCGTTTTATAAAATACTATGTAATGATGATAACGTTAGAAAGATGACAACCCTACATGTAGCGTCATACAACAATTTCTGTAATGGGTAATATACCTTGTGATCAATAGAATTTTTGGACAAAAACTAGTCTAGATTAGTAACTAAGCTCTGAATCAAATATTGAGAATTTTACTTAAATACTTATTATTTATTCATCTCCATACACATGTCCTAATTATAGTTCTATTACAGCACAACCTAACAGTTACTGTACTTCGTATAATGAAATATGGAGCAATAAATGAACACACCAAAACTAAAAATTTTATTAACAAACGAACTTATGAACCGATTATATTCTGAATAAAAATGAATTCAGTATTCAATCAGTCAAGTATATGACCGTAACATGCACTTTAATTAATAATAATCAGAACACGTGTATAATATAAATGATTAGCATATCTATAAATGTAAACAAAATGAATAAACTTATGAGGTGGTAGTATGACTTCATTGCATTTAATAATTAAACAGTGATTGACATTTAATTCGAAAGTCGTATTATAGCATATTGGTTACTTTGTTTTTTTTGTAGAAACTTGTAAAGTATGATTAACAGCAGGGAGCTGATCTAAGCTAGTGATGCGACACCAAGAGTATCGAGAAATAAAATTATTTATTGAGTTGGTATATGTGTATGTTCGATGTTTGATGAGAAAAAAATATTTTCTATTGGCAACTCCGACTCACAAACGCAATGCATGACGGTCGTATAACTGATTTAGCGATAACTTCAAGTATATTGCTCAGTTCAATAGGTACGGACGGCTTCAAGTTGGCACTTATATATATTATGAATAATATATTATTAAATTCTGTTATATAAATAAAAATGCGATGGAAAAAAGCCTCGGCCTCGTACGGATATTTCAATAAATTTATACAAATCTTTAATTTCCTCAGAAATCACTCCGTTAAAGGATGTAAACTACATGAAAATCCGATATAAAAACCTATTTTTAGATTATTGCGAGCCTATATAGACGACTTTGGGGGACTTTGTGTAATAATATGTTTAGATATAACATTTATCGGGAACACTGATATCTACATAGAAGATATAAAGTAACACACACCTATCATTAACATAGACACAAAATGTTTTATTTGTAGAATAAATGTTCGCTACTCAATTTAGTTTACATTCTATAAAAATCACAAGCTTGTGGTGCATGATTATTTATTAATCTTGGTACAAATTAAAACACTCTTTATTCTAACTTGCTACAGTCTACATACATATATTTACATCAAATTTTATTTAGATCCGTACAGCATTTCATCTCGAGAAGATAACATAAATTTCTGATTTATAATATTAATAGCTGACTCGTGTAAGCTATTAATATAATAAATCAAAAATTCGTCTGCGTCACATTTTGCCCCGTTTTTGTGCATTATTCATTGCAGCTCCGCTCTTATTAGTCGTAGCGTGATGTTATATAGCTTTCCTCAATAAATGGGCTATCCAACACTAGATGAAAATCGATACTGTAGATCTAGAGATACGCCCCTACAACTTCACAAACTATACCTCTTTATAATCTATCTTTCTCTTTATCTCTATCTCTTTATAATCTAATTTAACGTAAGTGCGGCATATACTTCTTATTTAATTTGATTGGCTACGCTTAACCCCCCTCCACCCCTCCATAGAGATTTAAAACCAACTTAAATTATCATAATTTGTAAATATATTTATGTAATACATTTAGTACCAATATTTAAACGTTAAAACGTATTTTAATGTAATGTCATTAATACAGAAATTACCATTAGCCATTCTTTTGTGAAAAGGTAACGGACATACTAGAATAGAATTTTAATTTCTAACAATTTAACTTTGTAATGTTTGTAGATTTAGTTTTTTTATAATTTAGATTTAGAGAAGATTCAAATTTAATTAGTTCGATTGCTTGTGTTAATATCAGTAACAAGTCATAAAAAATATCAAAACATTGTTATGTATCATTGCTGTTACAACTGTCATCCGACATCAGATTAGATTACGTACGAGTAGTATTTATATTTCTCTGGTTGTATCGATAACCATTCGATCACACTATTATACCTATAATATACATATGTCTAGAACAGATAAAAAGGCAGTAACATAATTCTCATAACATTATTGTAGCAAAATGTGGCGGACAATGTATTTACTGTGAGTATAATATAGTGTATCTTCTTTTATACATAATGTGAAGATAATTGCAATTTGTATTCAAAACTTAACGCTTTAGCTGCTCATTTAAATTCTTTGTATTTCTTTTCTTTTACATTTACGTTTTATTTAAGATTTTTAATATTGCTTATAAAACAAGCTACAATCTCCGAGTGTAATGGAACTCCTGGGGTGCGCAAAAGTAGACAATTTCCGGATGGTTTCTTATTCGGCACAGCCACAGCTTCATATCAAGTAGAAGGAGCCTGGGACGAAGATGGTATGTGCCTAATGCAATCAATTATTAATAATCTATTACTTAATGTATGTGTGAAATATGGAGACCAAGACGAAAAGAAACGATAAAGAAAACGCCACCGGTATAGTTGTAGAATATTGTGTATTAAAATGACTTATGTCATATAAAAACAATATAATATTTATAAAAATATAGACAATAAAAAAGGTATATAAAATAGTTTCCAACAGTATGTATTACTAGCGCTTCCCATGAGCGGCAATATAATAAAAAAAACTTTGGTTTACCTTATTGTCTTAGCAGAGATCTTATTTTGTTTTTCTAGTGAGCTATATAGCCTGTTACTGTACTGTATTCAAAGACAATGTAGAATTCTATTAGTAAAAAAAATATTGTATTGGTCCAGTACTTTTTGGGTACATATATTCATTACAAAATACAAATATTTCCTATTCATTAGTGCAGATCTATTCTGCCTAAAGATTAGCAATGGTACTACATATTTGTATTTTATTGGTGTCTTCCATTTTATTTTAGGAAAATCCGAAAATATTTGGGACCATCTCACTCATACGAACCCTTGTGCGATTAAGGATTGCTCTTCTGGGGATATCGCTGACGATTCTTATCATCAGATAGAAAGAGATGTGGAAATGATGAGAGAACTAGGACTGGACTTTTACAGGTTTTCTTTATCTTGGTCTCGTATATTACCTACTAGTTTCCCTAATGAAATAAATGAGGCTGGAGTTGCATACTATAACAAATTAATTAATGAGATGCTCAAATACAATATTGAACCCATGGTAACATTGTATCATTGGGATTTGCCACAAAAACTCCAAGAATTGGGTGGATGGGCTAACCCACATATAGGAGACTGGTTTGGTGATTATGCACGCACTGCGTTTACCCTCTTTGGAGACAGAGTCAAATATTGGATCACTATTAATGAACCACGAGAAATTTGTTATCAAGGATATGGTTCCGATACAAAAGCCCCAAGATTGAATATAAAAGGAATTGGCGAATACTTGTGTGCTAAGAATTTGCTTCTAGCCCATGCTAAAGCTTATCACATATATGATGAAGAATTCAGGCAATTATCAAATGGAGGCATTATTGGAATTACTTTAAGCGCGCACTGGTATGAACCTGAATCAGAGAAACATGCTGAAGCTGCAGAAGATGCTAATCAATTTCATGTAAGTAAGTGTATACTTTTGTGCATGTAATTTTGTATGCTGAGGGTTAAAAGAATATAGGTAAGGATAAAATAACTGATATAATTATTAATTGTACGATTATGTTACAGGTAGCAGAATTAGCGTGAATTATTGTGACACTTTTACAATAAACTAGCTACCGGCTCAGTTTCGCACGTACATGCCTGTCTACACATATAAGCCTTCCTTTGTAATCATTCTATCTATTACTAAACACTGCTTTAAAATCCGCTGTGTAGTTTAAACATCTAAGCGAATAGATGAAGCGATAGCGGAGGCGACTTCATTTGTAAAAATATACTAAATTATTAAAATAAAACAAATATTATAGCTATAATTATAAGTATCGCAATTGCTATTTTTAAAAAATATTCATTGTATATTATATTTGACTATGTTAATTCAAACTGTTAAGTTTGCCATACGCACCTTCATTTGTATCTTTCGGCGTAGCGGCTAACAGCATAGTTAACATTACAACAGTCCGAAAGAAAATCTTTATTTGTGTTATTGTGTATTAAAGTTTTAATAAATAAATATGTACTCATTGTTGTCTTCTTGTTCAAAGAAGAACAAATTATGTTAAATGTTTATATAGTAACAGTTATTACCATTCATTTTTTTTATTTTTTATAAAAGATGTTTTTCTTATTTTATCCGTAGTGGGGACAATATGCTCATCCTATATTCTCTGAAAATGGCGACTTTCCTGTAATAATGAAAGAAAGAGTAGCCACTAAAAGTGCAGCCCAAGGATTCTCCAGATCCAGGTTACCTGAGTTTACCCCTGAAGAAGTAAACTACGTACGGGGAAGCTCAGATTTCTTCGGATTAAACCATTACACGTCAAATTTAGTATATAGGAATGAATCTGTGAGCGAAATAAATGAATCTCCATCATTAAATGATGATATAGATGCAGTGACGTACCAACCAAGCTACTGGGAAGGTGCAGCATCGAACTGGCTAAAGGTAATTTGTTTAATATTTTAAACGTAAATAATTTGTTAAAATGCATTAAAACAAGCCGTTACGACTGTAGTCCTTTAGGTAGTGTAGGCCTTTGTCCATGTTGTGATGAACGCAACACATGACATGCCTACATTTTACTTAGTAGGTATGTCTGAATCCAAAATGGCAGCGGAGGAGCCTACCGTCGTCTTATTAGTTTGATAACGGTGTTTCCTTCATCGCTTAGATATAGGATGTAGAATATGTGAGCGAAATAAAAGAATATTCATTTATTACATTAGACGCACTTTGTGCATATCAATGCAAAATCAAACTGGTTAATGAATTCCCGTTTAATATTTTAGACATAGATAAATTGGTAAAATACTATTCTGTACATTAATGTATCTTATTTAGGTATTCGATTACTCTAAAGCGCACGGAATTCGTATAATAACAGTAGCAAAGTAAACAAACAATAGTAAAATAAAAACATATTTATAGTCAATCTGAATTGTCTCTAATAGACACTTACATAAGTCAAATATAGCATTTGATGCGAATGTAGTTCGTGCCGACAAGAACTGACAAGAAAATCTGCCTTCACTTGATTGAAATGGTTGCACATCATTACAATAATACATAATTATTAAATATGTATAATAATAATTATCTTATACTTACATAAATATTTTTTATACATAATAATATATAACATTGTTCAGTACTTATTATATTGAGTGCAAGAAATTGTAATTCGATCCATTTGCAATATAACATAAAGTCTTTATATGGAGATATAATTTCTTCACAATTACGTTCAAAAATCTCATACAAGATTTTTTATCTACACAGGTTGCACCTTGGGGTTTCGTTAAACTTTTAAGACAAATTAAGGAAGTCTATAATAATCCTCCTGTGTATATAACTGAGAATGGGTTCTCAACTTTTGGCGGCTTGGTCGATGATGATCGCATCAATTACTATAGGCAGTATTTGAACGCACTACTCGATGCCATAAAGACCGGATCTAACGTTCAAGCGTATGCAGCGTGGAGTCTTATGGACAACTTCGAATGGATGGAAGGATATACGTAAGAATCGAAAACTAAGCTTTTCCATAAACATTAATGATTAACAGTTCCTTATAATCGAAGCTTTGCTTTGATAGATACAGAGTATTGTAGGAATTATCTTGATAACTCCCATCGTTATCATTATAATGATGACGTAATAATGCTTATTTTATTGTGATTTTGTTTTTAGAACTTATTTAATTAGGCAATACTTTTAGAAAAATCATTGTTATAATATAGTAATTAATGCTATTCTGCAACTGAAATAATTGTATAAGGATATTTTACTCTATAGGATCTTTTACATTAAGAAAATCAAATCTGATTCTGGGCCTTAATAAATCTAAAATCCTTGAGTAACTGGAGATTGTAGTATTTTTCTTTTGGTTGCTTGCTTGTCATCTGATTGACAGAAATACATATATTCGATTAACATCATTATTCTGTCAATGTAGATTAGGACCGATTTTATTCAGATTTAATTCATATTATAGGATGTTACTTCCAGACAGAATTAAAAAGCAGTTGTCACAGTCGAGTTACACATTGTACAAAAGTAAATGATTAAAACTGTCAAACGTCATACAAAATTTATGGCTATTCATATATAATCAAAAGTTAGCAGCAGACATTGCACAAATGGTAATCACAATGATTGAGCAAAATAACGATTTAGTCGAAAGTGGTTAGAAAATAGCAAACAAGTTCGTTTTCAGCCATGAACGATTGCTGCAGCCGGAACGACCAGAAAACTGTACGACAAGAGTACGCATGACGCCGGCCTGCAACCATCCATAGTGGCTAAACATACTCGTACACTCGAAACAGCACCCACGTCACCGCCACAAGCTGTAATCCCTGGCGGTACTGATGAAAACGCACTGTCGAGTGCACTGAAGGACCTAGCCGCTGCCAGTGCTCGTGGATATAATGACAAGCTGATCAATCGTTTGTGTACACCGAGAGATCTGCCTGCATACTCAGGAGATCCTCTGGAATGGCTTCAGTTCAAAGTAGCTTATGAAGAATCATCACAAGTCTGTAACTTTAGTGAACGGGAGAACCTATGGCGCTTGAGGAAGAGTCTCCATGGAGCGGCTAAAGAGGCAGTTACAGCCTTACTTATTGGTGCTACATCCCCAGAAGCCGTGATGTCCACATTGGAACTACAATTTGGAAACCCTGATGTGATTATTTCAAGGATCCTACAGGACATACAGAAACTTCGCCAGATACCACCGGATTACCAGAGAGATATAATACCATTCTCCATTAAAGTGAAAAACTACGTGGCCGCCATCGGCTGTGAACTGAGCCGTACATCGGCTGTGATACAAGGAATGAATATTGTGTCTATTATTCTCTCTAAGTTACCGACCGTATTGGTATCGAAATGGACTGATTACAGTTATCCTTTATTTAACCAAAGAAGCAAGCCTAAACTTGTGATTTTATCCGAGTTTTTAAGTGAAGAAGCTGTGAAAATAACAAAAACATTCGTCAGTGTACAAAGTTATTCGAAGCATAGTTATTCTATTTAATAATGAACTCAGTGATACGTAGTAAAGAAACAGTATGTCGGTTTTGTCGGATATCTAAACATGCGTTACCCGACTGTAAAAAGTTTAAAAAATCACTACGTAAAGATCGGTGGACCTTTGTGAAACGTCATGGTCTGTGTTATAAGTGTCTGACGTCACAGCATAAACAAAATAACTGCCCCGAACCGGTGTGTGATATAGACAGTTGTGGACAATCGCATCATCGCTTGTTGCATTATACAATAAATAAAAACTCTAAACCGAACAGTAATGTGCATATTACCGAAGTGTCAATATTCTGTCAATGTAGATTAGGACCGATTTTATTCAGATTTAATTCATATTATAGGATGTTACTTCCAGACAGAATTAAAAAGCAGTTGTCACAGTCGAGTTACACATTGCAAAAGTTGATTAAAACTAAACTGTACAAAATTTATGGCTATTCATATATAACGTAAAAGTGTAATAAATGATTTTCTACAACAAATTGTAATTCTTTCAGCGAACGATTTGGACTGTATGAGGTAGACTACCGTAGTCCTGAGCGGACACGCACCCCTCGAAAGTCTGCCTTCGTATACAAGGAAATCATACGGACACGTGCCCTCGACTGGGACTATGAACCTGACACTTCTGTGATGACCATCGACGAAGGTCATTAAAATATTAACCCGTTTCAACCGCATTCTATACGGCGCTATTCATAACATATCATCATTCTTTATTCTAATACCTAATTTATAGGTACAAGTACGGAATTAGTCGATAAACCGGTACGTAATTATTGTTTTTGGGTGTTCCTGAGAAGACCTATGTCAATAGCATTTCAAAATCGTAATGGATCCGTCCGTTGGTGTAAATAATATAGACTAATAAATAAAATCTACTTTAATAATAAATTATAATATATATGTAATTTTGTTTGTTATTTATTTGACCTTAACTAACTTACAGATCTTGATAGATTCGAATAGATTTTACATATGCTCTTTATTCCTTTATTTATCAACTTTTTTAACGAAGACATTTTTATAGAGACCTGGTTTTAAGGGGACGAACAGGTACTCAATTAAACTGTTTGGTTATCAATCTTTGTATAATATCAAAGCAATAACGCTTCGTTTTCACATTCAAATTCGACCTTTTAGCAAAGAGCGTTAGGGAATATCTCTTGTGCGGTGAGCTCTAGCGTCTTCTCCGTTAATGGGTCACATCTACAGCGAAATACTTTTTTTATGTAATTAGAATGGCAAACAAAGTGACGGCTCATCAGTCAATATACATATACGGACAGTATGTTAACATTTACAACACCAGCGACACTCATGTGCTGTTCTAGACGACTAAAATATCATGCCTCTTTATCCTGTAATTTCACTGCATAGTCTACACCCCAATTTAAACACAGCTTATACCAAGCACCTTAGTGACTGAAATAGGTGAGACCGAGGTATAGTATAGTAGACGGTAGATGACTTTTCACAATCAATCCCTGGTAAACGTATGTCACTTTTAAAACGGTAGATTCCGCCTTAGGAAAATCCCAAGCAATGCGTTGCTTATATTATATTATATTGACTTCTCTAGATATATTTTCGTTTATTTATCAGTTGTATCAATTTAATTACATAAATATATATATATATTACTTACATTATTTACCTAGGTGAATATAGAATATTCATATTAATATGGTAATTCAATATACATATACTTATTATTAGAATAATAATTATATTATTTTATTAACACATATTGTATGCACATTATTTATTACTACAATATTCTCTATACTTCCTTTCATTGTTTGTTTAAATGCAAATCTAGGGTTGACATCTACAATTATTTTATAATAAAAAAAAACAATAGTTACAACGCAAGTGAAATACAATACATAATTTCTAAATATACCTATAACCAATACACAGTAAATACTGCTGGTTCAAGACACATCTTAATTTATACATACGATCCTATAACATTTTAGCTATAAGTTTTTGCGTAAACGAAACAGAAAGTGCACTTTCAAGCTTCAGTAGAAACCCAGCAGACATACACAAAAAAATTGATCCAAACATTTATAAAGACATGGTGGCAAACACGCGACTGAAGAATGGTATAGGTACATATATATTAAGAGTTAGTAATTTACAATCACCCCAATATTATATTTAGAAGCCCGATATATTTGAATACATCACCAATAAAGTTTAATAACAAAGAGAATAATATTCTGCCAGTGTAAAAACTGCACCTTCTATATTGACCTTAATTTTTAAAATATGACTTCAAAATAATAAGTACGCTGATAAGTTGCAACCAAGGCTTTGTTTTATCATTGTGATTGAAGGTTATATTGCTAATTAGTGTGATGGTTGGCACGCGGGTCTCTTTACTTACTCTGTAAGATACCTTAACATCAAGATGAAAGTGGGACAGTTAACTACTCGCTGATTGCACCGGAATGGTCCTTTCAGCCTCCGGTCTACACATAATTACACCGTTATCTGCCAACCCGTGAGAAATATGGCCTTTATTAATCTTGGAGAGTAAATCTTTTTCGTAATGAAAGAATTTTGGAAATGGTTTCCGTAGTTCGATAGATAACACATAAGTAAAGACAATTATATTATAATTAAATTACATAAAGTTAATAAAATAAAATTTTAGATTTATATTGAGTTCTCTTAAATTATTTATCACAAACATATTTCATCCATTTTTATGTTCAAGAAAAACAGAAACTATTTATTTTTAAAGTAATAGAATAAACAATTAAATAGTCACTATGGTGGGGGTCAATATGGATTGAATGTGGACATTCAACCTTTATAAACTAGTAGAAATATTTCACAAAGATCAAGTGCTAATACGAAACATAATTCAATCTCTCATAATGTCATTTTATAAAATGTAAAAATATATTCTGAAAACCCTATGAAAGGAAGGTATCATTAATTAAACATAATAAGTAGATAGCATTATTAAAGAAGATTGCAGTTATATGTATTTAATACCGCCAATATACAGTGCATTAAGTTGGGTAACATCTTGGAAAATGTGCAGATATTTTTGTGTAAGGTAAGTATAATATTTTTAAATTAGACCACAAAAGGAATGTTGCGAATTTTTGTGAATTATTGTCTTATCGTGCAGATAATAATACAAGCACGTGTTTATGTTGTAGTGTTGGAGTATCTAGCCGTTTAAAGCTATGTAAAAAAAGCTAAACTTATATAATAAAAATAGCTACAAATTAGTTGTTTTTGCTAGGTTTACGCTTTTTTACTCCTAAAAAACTCTAGATATGTACCTTCTTTTTAAAAAGTGTTATGTCGAACGCCTACCGTTCACACCCCGTCTGGTGTTCTTAAAAGTTATTTCATAAATCAACATAATTAAAAATTTGAACCATCCATTAATTCAACTATTAACGTTTCATTAAATGACTGAGTTTTAAAGTGTTTATTCATATAAACCAAAAATGGCAAAATAATTGACAGGGGTGGTAGTGAAGTAGGTATACAAAACTTACATGAATTTTCAACATTTATGAATATTTGTTCAATTTTATTCTTGTCTTCTCTTTTTACACACCAGATTCTAAATGGTGCGAGAGATCTTAATTCGACTGTATTTTTTCGGTTTCAATGATACCACCGACACATTATTTTGAATTTTAATTTGTTCCTTCCTAAATATTAATTTCTATGAATTTACAGCCATTATTTTTTACATTATTATTTTCGGTAGTTTAACGATTTAGTACATTGTCTTACTATGGTTATTATATATATTATTAATATATATAAACTTATATAAAAAATCTACAAATACTTACTTTGGTTTCTGTTAATGTATATTGTAGTGATTTTGATTTCTAAATAATTTCTAATAGTTTGTCAAACATAAAAATCCTCAAAAAATACATTTTCCTTTTACAATTTAAAAAAGGCAAACGTGTTTTTTTGTTTGAATGTTCTACTATATCGTCAAAACTCAATTATTTGATTCGTTGATTTGATTTGTTTTTACATTTCACAGAATTTTTCCATGGGGTCCTTAGGTAATGGTCGTATATAAATTTTGATTTGATTGGTACTTAAATAATATAATTGGATCGTGTCTGGTATTTGTTCATAAGTGAAGAATAGAAATGTTCATAATCTTAATTAACTATAGGTATACATATAATAAAAATCTAAGTTCCCTAATAATAGTTTTACTTGTAATAAAATATATAAGAAAAACTATTATTAGGGAACGTAAACAACGTAATAGAACCCAAATGATGGTTGTTAGAATATGTGTCTGTTTGTTAATGCACGCTAATCTCAGAAACAGCTTAACAGATTTAGTTGCGGTCTTCACTAATGAATTGTGGTAAGATTCACTTAAAATCAGTGTTCGTTTTATTGTAATCGGTTTACAAACAAAAAAGCTATTTGAGTAAGAAGTCGCGTCTTGAGCTAGTTGATATTAAGTTTGTCTACTCGTATTCTTACACTAAAGAGTTAATGTAATAACCATGAATACGAACTTCTCGCAGTAGTGGTGTAGTAAGAGTTCAGTAACTAAATCGTGTGAAGTCATATCTATTATTCACAAGAACTGATAACAGAAGTTTGTCACAAGACAAACATATCTTATCTGTATTGACACCCTTGTTTCCAAACAAATGAAGACAATCGTGTCAAACAGATATTAAGCACTTAGATGTTACTGATTTGATAATGGCAATCTTTTCACGAGGGGTCAATGTGTAATTTTTGTTATCAAATTTTTGGCGGAAATTTACCATTATTAAAATATATACAAGAACATAAAATTAAACAACTGAGAACTAGCAACATTACGGAAAATATATCTACTATAGGTATTATATTTTCAATAATATAATATGTTACTGTGTGTTTATAAAAAAACAAGCTTTATATTATCGCTTCTGTACTTATTATAGGTACATGGTTATTTTACATAGCGAATAATTCAGTAAAAAGTAAGTCGACAACATCTGAGAACAAGTGAAAGTGACATAATCTTACTTTTTCTTTGCAGCATATTGCTCATTTTTTGCACAGCATTAAATGATTGTAAGGTGTATAATCCAAAAAGTTACATAAGAAGTTTTCCGGAAGGTTTCAAATTTGGAACAGCTACAGCATCTTATCAAGTCGAAGGTGCCTGGAACGAAGATGGTTAGAACATTCCTCACTAACTGTACTTGATGATGATTATTAACATAAATATTGTAGGTATTAAGATCACAAAAATGAAATGCACTATTATCCATATGGATTTCGTTACAGGTAAGTCAGAAAATATTTGGGATCATGAAACTCACATAGTTCCAAGTCCTGTTGAAGATCAATCTACTGGGGATATTGCTGACGACTCCTATCATCAATATAAGAGGGATGTTGAGATGATGAGAGAACTAGGACTGGACCATTATAGATTCTCAATATCATGGACGAGAATCATGCCCAGTAGTTTTCCTGACCAAATAAACGAAGCTGGTGTAGCTTATTACAATAACTTGATTAACGAAATGTTGAAGTATGATATTGAGCCGATGGTGACGCTATACCATTGGGACTTGCCACAAAGACTACAGGATTTAGGCGGGTTGAGCAATCCATACCTAGTTGACTGGTTTGCAGATTACGCTCGTACAGTTTTCAGGTTATATGGGGATAGAGTAAAAATATGGATTACTTTTAATGAACCGCTTATAATATGCTATTTCGGCTATGGATCTGATAAAATGGCACCTAGACTCAATTTTACTGGCATCGCCGAATATATGTGCACAAAAAATATACTGATGGCTCACGCAAAAGCCTACCATATCTACAATGAAGAATTCAAACCGAGCTTAGGAGGTGTAATTGGCATCACGTTAAGTGCTCAATGGTATGAACCAGACTCGGAAGAACAAATTGTTACCGCTGAAGATGCAAACGCATTCGATGTAAGTTGATTAGTAAGTAGTTATTACTCGCGAAGTACTGCATGATCTTTGTCAATTTTCATCAACAAATACCATGCCAAAAAGATAAGTAATAGCAGTAATCTATTTATAAATCCATACATTTTATTTCAGTGGGGTATATTTGCTAATCCTATATTCTCTGAAAGCGGTGACTACCCTGCAGTAGTGAAGAAAAGGACAGCCGCTAGAAGCAAGGAGCAGGGCTTCCCTAGATCGAGACTTGATGAATTTACACCCCAAGAAGTGGACTACGTTCGCGGTACAGCTGATTTCTTGGGAATAAATCATTACTCGAGTTATTTAGTGTACAGAAACGCTTCTGTAAATGGCTACTATCCAATACCGTCTTACGAAGATGACTTAGGTGCGATACGATATCAGAAAAATGAGTGGAAAATTGGAGAGTCAAGCATGGTTATGGCAAGTTAATCTGTCTTACTAATATTACAAACACGAACATTTGTGAGTATGGATGGATCTTTGTTACTCTTTCATGCAAAAACTACTGAACGGACTTTGATGAAACTTTACAGTAACATAGCAAGTAGCTTATACATCAGAACACACAGCCTATAAATTACATGCAGGTAAAACTGTGGGCACAGCTAGTCATAAATAAAATAGTTTTAACTATAAATGGACAGTCCATTAGGTAACAAAAATTGTTTATTATTTTATATGGTAAATATTAGAAAGATTACCATGCTTTTTTTCTAAGAACTAGAGATATATATGTCTATGTTGCCGATATATCATTATAGTATATCATACTTAAAGTAAGATTCTTCCATAAAGCTTGCTAGTGATTACTACTACCGATTTATGCGACTAAGCAGATTTGCTTAGTCGCATAAATCGGTGATGCACTTGCATACATATACCAATTTTGACAGCCTCTCTCTGGAATCAATTTAAAACCAGTCAGATTTAAATACAATATCAATACCCATTTGAATCAGATAAAATTGTAGTTAACTAGGCATGATAATCTCTTTACTAGTAAAATTAGTTTATGTTTAAATTAAAACCAAGGATTGATTGTATCGCTTTAGTTACATGGTTCTATTGAAATCGATATTTATAGCGACTGTGTCAAAAAAAACTTTATTTCAACACTTTATACTAGTAGGATAACAGAAATTTTCATTTAATCAACAGTACGCTCCGTGGGGCTTCTATAAGTTGCTAAAAAAAATAAAGGAGTATTACAACAACCCTCCAATTTTCATCACTGAAAATGGCTTCGCGTCATATGGCGGGCTTCAAGACGATGATCGTATTCTGTACTATAGAGGTTACCTCGATGCAGTGCTGGATGCTTTGGACGAGGGTTCTGATATAAGATGTTATACCGCCTGGAGTCTGATGGATAACTTCGAATGGCTGCACGGATATACGTAAGTTTGACTACAATAGTAAATAATGTTAACAGATTAATTATAAAATAAGTAACTGTTTCATTTTTTTGCCACTTTTTCACACCTGAAACAATAAAAAAAATCAATTGTGTGAAACTCAACAGTTCACAACAATTGATTTACAATTTACAATGGACCTCAAGGCTCTATTCCGGCCTGTTCATGATATGACGGTATAGAGTTAAATATAATATTAAAAAATCTGTGTTAATAAGTTTTACAATCTTTTGAGTTTAAGAATGTCTAGGGTGTCTGAAACTGAAGTAATGGACTCAGCTGAATTACGTTACCTGTCTATCTGTTTGTTAGTTCTTGCTAATTATTGAAATGGCTCTGGAACCCGAATCCGGTTCAATCAGTTTTGACGGGATTTTCATTCGTAGATAGCTAATGTTACGTAACTTGGGTTGTTTTTGTTTTATTTCCTAAATTTAATAAAAAAAATCCAATAGCAGCTAGTACATTATAAAGCAAGTTGCAGATGACTTTGTAGAAAGTTAGTAAATCTACCCTGTAAGATACACAGAGTGTTGTAGATATAGATATAGTTATATAGAATAAATAGCTACTATTACGAACAAGTGGCAGTAGGACCGGCGCCTTGAGGGTTATCCTTGTACTGTGAGAGAATTTTAATTAAAATGGAAATTTATAAAAACAGGTCAAGCGCGTGTTGGACACGCATTAACAGGGTTCTGTAGTTGCTTTACAATTTGAACTTGGTTGCTCATATCTATGTAAATTATTCATTGAAGTTGTGAAACCCACCAAAATCGGTTCACTCTTTTAATTACATAGTTTTGCTGTTTACTCTACACTTATTAATACGAGAAGACTATAATGATCAAAAATATATAAATGCTTATCATATTTTATACAGCAACTAGTTGAGGTATCATCTATTGTTTAATTATTAAAAACAATGGAAAGTAAATAAAAAATATTATTAAATATTATAGTTATTTACTAAAAGTCACTGTTACTTCCAATAAATTTTTAGTTTTATAGTTAGGAAGTCTAGGCTTAAGAGGTTTATAAACTTTCCGATACTTCTGAGTACAATTAGATATTCAGTGACTTTTGATTCGATGTCTCTTGATTTGGACGAACTTAATTCTCTCGAACTTCTTTACACATTCTATTATTTTAAGTAATAATAAAATAAACGGAACAATAAATATTTTATTTGCAGGGAACGGTTTGGCTTGTACGAAGTGAACTATAACAGTTCGGAACGCGTACGCACGCCGCGTAAATCAGCTTTCGTGTACAAAGAGATAATACGAACCCGAAAACTGGACTGGAACTATGAACCCAACACTAATGTGAACATGACCATCGATGAAAACCACTGAACAGTATTACTTATTACAATAAATAATTATTAATCTATAAATAAAAATATCATAGTACAATTGTAATTGTGTTGGTATGCGTTCAAATAGATTTTAGCATTTCGACAATCAGGAAAATGTTGGATTCTAGAATAAAATGTCAAGGAATCGTCCAGTCGCCATATTACCATTATTCTCCGCTCCCGAGTGAATTCCCAAAAATCCTTTTTCAGTGAATACCTACAAGTAATCTACCTGCCAAGTTTCAAGTTTGTATAGGATTTATCGTTTTTGAAACGCGATTAGTCACTGTATTTTCCTTCTAGCTGTAAAGGTGCAAATAATAGGAATGGCTGATCGAGTAGATATCTAAGGAATCTGTGTTAAGAATGTCTAATTCAGTCACCACAAGTATATTCCACACCACATCAACACAAATTCACCTATTTATATCTACCAAGGTACTATTAGTAGACGCCGAGAGACATCATATAATCTCGTTATACTCTGATCGTATGCTTGAATTCTTCCCTCGTTATCTGAAAAAGTATTAGTGATGTCCTAATAATAAGGAAGTGTGAGTGACGGACTCGATGGTCTTGCAGTTTAGCGCACTACCTTACTTCCATAGGTTCAATTCATTGTACAAACATTTGTATCAGTATGATTATGATTATTTATATTAGTCAGGGAGATTTTTATGCATATTAGGTATTTATATAGTCTTTACAAAAAAAATAATACATTTAAGTATGTTTAGTACCCATATTACAAACATACAAGCTTTCGACTATATAGGGCAATATTATTTTTATTCTTATGTGATGGGTACAATTTTCCATCTTGTATTTTAATAGGTTCAAAAAATAAACATATTTATCTTAATTTAACTATTCCTGTTTATTGTTATTTAGTTTATTTTCCAAAATGTCAGGGATATTAGAATTATCACTGATTATTAAAATAAACTTGAAATAACCTTGGCCAAAATATTAGTCGATTTTATAGGCCAAGGATAGTCCACCTGTAAGATTGCACGTTATTAGGCTTTACAAATACACGTGCAAATTTATTTTAGGTAGCAAAATTAAATAAATGTTAGGTTGTAGATATAATAGATAAGTAAAAAAAGAAGATAATTTTCATATATAAATGAGCGGAACAAGAAATATTAGAAGTCATTAAAGTTGACCAGTATCATTTGAATACTGTGTAGGAAAAATGTATTGTAACTTCTGTATACTGTAAGTATTATTTTTCGTTTAAATGTAAAATAATTAATAGTTGTAAAAAGTTTATAGATATATATATATATATATACTTAGTGTATATGACACCGTCGTGGTTAAGTAGCTTACTATCTCATTTCAATCCCAAATCTGGAAAACCTTAAAAAAATTTGCGGGTCTATTTATATTCTTGTACCATACTGTATAATTATATCTGCCCGGTAATGCAAACACCGACAACAAACTATGTGTATCTACACCGCGCAATATAAAAATGTCAATTGTTCTGCGGATAGTTGACAACGCCTCTTCCTCCTTCTGGGATAAGGGATGAAGTGTTTAGTACTTGTCAAAAAGTTAATTTTTTTATTACTTTCATTTACAGTATATTATTTTTATTTTGCTTGGAACTAAATGAATGCAAGTCACACGCGTACAGGCCTCGCTATGACAGCAGAAGCTTCCCCGAAGGTTTTGTATTTGGAGCTGCTACAGCCTCGTATCAAGTCGAGGGTGCCTGGAATGAGGATGGTTTGAATATTTTTCTAATATTATATAGTAAATAACTTAATAAATTCACTTAAAAGACAAGACGCTCTCCTCAGAGAACTCGCAAAAAGATTCATTTTGCGCTACTGTTTTTTAACATAGGACGTTACTCGTAAGATCTTTTTCGCATAACTCACAGGAGTAAAAGCTGCATTGACAAGTATTTATGACATTAACTGCAAATATATCTTTATTAGTATAGTATAATATACCTATTATTTTTAGTTTTTGAATCTATTTATAGATAATTTGTTCAAAATAATTCTAATATCGTCCCTACGTATGCTTAACTCTTTAAAACTACGCAACGGATTTTGGAGTGGGGTTTTTTAATAGATATAGTGATTTAAGAGGAATATTTATATATATAATACATGTACACCCATGCGAGGCCGGGGCGAGTAGCTAGTAACCTAATAAAAACTACTCAATGTTCGTGTAAGCACTAACAATTACTACTAGCCATGTTATAAAATAAAAAACTAATCTCATTATTTTATATATGTAAGTTCAATTAACTTAACAATATGTTTACAGGAAAATCGGAAAATATTTGGGACCATGAAACTCATAAAGAGCCAAGTGAAATTTTAGACCAATCTACAGGTGATATTGCTGACGATTCCTATCATCAATACAAGAGAGATGTTGAGATGATGAGGGAATTGGGACTTGACTTTTATAGATTTTCAATATCTTGGACAAGAATGATGCCCACAAGCTTCCCTGATCAAATAAATGAAGCGGGTGTAGCTTACTATAATAATTTGATTAATGAAATGTTGAAGTACAATATTGAGCCTATGGTAACATTATATCACTGGGACTTGCCGCAGAAACTACAACAATTAGGTGGATGGACCAACCCCAACATTGTTAACTGGTACGCAGATTACGCACGAGTAGTGTTTCAATTGTTCGGTGACAGGGTTAAAAAATGGATAACATTTAACGAACCCCTGATACTTTGCTATTTCGGTTACGGATCTGACAAAATGGCTCCTAAACTTAATATTACGGGCGTAGGAGAGTATATGTGCACCAAGAACTTACTATTATCGCACGCAAAAGTTTACCACATCTACAATGATGAGTTCAGGGCAAAACAAGAAGGCATAATTGGTATCACGTTAAGCGCACAGTGGTACGAACCGGAATCAAATGAGCATTTTGAAGCCGCTGAACAAGGAAATGAATTTGATGTAAGTGAACAATAATATTATGAAATATATTATAAATATTTTCAGAGCTATTAAAAAAGGAATGGTTATTGTCAATTTAATACATTAAACTATAGTAAGAGCACAGGTTTCGGCATTGTACACATTTTCGTTATAAATGTTATATATAGGTCGATTCCACCACATAAACTCATTCCATCAAATCTTTTCCAGGATTCAGTTTTCAATACTTATAAAATGCTGTATTATTATTTACATTACAATTTTATTTTTATTTTAGTGGGGTATATATGCACATCCCATATACGCAAAAAGTGGTGACTATCCCGCAATGCTGAAAAAACGGATAGCAGCTAAGAGCGCGAAGCAGGGTTTTCCTAGATCGAGACTAAACGAATTTACAGCACAAGAAGTAGACTACGTACGTGGTACAGCGGATTTTTTTGGACTGAATCACTATACGAGCTTTTTGGTGTACAGAAATGAATCCGTATATGGCTTGTATCCTGTTCCGTCTTATAAGGACGATCTGGGTGTGATACAATATCAGCCTAATGAGTGGAAAATTGGAGAATCTGATAGAATTATGGTAAATACTATTTTTATAATATTATATTTATTGAATAGTTACATTACTATTAAAAATATTAATTTATTATGAATGAATGATAATTGACAGTCCTACGTTTATTATTACAAAATATTCGAACCGTACTCATAATCACCGGTAATGTAAAAAATCGGAATAACTAATTCTTTTATATTTAATATTTGGTGTGTGGAATGGGCAAAATTATATTTCAACGTGTCGGGAGCGCCTCCGAAATCTATAAGATTTTTTGTATAGATTTGATACAAAGTTAAACTATGTAAAACCGAAACAAAAAAAAGTAAAAACAAAAAAAAAACTATGTGTGTTAAAACATGTAAATGAACACCTGCCTGCAATAGGTAGAACCAAGGGACGATTTAATATTAATTAATTAACAATTTTTAAGTACTTTTCCTGTTGTACGTATTCCGAGTTTTAGAAAGATGATTAAAGATTATATACTACTAATTTTATATTACATACACATTGTTTTAATATTTTATGTTACACAACTAATTTATAACAAAAAATGAAAATTAGTGTAAGTGAATTAAAGCAAGTATATAAAAAAATTTAAACGATTTCTAGTATGCACCATGGGGATTCTACAATCTTCTTACAAAGATTAGAAAAATCTATAACAACCCTCCCATTTATATCACTGAAAATGGCTTCTCAACTCATGGTGGGTTAAAAGACGAGGATCGCGTCACATATTATAAAAGCTATTTGGATGCGATGCTAAACGCCATAGATGAAGGTTCTGACATCAGAGGTTACACTGCGTGGAGTTTAATGGACAACTTTGAGTGGACAGTGGGATACAGGTACATATGATTGTCTTATCAAATAATATAAGTACATATGATTATCAGATAAAATATTTACATTACATGTAATTATTGTAGTAATACTATGTACATATTATTTTCCCGCGATAAGAACTTGTAGCGCCATTAACTCTTTGCATATACTATATGTGATTTAAATTCACAATATTATATGTAGAGAGTGAATAACACGTATAGAGAAAAATTGCGACCGTCAATTATTTTTGCGAATTAACTGCAACACTCTTTTTCTCGTCCTGTGTCTTATGTAAATCATTTTCATCCATAAAGAGATTGAAAAAATATAAATATATTAAGTCATACCTTTCTCCACATAGTTTGGAGTTTGTATATAGTCTTCGAGCGAGTTGTTTCTTACCTTTTCACGACAAAATGACTGAACGGATTTTAATGACATGAAAATAGAGTAACCCGAGAAAGGATAGAGGCTACTTTTGATCTCACAATACAATCTGGAATAGAGTGAAAAACGGAATGAAATCTTATGCAGTCAAAGTCGCAACTATTGTATATCTTTTAAATATTTGAAAGATACTACGTCAATTGAAACGATCTCTTTTGCAGCGAACGATTCGGCCTATATGAGGTGGACTACAACAGTACAAAACGCACGCGTACTCCACGAAAGTCGGCCTTTTTGTACAAGGATATATTGCGCACGCGCAGGCTCGACTGGAACCATGAACCCGTTACGAAAGTCATGACAATCGATGAAGGACATTAGACATTGTGATAGTTATTTGTAAAATTATATAACATTACGTCATTAAAAATTGTTTCATTCTTTACTTAATAGATTTTTTCTGGCCATTGCTCGCAGTTCGGTTCACACGGAAGCGATTTTATTACATTTTGGAGAATTTAGAATACCTGTTATATCTGTATGTCGATCCTTCCTTTTATTTTATAGAACCAGAGCCTTGAAAGTCATATAACATAAACAAAGAATGGTAAAAATACTGACAGAAGCCACTGTAATGTAAAAATAATACATATAGACAGTGAATTAACCGCTATTAAAATGTCACAGATATAGGTAATACAGTCAATTTTCTACCATTACAAAAACATCGACCATCAATTTCTCTTCGGAAGATTAAAGGATGAAATTGTTTAGAGCACATAAATATTGCACAATATGCATAGCTGAAATCTGGGTAGTTTCAAACGTCAATTTATCTACATTAAAAGATCAATGCACATCTAACGTTTTGTAATATTGGCCTAATGCCAACAGTACTTAGTGTACAGGGCTACGATCAGTAGATATGTTATCTTATAGTAGTTTTCTAAATATTCCATGAAAAAAGCACTTACTATATTTATTTAAAATGTATTCTATTTTATAAATGTTTTTTTTTGTGTCATTGGAATCGAGAAGAAATTAACGTCCCATCTCTGTCACATATATGAACACAACACGGACATCATTTTATCATGTGATATTCACGATACTATTCATGCCATGCCATTTCAGAGGACTAACACATGATATCACTTATTCTGTAATTATAATTTATGAATGAAACTATCGTTTCTGTCTAAAATTGGGAAAGACTGGCGATATAATGGGTCACTTTTTTATTAACTCCTGACATTTAATATATGTACCTATTTGTACAACTAAGAACCTAAAATTAAAAAACTTAAAAAAAATATAATATGATGACTGAAATATATTATTATATAGGCAACGTTCCGAAGATACTGGCAGCGTTCCCTCTTTGAATAGCTAGACTAATTCTTTGTCCAAGGTAGCTGCCAGCTCTTCGGTCTTCTGTGATGTCGACTAACCTTTTCGTTATTTCTTTGAAAAGTCTTATAGCGCTAGGACCCCACGGACCAAGGGTCTCGACACCAAATGGGACAAAATCATATTCGGAGCCTAGACCCCTGTATTTATATGTTTTGGCTTTTTCAGCCGCTTCACATGCCGCACCAGCTCTGTTGTTGGTTCCATGTAGATGGGATGGGGCCAGCGTGTCTGCACAGGTTGCATCCCATACCAGCACCCGGTCCATCTTCCATGGAATCAAACTCATACCGTCCGGTCTCTTACCATCGTCTCTTGCAATACCAGTCGGCTCAAGTAAACTTGGTACGTTGACGGTGGCAAGGGACCGGCGTATGATATCGTTAAGTGCGGCATGTCTCGAGAAACGGCCTGCACTTTTTTGGCATGACAGTCCGTGATGTCCTATTTATGATATATATTAATAACACTTATTAATAAACCAGTATTTTTTTGCGTTAACTTGGCACTTATTTCATTAAATGTCATAAATATAATTTATTTTGCAATATAATTTAAAATACACATAATTAAATAACTTCTGTATTTTTTCTACCCAATTAATATTGAATCTAAAACCTACTTTACTATGTTCATTATAGAAATACATAACATATATTATCTTTATATACTCATATGGAATTTTAAAATGAATCATAAGAGATCATCATAGATTCAACCAGTATATATTTTTACCTATTGCGAGGATCAAGCTGAGAGCTTAAATAAAAATGGAAACAAAGGAAATGCTTCCCGTCAATATATGAATTACGTTTATCCATTTAAACCGATCGAAACAAATTCTATTTATTATGTATTTCAGCTTTATTTATCATCAAAGAGTCGCGCAATATTTAATAAATATTTAAATATCACGCAGCTAGTACCTACGCAAGGAACAAAGGTTCTTAGTGAATATACGACTTTACTCAATAACGAACCTCCGTCAAGTGGGATTTGTCAACGAGTATCATTTGAACTTCATCCTACATAAAAGATTTAACGTAATACCCCTTTTACAATTTACTTAGAGAGCTTGCAGATTGGGCCACATTACCTGCACGTATACCATCGGTACAAAGCCTCTTTTTAATTTTAGTATCGTGTCAAAAGGTTACGAACATTTATTTCTGAAATTTTTATAAGCAAGGTTGTAAGGTTTTAGAGTTACTTACCTACATGGTATTCATAATTTGAGGATCAGTTTTAGACATACATATGTATATTGTTGGTTATTCCTTTTTATGGCCTTCATTTCCCTCTGTTATATGCTTCACATCCAAAAGTCCACGAAGCTTATTTTAACGAATACGTTGTTAAGTTTAGAAGTAATAATATGTACTACTGACTTGTTTAGTGTACAATTGTATACTACAAACTTAGTTGTATATATTCGACAAACACGATCTTCAAATATTTTTCACATCATTACAGCTATACATGTTCCTATAATACTAACACACTACACAATACACTTGGACTGGTGATAGGTAATAGACCGCATTTGATATCACTCAAGTCAAGGTTAATGAAATAACTTAAATTGGACCGGTAACTATATTGTACAATTACCTACACCTTGATAACTATCTACATTATAAGTTTAAAAGTAACTTAGCTAAAAGTTAAACATAGTAATAAAATTAAACAAATGCTTATATTCAATTAAGATTGTTATTCGATGCCTTAATGTAATTTCTCGTCAGTTAAAATTATCTTATCAATATTATTATTATTTCTTTGTAATTGTAATGACTCATTCGCCATTTTGAAATTAGGATGATCAATGATCAAAATTAGGTGATATTTTACACGCAGATATGGACAAAGGAATTTTCTTTCAATAGCAGTTCTATTATAGTCATTTGCAATCGCCATCAGTCCGTCTTTGGTTAATTCTATAGCAGATTTAACACAAAATTCTACTTCATTAGAAGCCATTGTGCGCAGCTCAGTTACGCTCGGGAAGATGTGACTAATTTAAAAATATATATATACTTCTATTTATATAATTCAGTTATTTCACTTCTTTTCTAATAAAGAGATACCATGTAGATATCATATAATACCATATAATAGTTTCTAACTAGGTAATATGTCTAATAGGGTATTAATCTTAATTAATTCTTAAACTAAAATTTAAAGTAACATAAATTTAATATATATATCAGAAAACGTTGCGTTAACTACATTAACAAGATGGTGAAGTGACGCTGGTACACCGGCCTATGTTCGATAGGTCAATGTGAAAAATACACCCGCACCACATGGCGCTTGACTATCCTAATCTCGGACTATTTCAGTTAAATTAAATTAAATTTGTTGCTCTCTCTCTAATACATAGTTGTAAATCCATTGGATATGATATTGTTGGGTAGATAGCTACAACATTTTTAAATTCCTAAAGCAAACATACGTCAATTTCACGTATTTATTCGATTACCATAATACCTTACAATCCACTGAGTGTGATTTAACTCGTGAGTATCAGGAGGATTTTTATATACATTCAAATGAATCAATATATTTTAATTAAAATACAGTATCCTCCATTGTTTTTAACAATGCACGTATTTCATTTCGTTCTTAATCCGGAATAAAGCTCTCTGTATGTAGACTTTCGTATTAATGGTCCAAATGAGAAATTGAGGTTCTAGTTGCAAATGAATCAATGAAAACTATTTATTCTTCCTCTGACAGTTGTGGTTGTAATACAAATACCTATATTGGTTCGAGCACTGTAATAGTAACTAACTATTATCCGCGACTTCGTCTATTTTTTTCAATAAAACTGAGACTATGTTCCTTTTGGTTTTACAGTCTATTTTATAATATCTGTATTATAATATCGTCTTTCATTAATTCTTTCAGTCGTTTAGTATTGAAAAGGCAACAACAACAACTTTAGCATTTTTTATATTAGTAATAAAATTCGGGTTCAGTCTCGACAGAAATCACTTAGATATAACAACTAACTGCTTAGGTTTACGCGCTTGAACGTTTGTTAAATATTTGATGCTTTAATTATAGATGTCACGTACTTATTTACACAGTTATAAATAATTACATAGACGAATGTTATAAATAAACACACATATGCTTCAAAACTTCTTTCACCACATAATTTATTGTAATAGATATTTAAATAGCTGTATATGATTCCAATATTTTTAACCTTTAATCTGTCCCATTTATTCTAAGCGTTAACTGTTTGATAATAAAGATTAATACAAATTGCCCGTCGCTAGGTCTAATCTGTTTACAAGAAATGGAAGCGCGATTTATTTCTGACAAGGTAGAGCCGACGCTCAGTAAACAGTTATAATTTTGGCAGAATATTTAAGACAGCGTTTTTGGTTTGTCTTTGTTCATATAAGATAAATTTGGACACGATAGACTCAAACAGGTCATTTCTTTTGGATAGATTTACATATTTAGTAGTAAATGCGAATAACATATCAAAGGAAGATTCTCGATTCGGAAGGGCGCAGTAAAGGAAATTGAGTATAGGTAAAATAGATCAAAAGAATACTTCTAATTTAAACATGGATAAAAGATTAAGTTGTTTAATTTAATAATAGGGTAATATTTTATGATTTAGTTCTACATGATCTCGTTGGGAATTCTTGTATTAATATTTTTTTTAATTTAAATATGTAGATATTTATTAATGTCCGTGACTACAACATTTATATGACAAAAATAAATTACTATTATTATTCATTGCATATTTTCTTAGTGAAATTGCTTAGTGGGATTTTCTAGAAATCCATTCCTATATATAGTAATGTAGTAATGTATTACTTTATCAAATTTTTTACTGAGAAATATACCAAGGAATAAATTTCCATCTAAGAACTGCTTGTACTATGTAGCGCTCTCAAGAAGCTATTCAGATATCTTATTGACAATGCTGCTCTCTGCCGAGAGAC